TTTAATTTTGTAAAATTAAACATTTTCAAGCGATAAATGCAACCAATGAGAAATAAATGTTTCTCATTTTATAATCAGATGCTCAACAGGTATTAATAAAACTGTAAAATAAAAAGTATGCCTAACTCAAAATTAACACACGTATTTTATGAAACACTATGCGGACATCATTACTAATTTATTGACATTATTGCCATTAACAATAAATAATAGTTGTGGCGTGGAATGCGCTACTTGCACCATTACAATCGATATTAACATAATGGTTCATAGCAGTCTGTTTACAGACGTCTGGAGTCAAGTATTGACGACAAGGAAATTCCAACCGAGTGCTGTTGAATTTTAAAACATGGAAGTTGTCTGCATAGCGTTGTCCATAATTCTTACATTGATACACTATAATAGTTTATACGTCAATATACACGAGTTTTATAGGATTATAGAGTATATTAGAGTCTACAAATCGATTAATAAGACGGGGTTAAAACCCACTACCTACATGGTACCGTGTCCTTATTGTACCGATCACTACAAGGAACCTCACCACATTTCAACTTCGATAAGCTGTTATAAGAATTTACATGTAAAAATAATATTGTAAGCATTGAATATTTCCTACGATACGCAGATGCCTGCGTAACTAAGAGATTCAAAGTGTTTGTTCAAAAATACAACCCACTCGTCACAGATCGAAGAACGCGCAGCGGGTCATTAACCGTAAATAACTAGGAAGGACGTCCACATTATGAGATCAGATTTAACCCATCCCAACTTTTTTTGGTGACTACAAGTATCCAAAAGTGCCAAGAACAAAGAACACACTCTTCTATTTGATATCTGTATAATTCACCATATAACTTTAAAATCATAATAGTTCCTACTATACTGATATTATCAAGGCGAAACTTTTTTTTAAATACTATCTATGGTATTGATTATTAAGTATATAAATATATTAATGATTTTTAACTTCGGCCTCCCCTCCCTTTACTCTCCCCGTGACCACGGCTGCTGCAAAGCATCCGAAACGTCGGGCCGAAGTTAAAAATCATTTTCAAATAAGTTTAACTAATATATCCCGTTTTAAACCGTTAAAGTGTTTTATTTAAATCTTTTTTTATTTCAACGCGCTATCTCGAGAACTATTTAGTGGAATTTACAAATTATTTTTGTACTGGATAATTTTGTAAATCATTTGAGGGAATCTCTTTTCGTTGTCAAACGTCACATCGCGACTAAAAAAGTTATACCTTTGTGGTTAATTATATCCAACAATCAAATATTTTTACAATTCGAACCAGTAGTACATGAGATTAGCGAGTTTAAACAAATAAACACACGTTTCAGCTTTATAATATGAATATATAAATAATCGTTTTAACACCATTAAGGTCATTGATACTGTACTGAGAACCGATATGCAGTATTCGTACCCAGAAGTGTCTAACTGGGAATATGAGGTATTGACGCTCGTCGCATATTAACCATAGCGTTGTTCCACGTGAGAATATATGACTTCCCACGACTTGTGGTTGTCTATTACTACTCTGCTACCCTGGACTCTGCAGCCAAAAGAGAGAATGAGCTATTCGACTGATTTTTATAATGTACAATAAAAATCCAACATTTAAATTGCGCGCCTAAACACTACTTTTTCAAAATAACACTGTAATCCTGCTAGTGACGTCACGAGCTTATATTGGCCATTAGTGTATGTAGTGTGTGTAAAAGTTAAAATTTTAACAGTGTTTGAAATGAAAATGAGTTACAAACCTATTTATTTATTAATGCAAAGTATAGATAGGTTTTAAAACTAGGAAGCACGGTGGTTTATAGCACTGTTTATAAGCAAGTGACAACGTCATAAACCCGACCAATCAAGAGGGGTTTGTGCCACAAATGTGAAAAAAAAGTTAATGTCTATTTAAGTTTTTTTTTATTATTTAAATCAATTATTATTTTAAACATATGGACTGCTTTACTTTTTCTAAACTTATACTTAAACCTGATAACAGTAATTGACACTAATTTATCGCCTTGCCAAGTAGCATATGCCAATGCATCAAACGTTCTTAATAACATTACTTCCATCATATTTTTTGGTAGAAGATATTCAAGTTGTTCGTGACAAACCTCAAACGTTGGTGTCTTTTTTGTAATATCCCATGGTAATATGAAAATTTTTCTTAATTTTTTTTTGATACAATACGCTACGCGGAAAATTTACATTAAATTCAATTTTCTCTCAGACTATGAGTATATACAGACAGATAGGATTAATACAATATCTCTAGGTTTACAAACCCATTTCTAAATCCATCACATCTGGTTTCTGATAATGTTATTAAACGAACATACAGACAATTAAACCTATTGTATTATTTTAGTATAATCATAGCTCGTTAACTTTATGAAAATTTCTGGTTACAAAATTCTTAGTCTAATTAAATTGGTTATGTCATTTTATCTCTGCACTATTATTGTACAACAAATACCTACTGATACTCTTATTTCAGATACGATAAGTAAATTTGAGATAACCATGACAAATCTCTTTATCCTTTACACAGTATTAAGGATGTCATTTCGCTGTGTGTCATACTTAAGTAAAATAGTTATTTGTTGCATACTGGCTGGTTGTTACAAAAAATAATATATTAAAAATCTTAGCATTGTTATTTGTTGACACTTCATAAACTTAGCTATGTACATTTAGAAGTAGGATGTAGGTTTGACTCCATCTCGGCGGATATAAGACAAAGTAAAACCTCTATGCTATCTGTTTTTTGTTACTTTCGTTGATTCTGTGCCTTTTTGGGCATCAACAATCTGTAAATCAAAAACCTGTTTTTTTCTTTTCCTTATCTAATTCAAGATCGATCTTATTCGACACTTCGACGATCCCTGATCGAAACAATTAAGATTTTCCATGGTCTTGAACCCAAAACTATCGCACTTTGCATACGCATTGTCTAGCGTTTACTATTGAGTTGCGCTTTTATAATGCTTAAGATATACATAAATGAAAGTGCTACCTACCTTTTGACGAAAAAACAATTCAGTATATACGCAATTAACACAAGTACGTCAACACAATATATACACAACACTGCATGAAAAACAAGATAATGTATACAATGTTTGACATATCTCGATTCTGTCTCTTTATCTTAGTATTTGAATTGTCTACGTCTCCTGAAAACGGCAGTACAAGAAGTACCTATATTATATTTTGCATATATCTACTATTGTCGAGGTACCGCTCTATTCAAAGGAATGAATTTCACATATATCAGAGATATGTTATAAGTACACTTAAAACATTTTTATGAATGATTGTATGTTTATTATTTTTATCACAGTAATTGTTTTCTCTTTAATTTTTTTTTTTTAAACAATCAGAATACCACCCTGTTAAATCTACACTAATATTAGAAACGCGCTTATACTAAGAACTACTGGTTCGAATGGATTTTTTAGTGTTGGTTGAACAATTTTTGGGGTAGTAAGGCTATAAAATGGCCGCGACCAATAGGAGCGATGAATGAGAGGGTAATATGAAAAAAACTAAAAATTATACATATTTGAGGGCTTCCCTTGCATGCACTACGAAAGCAGTCCAAGCGACCAAAAATATGTATTAATTATTTTCTTTAAAGGACCTAAATTTTAAGATTGACTCGCAAGAAAGACGGGACGCAGACGACTTTGTAAACAGCTATAATTTATAAAGCCGAGGAAATTGTTTGTAAAAAATACATAATACGTCTAAAATGCCGGGCCCTTAAAGATATAGTTTTCATTGGCGCAAAATTTATCTCAAAGTAGTCTTTCGCTCTTTATGTTGCATAAAATAAAACAAACACATTTTTACACGCTGTCATTTCTCTTTCGTAATACTTATCTCGAGCGTAGCTCAATAATTCTATTCTATGACTTGAAAGTTTAAGTGGACGTGTATGTGACAGTGATGTGCTAATAAGACATCACATGACGTAATAACTACTCGATAGACGCAAAGTAATTGCCGCGTAAAGACTTTCTCTTCTGCCGCTATGCCAAAGTTGAAAATACCTAATGTATTGTTATATCTATAGTAATATATAAAGCTGAAGAGTTTGTTTGTTTGTATGTTTGAACGCGCTAATCTCCGGAACTACGAGTTCGAATTGAAAAAATATTTTTGTTGTCACCACCCTGGTTATTGGTCGTTAAAACCTGCAAACCAGAACAGCAACGTAGTTGCTCTTTAACACTCTCGTCGATAAGAAAGAAAATTTGTACCCATCAATGGGAAAATTAGGAGTCATGTACAGCAATAGTAAACTGGTTTTCTATATAAACAGTAATAATACGAAAAAAAACTGAACAGTAATTTCTACTTCTCTATTAATTATAATTAAGTCGAAAGCACGCATTATGTTTTAAGGTAACGTAGCAGCATCTTCCTATCAAACAACAAAAGAATTTAATCAAATATTGAAAGTATATATATTTATTTATAAGTAACTAGGTGCACTAAAGAACGTCACACTGGTTTATAACTACAGACTCCAAATTTACATTCATCACCAATAGACAAACGCCTTTCCGGAAAAAGAAACAAGAACTGGCAAAAAACTCGCCGCCACTCCTTTTTGTCGCCAAGACACATTTTTCAGTCTTAACATTGAGTGCACTACATATTTATGCTTGTTTCTCCAAACCCTAAATATTTTTGCCGTTTAAATATTAATTAACGTCATTATAACACTTCCCAAGCAGGTTTTCAATAACTCGTTATAACAAATACTTTACACTGTAGAATGATTAGAAATCTTTAAAGTTAAGTTCTGTAATATTTTTATTGCCTAGAGAGTTGTTGTATGGAGTTGATTAAGGTACTAAATAAATACATATAAAATAAAAGGGTTCAATTAATTTAAATTTAATTAATTTCAATACTTTTTTAATATTATTAAAATTCATAACCAGCTGTTAATGGCTCAGTTATCATTAGTTTAACTTCTGTTATATCGATTGCCCCAGCCACGGCGGTGGTCATCCTTATACTCGTCCATATTTCGTTTTCTTGCCAACTCCTCGGGATCGTCATCTTCCTCTTCTTCTTCCTAAAACATCAAAAAATGTGAGCCCATTTCTCGTTTGAGATTTATCTCTGCCAATGATTTGAAGACATGTTGACGAAAAGCCTCTGGTCACATATTTTTTTTCAAACCCAGAACTGTTTTAAAAAGGCAACAAACATATTAGGATGACTAATTTCCTTCCAAATTTCTCCAAACATTTAAATACGAAAATAAATATTTTTTTATGATTTTGGTGTTATGTTTGTCTGCTGAGTCACTTAGCAAATAACATAATATTTAATATCTTTCCAATGACAAGAAACACCCATGAAGATGTTAATACCTTTCTTACTTCCTCCGCTTCGTCTGCATTCAATTCCGTATTCTGTATTGTTGTGTGAGGTATGTTTGAAGCCGCTGGAAACCTAAAAAAAGTAAAACAAAGACTTATAAAAAAAACGTTACAACATATTCATGATTTATCTGTAACAGTTATGTATGAGTTATCTGTTCTAATAGAAAAAGTTAGATTTAAAAATAAAGCATGGGGAAAACCGATCAAACGCGTTAAGTTTTTTCTCTATCTTTTATTTTTAATGTGGAGTCAACTATTTTTTGTTACACTTAAAACAAAATTATGTTATCTTAATTCAACTTTACTTTTTTTAGAAGTTCTTATTTTAAAAGTGAGCATAATAAACAATATATAATACTATTCCCCTACCTAGGAAGTATCATAATATTTAGATGTGATAATAAAATTACATATCAAAATTACATCATTTTTTAATACTGACACTATTTCATAGTAAACCTTACATTTGCAAGATATTAAAAGTATACTCAATACTTACGTTCCTTCCCTAACTCGTTTGTCATAAAACTCTTCTACTGTCATTGTGGGTAGAGAAGGGTAGCCTGCCCCATATACAGCCTTCTGAATAGCATCGCGTGTTATAATAACTGGCTTTAGCTGAGGTGCTCGCTCGCGCTTGTTTGGTTTCAATTCTGAAAAAAACGACAGAAGACGTTTTAAATTAGAATTCCAATAAGTACATAAACTAACACTAGACGATATTTTGTATCTTTGCTTTTTTGACCATAAATGAAAACCAAGTATGTGATTGACTTTCTGTGCTCTGCCCAATCTTAACAATGTACTTTTATTTGGAATAAATTTCAGCTATATACGTATTTCATAGATATGAAATGTTTGCATTTTTACTTTCAAACAGAACAAGAGGCAATAAAATATTTTTTACTGGATAAGAAACTAGTTTTACTACCTCTTATGAGATATTAAATAAATAATATCAAATGCTAAAAGTATTAGGCCCCATTTAAATGAATATGATTTATATTATATTCCCATTCATCTAATCTAAATAAAGCAAGCTGTTATAGAAAATAGGTTGCCAGTTCCACTCCATGACTTGTTATAATTACTTTTTTGCTGATTGAATTGATGGAGATTGTTTTTAAAACGTAATTTGTATAAACATTGTGTGTTTGTGTAATAAATAATTTAATAATAATACATCAATTAAAATATAGCATAGTAAATATGAACAAACCTCCTGCATTTTTTGCCATATATTCTAAGATAGGTCTTTCTTGTTCTATACTGCTGAGCTCGTCAAGTGCCTGATTAACATAATTTAAGAGCAACACAGTAAAATATTCTCTTTTTGTCTGATCATCCACATTTGGTGATTCCATTGATTTTGATAATGTGCTCAGTTTCTCCTTTAGCTCCTTCATTTCCTTGTACCTTTTAATTTTAGCCTCACGAGTCAAAACCTGTGAAGCAATGAATTACTTTTTGTTACTATGGAAAGTATATATGCTATGTAACAATAACATGATATCTTTATTTAGAAATATTAGAATTTCAAGCAGAGCTGGTACATGGGCATGAAACAAAATTAATACATCACTTAATAATAATCAATGTAATTAATCTCATACATAAGAACATCATACAAATACTTTATTGTGTCCATTTTAAAGATCAATTATTTATTTCTAGCTATTGATGAACAAAGTAAAAGTTGAACAAATATTAGCTAATATATAACACAATTATAAAAGAAATGTTTAACATACCATACTTGCTATCTTAGCCTGTTCATTTTGACTGCGAACATTATTTTCATCACTAGATGTTTGTGGCAACTCAACATCTGTCACACCATAGTCTTTGCATCTTTGAAGAAAATCTCTGAAATCAAAATTAAACTTGTGTCAAATTCTATAAATAATAATCTTTTAATATCTTTAAATTTTTAAGTAACCAGGCTTTGTTATTCTACTTCAGTCAGTAATATATTTAATAAATATTAAAATAAAATAAGAGTTTGCCTTACTTGAAGTATATCTCTGCAACATTGATTATCTCCTTTCTAGGTTGATTGCATAACTTCAATGTTAAGGTTCCTAGTAATGCTGGTAAGAGGAGATACTGCAGAGTTTCAGTAGGCAACTCTTCTAAAGACTCATTTTGACTAAACATGCCAGAAAGGGACACCAAATTAGTTGCCTTTTCAAAAGTTGATATAGCATTCTTTATAGTCATCTGTAAAATGATGTGACAATTAAATTAGCAACATACAAGGCATGATAAAAGCGAATATCCCAGAAAACGTTCCAATTGTTACAACTTTAACTCACAAATGTAAACAATAAATTATATATTAAAGGAATTATATATAAGATTCTTTTCGTCCACACTTTTGTAATATTTAACATAATGTTGATAATTTAACATAGTTTATAATATAAATCACCTGCACAACATCACTGTTTGTTGCTTCATTGCCCGTTTCGATTTTATCAAATAATTTCATAGCTATATCGAACAGGTTCTTTAAAGACTCCTCATCGGTCGATTTGGTAGCTTCATTTTGCGCCATATTTTAAAAGATATAGAAAATACTTTTATAAGTATGTTTCACAATATATTTTAACTATTATTTTCTATATTTTTTATTTAACTACGGCTTTCCGGTTTTTGTGCTTACATTTTGTGACCCAAGTGTCATCTGTCTTATAAAATTTAAATATCTTTGACGTACAATATTTGTCGCTGTCAGTGTCAAATACTGACATGCTTTTTACTCCACGCAAACGTATCTGTCTAACCAATGTAAACATTGAACAATCGCGGGAAATTCAAAATTATAATTAACGATTCTGTGAATGACTGTATATTATTGCAAAATAATATGGAGATAATTTTAAAATTAAAAACCATTTAGATTAAAACATGATTATCATATCTTCAATAGTCAGTTTTAAAACGGTGCTGTATACAACGGAATCGTACTTAGAAAATAAAAATTAAATATAGCAATATATTCCTTACCCTACCACCATACATCTACAGTGTTACAGTAACTAACTCAAAGAATTTAATAACTACAAAATGTGTGACAAAATTAAATAATATCATTTAAGTAGAAGAAAAAATTCAGTATGAATTAATATGTAAATAGTTTTGGAATATGTAGTATTTGTCTAGTTCGTTTAGTGACTGCCTAAAATATCAAGATCTCCATGATTAGTATTCGATTGAGTGAGAGCACAGGCTAGACTTGTATTGCATTGCTTTTTTTTACCACAGATCAGATCTAAGAAATACATAATGCCCTTCGAACTGTCCAGTGCAGTGGGTCTGTAGTATATTCTTTGGTTTAGTACATAGTTCTTAAGCGAGAAGAGTGCACGTTGCTCGTCGCAAGTTCAAATCATGTAAGTTGATTGCTATCATGTAAGCACGAGACCGGAAAAGCATATAAATGTGGCCTCCGACCAAGTGCAACACAAATTATAAATACTACAGCTATTTAACATATAACTCCGATTTTATTTGCGACACTCCTAACAAACATTGAACTTGCACTCATAATTATTGTTTGATTATTTTTCTCTCAACTTTATTCTGTTTACTAGGTGGTTAGGGCATTTCGGACATTAGTAAGTTTACAGCCTTTAACTCTTTTATATTTTCTTCTTTATTTTACTAACCACTGTTATAGAAAATTATTAATTAAGTTTATTTTCCGATTTAAAGCAATTTATTAATTGAACGAGTTAATTGGTAAAAAATGTATTTTGTACTTCTGAACAAAGGTGATTCTATTAAAGCGATTTTGTTAAAGGACATAATACAATACATTGCATAAACTGAAGGGCTGTGAACTGAAAACCTGTTATACTGGTTTGGTTAGTTCAATTCAGTTACGTGTAAAATAATTATGATTCACTATAACTGATATTAATAGAGTTAAATACAACATCTGCGATCCAAATAAATACAAAATAAGATTACAATTCGCCATCGCAGACATGTAAAACCTCCATCCATTTTAACGTGCTTTAATGACGTCACTATTTACATATTGACATAAAAATACATAACACAAGAAGGAAAATGGTCGTTACTGAAAATAGATTTTCTTATTAACTCAGTACTTATTAGGAAAACATTTTAAAGACAAATGAATTAGATGTAATGTTAAAAAAATATTGGTCTCGTATTTTACAAAAAACCTTTAACTGTTCAAATGCTTAATATATTATTTGTTAATAACCATGTATAGATAATTAAAGAAAACACCGTTAAGTATCATTTAAATAATTATCCAATAAGTTTCACATAAGATGCCCTTACACAGTACCCATTGCGAGGACCTTTGTGAATAGTTATTGTTATTTTAATCATAGCTGTTTGCTTCTGGAAAATTCTGGCGGGAAATGTTTAAAGGCGGTCAACAGGATAGTGGCCATTATAACGATTGCCATGCGTCACATTGTATTGTAGACTCACTTTATATGGACGTTCGTTGAAAGAAATGATTTCACGTAGACGACTACTAAAAAAAATGTTATTTCTTAATCTTTTCATTCCCCAAAATAAATAGAATCTTATTCGCACACTTAAATAAAACTATTAGCCACAGTGCGATGTTTTATACCCTATAGCCCATCCTCAATAAATGTCCTCACCTACACAAAAACTATTTTGCAATTCGAAGCAGTAGTTCCTGAGATTTGCACGTTCAAACAAACAAATAAACTCTTCAGCTTTATATATTAATATAGATGATAGTGTATTTCGATGTACTGTGAAATCAAATTTATCCTTTAGGGATAAAGTGGTTTTTATTAATGTAATTCTTAGCTCCCAAGTAAACAATGCTGTCAAGGCCACGCCGACTTCAAGATGCTCACCTGCGTTGAATTTTATGATATTCACATCTCATTGTCATGATAGCTCTAAACAATTGTTAATCGATGCATTACGTTTGCATTGCGCACATTGATAACAATCAATACAACCTTTTATTACGTAAAAACAAAGTACCTTTCAATGGTAAAGGAAATTCTTATAATTATAATAATTCTGCTCGGCTTTGTGTAGAACTACCAACTCGCTACTTTTCGTATTTGTTTGGAGTTAGGCTTGTATTTTGGACTACTTATCTTTTGTATACAGTTGCCAGCAAAGAACGAGAATAAAATCTATTCTAATTATATCGATCTCTAGGCCCTTCTTTTACTAAACACTTTTTTGCACCGATACACAACATTATTACAAATAATTTATGTAACAGGAATATTAAATAGACTACTAAGTATCGCTCTATCACCATTCTTTCAATCCATTTAATACTTCTACAGGGAAGAAACACGATATAATTATACTTGATTTTGTTGAATGAATCTTTATAATGCTGTGTTACGTTGTTTACAAAACCTATGTTAACAATTTTACAATCAAGAAAGTTAAATTAGAAACTTACGACACAGGCAGGACTTGAACCGCCATCCGCGTTCCGTGCTATACCCAATTAAGCTAGCGCGTCTTGCACGTCATCGTGGATTTTTTTTAACCCAATGACACATGTTCCGCTTGCGCAATGTAATCAAGATAGTGTTTACATATTTTAAATTTCTACTTTCCAGATACAAATAGTATGGGCAGCTCAAGGCATTAAATACTGGCAATAAAGATGGCGGCTATTGCAATTATATTTCTATGTCTCCTAGCAGGAGCCCTACACACAAGCCATGGCTTCAACGGAGACAGTTTCGAATTAGAATGCCCAGACGAATGCGACTGTCATTATTTCAGAATAAACTGGGTCACAGACTGTTCAGAAAGCAACCTAACCGAAGTCCCGTACGACGAGTTAAGTCTCAGCGTGTACATTCTAGACTTAAACGGGAATAATATAACGAGCCTCAAATCATTCCCAAGCGACATTAAGATGAGGAGATTGCAAATTGCAGATAATAGACTGACGAGAGTTGAGCGGCAAGCGTTCAAAGGACTCGAGTATCTAATAGATGTTGATTTGTCTGGCAATAACATAACTTATGTTGACCCCGAGACGTTTTTGTAAGTATGCCCATTATTTGATTATCTACTAAAAGACAGATTAGGGTTTCAAGGTTACGTTGTATACATTTTAGTTACATAAATTTAAAATCTATTTTGATTAAAAACAATTGACGATACGGCCAGGAGTTGACCCTGATGTACAGCGTTCCGTGCTGCTGCTCTTACCAACTGAACACATGTCAGCGCCGAAATTCTTTAATGCTTTTTTATGGAAATAAATTTTAAATTGTATAATGCCATCATGTGTAATAAAAAGTGAAAAATATTTTTATATTCTTTAAAAGGTGACGAAATTCTTACTTTCTGGTGGAATTAAATTTAATTAATGTTCATATTACCTTTATATATCATTTAATGTATAAAGTTAACTTTAAAAACTACAAATTTAAATTTAATCACATACTTACGTATAAAGTTAACTTTAAACAACAAATAATACACATACTTACGTATTTTTATTATACGTATGAATATGCATTTTATTTTCATGTAATTATTTTGTAAGTTAATCTAAGGCCATCGTTATAACTAGTTACATAGATAAAACGCAATTGTATCGTTTCAAGTCTATTTCACCTATATTATGTCCGCACCTAGTTAACTTCAGTCACTGGATAATAGTGTTGATGATAAAATTATAGCACTTTATTTGAACTTGTTGCTGACAATTGCTGTTTGTGATGTCATTATTTACATGTTAAGAAATGACGAGTTAATATCAATTTAGCATTGTTTTATTTAATAGTTGCAACGTAACTCAATAAACATAAAGACAAGAAAAAAACTGCTTTATTCACGTCTTCAAAACTGTAACATGTTTTTATTACAATTACAATACGTCATAAAGTAAATAAAATTATATTTTTAATTACAGGGACTCAAGAGGGCTTCTAAATGTGGAATTACAGGATAATCCTTTAGGCAACATCGAAGGAGCTTTTTTAATATCGGGTACACTACAGTACCTAGATATAAGCAACTGCAAAATCTCGTTTATAAACCCGCAATTTTTCGATAACATAACTTCGATTACAACACTCGATTTGTCCAACAATCCATTGAATAAATTAGATGACGACGTCTTCGACGATCTCACCAGTCTGGAAACCTTGAAACTGAACGACTGCAAGCTTACATATCTCTCTAAAAATGTCTTCTACGCTCTGGTGAATCTGAAAAACCTAGAACTAGCAGGTAACTTTTTATTGGAAACCAACTGGCCGGAAGTCTTGGGAAATCTAGCGAGATTGGAATATTTAAACCTGCGAAAATCACAAATTACTTATTTATCTGAGGACACGTTCTCGAATTGCACAAATTTGGTAACTCTCGTCTTGGCCGACAATAAGTTGTTAGATCTAGATGTTGCCGCGACGTTAGGAAATAGCGTCAATCATTTAGAATTGCTCGATCTGTCCAATTGCCACATTAAGGGACCTATTTCAGGAGAGGCGTTCGCGAATGCAACGCGTTTGAAATCTTTGTACCTCTCCGGCAATCCACTTTTTGCCCCAGACTTGCAAGAGGCGCTTGCGCCTCTACCGAAACTGGAAAAACTATTCTTGAGCAATTGCGGCCTGCGTAATCTGCCGGACAATTTCAATGTTTTTGAAAATCTTGTCGAGCTAGATATTTCTCATAATCCATTAGTTAACGTATTTACTAAGTTATTGGCCCCCCTTGATAATTTGGAATATCTTAACATGGGTTATAGTAATTTGTCATTCGTTGGCCCGGAAACGTTTTCTCACATGAGTTCAATGAAACGATTGGTGCTTTCCGGCAATGACTTGTTGTCGTTGGAGGCTGGACTTTTCGGCAACCTAACTCAATTAACTACATTAGAATTAGAATTTTGCGGCCTAAAGAGGCCACTCAATGCGAACGCGTTCTTTAAAAACCTGACGTATACAGATTTGAGAGAAATCAAATTGGGTGGCAATCCTCTCATAATTCCCGAATCTGGGCCTTTATTCCCGAAACAACTCTCGCAAGTGACCGTCCTCGACTTGAGCAATAGTAACATAACCTCATTAAATCCAGATGCATTCAAAAATACGGAAAATATAACGGACTTAAACCTGTCAGGTAACAAGATAAGGTCGGGAGAAGGTCACCTAACATTTTTAGAAATTCTGCAGCATCTGGAGAAAATTAACTTAAGCAACAATAACCTGACTACAATTGATCCTCAAGTGTTCACGCACAATCCGAAATTACACTCATTGAATTTAATCGGGAATCCGTTTATCTGCGATTGTAAGATTGCGGAGATGTGGGACTGGGCGAATATGATTAAGGGTGACTTGGACGTCCTCGTAGGAGCGAAAAGCGCTGAAAAGGATATCGTAGTAAAGGGCAACAAGAAGAAGAAAAACTTGTATTGTCACTATAAAGAATTCAGAAATATAACGATTACAGCGAACAAGACAATTCCTGGAAGGAGACCTTTCGCTAGGCAAAGGGAAATCACATTTGCAAACAGAACCTGGGCCAAATATGTAAGAGAATCTGGTTGTGAGCCAGTTGTGAAGATTCTGCGGCCCATTGCATTGATAGCCGATTTATTTGAGGATAACGATAATAATATATCAATTACTGCTTTAGTTTTAGCCGCTGTGTCTATAATATTAGGTGCCGCAGCAGTGCTTATGACTTGGAGGTTATTTAAAAGAAGGCAAGTAGATGGATTCGACACAGAGGATCATAGAAAACAAAATTAATCTCAAAATATTTTAAAGAAATTTAATGCAACGATTGTTATCTGCTTTAGGTTTCATATTAAGCTTTTTGTACGTCGAAAGCATTTCCTTTTATTTGCATTGGACTACCGCCTTAGTTTCACACTCTTGTAAACTAGTCAGATTTAGAAGAATTATGTTAACACGTTTTTACAATTCGTAGAATGTACGTAGAGTGTAAAAATAACCTTATTACTTTATCAGTATTTTTATTTATAATAAAGATCTAAATAAAAATAACTATTAATTTTTATTTTACTTTGTCTACCCGTAGTAACAAAATGTAATTAGGTACATTAGAAAAATCAAACTGCATACTCTTAAACGTGGGGCAGGGTTCTATAGAATGCCAAACTAATGAAAAATGTCGTTAGTCAAACACATGACCTTCCGTGCTGGACACAATGTAAAACGTTTACCACTGAGTCATGGTGGCTTCTAATATTAGCGCAATAACAATGTGATTGATTAAATTTCGAAGCATTAATGTTTTCATACAATGGTCGCTGACTCTTTGAACTGGGTTTTTTATTTGAGTCGCTATTTCAAAGAAAAGTAAAAAACATCTGTCACGTAACTTATTGATGGCGAAAGTGAAATTGCATAAGTACTAAAATAAGGTTTTACTCGTAAATAAGGCATGATGTAACTGGGTAAACCAATAAAACATTTTTGTATTAACTCTCGTTATATTATCATTAAAAAACTTCGATAACCTAAAACACATTAATTAACACGTAATACTAACATAATTTTTGGCCTATTAAAATAACGATTATCGACTAACTCTGCTCCCACCCTTTGTACTGGTTTTCTTAATGTATAAATTTTCCTTATACATTTTTTTTCGCGTTCCTTGTTTTTCGGTTTTAGGATTATGATTCGATGACATCGCAGCCAGTTCGCTATCTAGCAGTTGTGGAATTGATATCGGTTCAAAACCATACTGGAATTGCGGTTCTACGAAGTGAGTTTTACTCTTATATCTTTGAAATGGTTGAGAGGCGTGCGCTGATGGGTCTCTCGGTTTATCTTTAGAGTAATCATATTCATAAGTGTGGGGTTCAGAGTTCTGTTTCGAAATTAGCTGCTTCTGTTGTTCCGTAGAGTAAAAGTCGTAAATCGGCGCGGAAGTGGATTTTGATTGTTGTATTTTATTCTCATCTACATTCCTGTAGTATTTTTCGGGTCTATTGTTTTGGAACATTTTGTAATAATTTTCCTTGCTTCGAAAACTATCACGAAGACTAGTCGGTCGACTAACAGCGTAGTCTAAGTAGTAATTTTCTTGTAGTTTGTCCTTTTCGTCCTTGTAATTTGAGCGGGCGAATTTGGGAAAGTTATCACCTTCTGCTTCGTATTGTTGAAATGGGGTCTTCTCTATATTATACTCTGAGTAATATCGCGGTGTACCATAGGTGGCCGGATTGTAAATATTTTTTTCGAAGTCCTCGCGCGGCGTGTCGTAAGCAGCGAAGCCGAACGCGGCATCTTTATAACTTTTTTCAAAATTTTCTTCATTATTTTTATCATCGTCGTCGGGATCATCGAAGTTTTCTTGTTTTGGTTGTCCTTTATTGACTACTTCTGAAGTATAATGTACCTTAGGATGATCATATGTATCTGGTTCAGCCTGTGTTCTTGGAGGAGGCCTCCTTGTTGGTTGAATATGTTGATTAGGGTCCACTCTTATTTCGTCGTGTTCTCTGAATTGAGGAACATCGTCATCGTTTTCAGGAGTTTGAATTTTGTAATAAACTTGTTCGTGTTGACTGGGGTGTTTTGTTTTATGAACTTGAACTTGAGTATGCGGCGAATGATTGTCAAGTTTAGCGTCTTGCTGATCGTTAGGGTAATATTTTTGTGTTTCTCTGTCTCCCAATTCTGTATTTTGAGTGTGAGTTGGAAATTCAACATGTTGAGCAACATGATTTCCATTATGTTTTTTCTTTGGGTGAGACCTAGCTTCTTGGTTGGTTTTGGGAACATCTTCTACGTTTCTCTCTGTATTTCCTCGCACATGGTGATGAGATTTTAAACCCTTCTTATTTTCTTCATTAATGGTATGCACTAAATGAATGGGATTTTGATTATCTTTGTAGACACGAAGTGCTGGTTCTTTCGAGGTTTTCACATACGTATAGTGTATGGGTTCCTTACTTGTGTGTTCCTCGTAGTTGTATTGAATGGGCGCTTTTTCAACATGATGTTCATAACTTACAACAACTGGCATTTTTTGCGTATTTTTTTCGTAACTATAATGAATTGGTTTACTTTCTACCTTTGTGTCGTAGTTGTATGTTTGAGGATCATCTTTAGTCTCTTTGTTATAGTTTACTTTTTGTTCCGTATAAGTCTCTTTGTAGTTAGGCAAATTAATTTCGTACGACAGTTCTGGATTACCATTGAGATCTATGTTCTCAGTTACAACTGGAGTATCATTTATTTCATCTCCCGAATCAATTTCAATGTCTTGTGTAACCTTTTCTTGATTTTTTCTTTGATTCTTTTTCGGAGCTTCTTCGCTGTCATACGATTTAGTATTTTCTACTACAAATTCCATGTGGTGATGTTTCACTTCATCCATGTTTGGAAGTTTATGGTACGTTGCTTCATTAATTCTAGGCAGATAATGTTGCACTTGAGGTACTAATGGATTTGCAAAAGTCAGGGGCTCGAGAAGGCTGAGATCTAAAAGCGGGACGGGTGGTTTTGTAACTATGTTGACAGCAATTTTCTGCCCATTAGACAGGGTTGTTATAGTTGTTTGTTTCGCTCCTTGCTTAAGCTGAGGCAATTTGTTGTTTTGTACCTTTTGCTGAATAGCATGAGGACTTTCATTGTTGTGGTTATCGGTTTGCAGTGCTTCTTGTAAACGTAGGAATTTAGGGTCATTTTGTAGTTTATTGTAATTTTCTCCAGCCTGAGTTTTAGAGTATGTGACCTTGTTGGCAGTCGCTTGTTGTTGGGCTTGTGGCTGTATCTTACTTGATAATAATACATTGGCAGACACACTGGGTGCGTTCACATAACCAGGCTGCTGTTGCACTGTATATTGACTGAGAGTCGCCCGAGGTACTCCTTGAAAGCTTTGCACGTTATATGACGGGAAAAAATGTGGCGCTGCAAACTGGAATTGACTTCTCGGAGAAACCAAAGCTTGACTTAGATGTGCTGGAAGATTTTGCAATTGCACAAACTGACGTGGAAACGTCGCTCTGTATGCCAAAGCTTGGGGTGTGTGCGAATATTGGTTGCCGTAGGAGTCTTTCAAGTAACCATTTGTATTCTGGACGAGAATGGTTTCTTCCTTTACTGGAATATTTTTTGGAACTAAGACATTAGGAACTTGGAAGGAATGAGCAGCGTAAGGCGTTGAACTTGCATATATTCCTAGAGGCACATTCCTGTACAGTCGAGATGAACTTTCTGCACTTATATTGTCTGAAACGCTCGAACTTGTCGCTATGTTAACAGCTCTTACACTTGATTCAGCTAAGACCACACACCAGAGCAGTATCCTGATCTGAAAAATGTTAAAATAATTAACTTAACTTTGATAACAAAGTATGTTATAGGAGCTTTCAATAGCAGATAACGCTTTTAAAAGTAAAGAGTTTTTCATATTTATTTATACCTTTGTCCCCATTGCGGGCGACATTGCAGCACCAAGTCCGATAGACGCACTACGACGGATCAAAACAGCGCGCCAGTTTTATATAGAGATCATCCACTCCCAACCACTTTTCCTTACCAAGAGGCTTGCGGTGGCCAGTACAAGACTATTATAAAACATAATAGAATAGTATTACAAACATTTAAAAATATAAGTGTAGATACCATTTATCTTAATAACTATTTATTTGGCACAAAATTTAAAAAATACAACGCGTATAAATTTGCAAACATTTTAACATTGGGTACTAAAATTCTGTATCTTTTGTGTAGTTCTCCTTTTCTGCTGGTTTTATAATTTTACTATAAAACTATCTAAAATTTTAGAAACAGGATTCTTAAACCGGGCTGCTGCGAAGTTAGTTAAGTTAGTCAAAATAAAGTCAAATAAGTTTAACTAATATATTTCGCGATTTAAATCGTTAAATAAATATGTACCTACTGCTCGCCTAAACTACAGACAGTCAATAATTTTTTCTTATACTTCTGTATAGGATAATGCTCTCTTATATTTTTTACTGGGCTAAAATGGATAATTATATAATATATATTTTTTTACATAAAAGAAAATAAACTTTTAACTGGATAATAGGACCACTTTTTGATGAAAAGAAAAGGCACCAAAAAACCAATTCTTCGCTCCGAGAGGTTTAATTAAACTCTACGTAACAAATACTTAAAGATGTATTATATAAATTGTATACTCTGTGAATCAATTTGATCTAGGTGGCTTGTTTTAGAACTTTCGCTAAGATCCCTGGTGCGCGGTGACCATGACCAAGTGAGCAACCACTGCAAGAAAGTTCAGGTATCGGGTTTAAGTGACACACTCTCCTTGCACGTGTCCCACCGCAAACTTTATCTTGAAAGAAATTAAACCCTTAGCCTTTTTTAACCTGGTGGTTAAAATGGCTGGTTGGTGAAATGGTAACAATGTAAGGGAAATAATCAACGTCGTGGATACGATCCCCACCCGATCCAAGATGATTCTAATCAACTTATCTTTCTGAGACATGTTGGACTTCGTGGGTGGTAAGAATATCTAAATTGCGTTCGGGTTACAAACCAACATAAATGAATAAGCCGCCAAGTTAAAGATTTGCGAATTTTTCAAGCCGAAATATATCGACAGTGCATTTGTTTAGATGTATTCTTAAAAAAGATCTATTATTAAAAAAGAAAGACTACAATCCAATCCTTTTATGATGGCTGAAAGGGTACCTCTTTTATAGACACGTTTATCAAAAGATCAGTCCACAGACTTTTTTTTATATTGTAATATTAGATCCTATAATGATCAACCGTATAATATAAAACCCAAATATAATTATGATGATAGTATATAAAGGGATTGTTACACTTAACAACCAATCGTTTGATGTGATAACGTTATAGTAATGTTAAAAAGGGAAAAAATGTTTCCTGCTTTTTTTAAAATTACTTCTGATTTTTTCTCCGCAAGAGTTTAGCGATACTTGCTCTTGGTGTACAATCGAGTTTCTCGTCGAGTTCGATTTTATTTATAGGCGTATTATTTTCCCGGGTTTGAAATCTCGATCTTTCAGGCGTTACGCAATGTTGAGCCAAGGAGTCTCTTTTTATGATAGACGAAGACAGATAAGCACTTGGTGGTAGGTAAATACCCCAGCCATATGACATCTAAACAAGATACTCCGTCGACCTATTTCAGCTTTGGATATTCGGAAATCCACAGACTGAAACCCAAACGCAATTAAACTCCATGGCTTTTCATCTGTGAACTGTGGTTCCTACCATTTAATATCCATACTAGTTGTGTCAGCGACTTCGTCCATGGAGAATAGTTATTTGGTTTTTGCAAAACTTCTTATCGGTCGCATCCCGTCGTAAAGAAAACATACATACATACAAACATACATCCCGTAATTTAAAGATCGTAAAGAAAACATTAGTTTCTCTAATTTCGGGAATTGATTTGGGATTGATTTAATAAATAATTAATATGAAGCAAATAATAATATTTTATTGATTTTCCAAATAAAACACATTACAATGTAAAGTACAAGGAGCCTTAATGTATTGCTTTTATAATTACTTACATTTCATTTCTTTCGCTAAACGTATTTTTTAAAAGATCAAAAGGACCTCTAATTTAAAGCAATTACAAACAATAAAATGCTATATTATAAGCAAAAAATATTTTTTATAAAAATCAATGTGTCTAGCAGCTTCATTTGGAGAAAGACCATTTTATAGAGTGGATTTTTTAAAGTATGTAACATGTAAATTTTCTTGTAAAAGCTTATGCTTTAAGTTTTCTTGTAATTAATTATTTTAATAATTTATTAGTGTAGATTTAAAAGGGCACCATATATTCTTAGCACATGCTTTTATTACACAAAATCTGAATTGTGATAGATTCTATGATTGCTTTTGTTTTGTCACATAAGTAAACTTTTAAAATACATATTTAAAAATTATAAAACATTATTGTTTCTTCGTAGTTAGTCATCTTTAAGTCAATTTATTAATTACTCCCCAGTTCTGCTACTAAGTAATAAAACATTACAATTATGTATGTATTAGCAAATCATCGTTTTTCGGGCTGTACGACCAACGTGAGCGAGAACAGGTTTTCGCTCACGTCGGTATTAGGAATTACTCAATTCTTCGAGCAATCGAGGAGTTTACATCTCCTGACGATGCCGTCCGCACGTGATGGCGAAACGTCGATAACCTCTTTTCGCTCACGTCGGCCGAACAGCCCGAAAAACGGTGATAAAAAAAATTAAAAATGCTGAACGATGGCCGTGAAAGCCTTACAAAATTTATGTATGTATTAGTATTAAAATCGCACATAAAATTATCAAGCTCCTAATCTCTTAAAAATATTTTGAGTTACATTATGGGATACTCCACTTTTAACGCCAAGTCTTGCTTTAACAGTATTGGTTTCTGGCATAGACAACCTTCTCTCTGGTTTATTAAAAACTGTCGAGAATTTCACTTGACTAGGTTCAACAAATTTATTTACCTCAATTTCTTTATATTCCACTTGGTTAGAGAATTTGACCGACTTAGTTTTAGGCAGAGATAGCTTTTGCTTGACAGTGAGGGGTGCTTCATCTGCCCGCATAGTCCCCACAGTAATCTTCCTTGTGTTGGTATTCGCTGTGACTGTGAAGCTGCGTTTGACAACTGGTGGACTCTTTAATATGCCTTCATACTTTAAAGCATCTTTCTCTATAGGTATAGCAATATCTAATTTGTCCTTGGTCCCGAGTCGCGCAAAAACTTGTTTAGTTTCCTTCTGTGTTTCTTTTACATTTTGTTCTGATGATCCGAGCCGAGCAAACACAGTTTTAGTTGGAACTGAAAAGTTAAAGTTATATTCTAAACAATTAGGGAATGTTTACAAATATGTATGTTTTTCTGTTATTAAAAATTATTTTAATGCAAAAGTATTTAAGATGCATCAGCCATACAATTATTTATTTCAATATATACTTAAAAATCTTTTCCCTGTTAAGTTTAAGTTTAACAACTTTAATATAATACAGCTATAGCCTTATTGACTGATAGACTCACTGATGGATCAATGCATAGAATATGATAGACGTGTCTGTATAAATTAAAGATTTGTCCCGAAGAGGAAAAGAATGGTGTTTAATCTAGATGTACTAATATTTTTACCTTCTTTAGTAATTAATGCTGGAGCTACTTTAGATGTTGCACCAAATCGAATAAGTCTTGCTTTTTTAACACTTGCTTCTGTTTCTTGGGGCCTGAAAAAAAAGTCCTTACATATTCCTTCCAAAAAATATTCAGAGTTATAAAACTATGAATATTCTATATAAATAACTCTACATTTTATATTAACAAAATCAAAAGCGTTAACAGATTTTGTTAGTCACTTTAGTATGTATATACTCTACTTAACCTCATTAAGTATTAAGAGAGAATTTTAATCAAACAACATTAAACAACACTACTAATGGCTTACTTACATGTATTCATCTGATTTTCTTTTATTCTGTACAACAGTTACAGGCGAAGATGACCTGGGTGGATTACGGGTGTAATGTTCCAGAATTCGACTTGCAGCTGGAATTAAAGAAATATAATTACAAAGAGAAATATTTTATATTTTGATACAACAAGAGCAAATTTTTTCATATTTTTGTTATGTTATTGCACTATATAATTTAAAAATCTAAAATAAATTGAAAAAATTGCGTGAGCAGTGAATGTATCAATAAGTTGAAAAAAATTGACGATGATGTGTAGCACAATTGGTAGAGCAACAAACAGCACGGAATGCTGACGATGCTGGTTCAAGTCCTGCCGGAGACGATTTTTTTTTTCGATTTTAAACTAAATATATCATTTTAAATATTGAAAAAAAAACATATACTTTTATTAATACAACATATTTTATATACCCTAAAAATGTCAATGATAATAAAAGCTAGACCAGACTTACAGCTACGACTTAGACTAGACAGACTTAGATTATCCAGATTTATCATCCTAAGCAATGCATAGCCACAGCAATATACATGTACAAATTTAATTTCATCTGAGCATGATCAACTTACTGGAAGGGGTCTGAACAGTGGATCGACCTGCCACAGCTGCTACTGGCACTTTGGTCACAGTAGTGGTACTCAACACTTTATCTCTAGCTGTGTTTTCATGAACTTGCTTTGCATGTCTGTAAATTTATTTAGTTTTTGATTTTCCACAAAATAACTTAAAAGTTATGTGTTAATGGTTATGTTTATTTCTCACCTCAATATAGCAATGATATCCCCCATCCTCGTGATACCCATATCCCTCAGGTATTCTTTATTAAGATCCAAAAGCATATCAATTTGTATTCGATTTTCAGTAAAACTTAGGGCATAAGTCGCAGCCACCTCTGAAGGTATTCCAGCAGCTGTGAAAAAGTTAACCCAAAGGCCTGAAAACAGATTAAAATAATGAATAAATAATCTAGTAGTTACCGTAGCTATGAAAAATACTATAATGAATAAAATATCAAGTATCCAAATTTTACGTGGGAAGGCAAGTATCAGATATAAATAACAACGATGAGAGAAAAAAAAATCTTACCTGTAAGATGAGAATCCATAGCTTTTATATTGTGGCGCCTGGATCAAAATTTCTCTCAAAAAGCTCATTTAACAAATAACTAAGCGTTTGTTAAGTAATAAGGTTAAAATAGTAGTACATTATTACTACATTTATTGTTTAATATTTATAAATATGAACCAATATGACATCACACATGTCGCAATTAAACTTTCATAGACTGTGAAATGTCATAAAATCCAATCGAAAAACCACAGCTTATCAGAGACGTAGCATAAAGTCCAGTCAATTTCTTAATTTTAAGCTTAAAGTATTCATATAAGATCTATTAAATTAAGAAGTAGAAGATCTTCTGTATATGTAAAAAAAAGTTAAAAAATACTATTGTGCAATAATAGTCCCACAAGCCACAGATAAGAGGAAGTTTCACTAAGGAGTATGACGAAGTTGTCATTCGTTTATTTATATAACAATTTACGAGTATAGGTAACAATAATACATAATTTATAGGTAACTTAACCCTATAACAAATAACGATACGCTACGCATTTAATGCATAGTATTAATCGATGTTTACTCTAAGTATTTTTACCAAAATTGCATTCCCATTAGTCTCCCTGGAACGTACTTGTTACAATCGTATGCTTGTTTTTTTAATATTGTATTTTTGAATCGGACGAGTAGAATTATATTACTAAATCTTTATAGGATATCGGACAATATTAAAAATGAGTTCACTCAGTAGCGTGCCAATCGTGGACATAGATCCTAATGGAGTTTTTAAATACATTTTGTTAAATGTCTTTGAAGAAGGCAAAAATACACAAGAAGCTCAAATAACTATTGTTAGAGGTTATAAAAGGTGTGACTACCACTCTGACATCTATGAAGAGGTAGATATATTTAAATCATTAGATAATTGATCGTGTTTAGCTGTATCCGTTAATTATATAAATATCATCTTAGGTCCAAGCTAAACTAGCCCCACTAGACTGCGAGCCCTTAGGCGGGGGAAGGATTTCACATGACCCAGAAAATAAAAAAATTCACATTTACGGCTATTCACAAGGATACGGTAAAGCAGATCACGAAATATCTGCAAAACTCGTAAAAGAAGCATTTCCTGGTTACACCATTTCCATAAGTGATGAAGGGTACTAAAACTATTTAAACAAAAACAAGTCAAATCTTTTGTTTAATACTTTAAATACCTTATGTTGTGAATTTTGCAGTTCTATTAATGAGAAATTAAAGACATGTTGCTGCGGTAATATTAACTCTCAGACTTATTCGTAACTAATCATTGTATCTGGTCTCTTAAATAAAGTTTTTACGTCCTTTGTTTTACACAAAATGCGATTTATATTTTTCACTATCAAAGAGTTGATATTTACCATCTTCCTAATTGTAAGTATGCCGAAAAAAATTAAGGATAAAACATTTTTACTCATAGGAAAACGTGGTTTCCATAACATTGTAACAAAGTTAATATTAGTAGTGGAAAATAGTATTTGTAAGTCATGAAAAATATTACATTATACTTCGTGAGATAATAATGGCTCTTCTCTTAACTTCATTAATTAAATATATATTTCACAGTATTGTAGTTTCAGGTTTGAAAATATTTCTTAAAGGTAAAGGCAATCATTTTCGCTATCAGTAGTAGAATACTAAAATGTAAGAAAGTAGAATTTAGACATTGTCACGGACGTATTGCATTATACTGGTAGTGGTAAGTGGTTATTCTACAATAATTAGGTTGTGGCAAACATTCCCTGTGGCATCTGTATTCCGTAGTGCAAACTGCCAACCATAGATATCATCGTAATGGTTATAATCTATAATAATATTATACGTCAACGTCAAGTAGTCGTTTAGGTTTAATATAGTCTCAGTCATAGATAATATATTAAACCGAGTAAATATAACCTATGGTATACTGCAGAGGTGAGCGATTATGAATGATCGGCATAATCGATTTATTTTGTATTACTAATATTGGTATTCGATTATGGGATTAGTAACTAATTTGTTTTCATAATCGAATGATGTTACTAATTAGTAATACTAATCGCGCACTCCTTGACTTTAGTTGTTGAAACAATAATAGATACTTTTATATACTGGTGTAGTTAGACTTCGCGCGTTTCACCTTTTAGTGGATTTAACATATTTAAAAATAAGTTGACCGACATTTTTTAATTCTGTCTAAAAGTGTAAATATGACTTTTACTTTAATTTTAAATAACCTTTTAATAAATAAATGTTAATTTCCTTCATCTTTGTATTTAATCCAAGAAATATTGTTAATCATTAACCGTTTTATTTCAGACTGACTGATTTCTGAAATTTCCGCGACCATCTAAGAAGAAATTAGTAACTTATTTGGGAAACCTAAATACAAAAACTCTATAATAAAAACGTTCCTCTAGTTTTATTGTTATTATACCGTCTTCCAATAGAATATGCTCGTATTAAAAAATAATAAAAGGGTCACATCCGACATTATACTAAACGTGAAAGCGAGCGAGATGCCATAGTGCGTTGTCCTAACTAATAGGTATTAGTAACTACGAATTATCTTTCTATATTGTAACTACTAACATTTCATAATCGAATGATTACATTAGTATATCTCATAATCGACCCACCTCTTCTTACTAGTATTAGTAACTACTAACATTTCATTCGAATGATTTCATTAGTATATCTCATAATCGTCCAACTCTACTTACTAGTATTAGTAACTACTAACCGCTATAATCGAGATATCTCGAGACATTTTCATAATCGCCCGCCTCTAGTATACTGTAAAAGTGCTCATATGCACGATCGTTTTTATATTATGTTCCCATATTTCAATTACATATTATATTAAATAATTTATTAATTTTTGTTTCTTGTTTAGACTACTTATTAGTTTAGATTTCTCACTGCAAAGGTTTTCGCAATGGAATCAAATATAAAGGAAATAAGGTCTAGATTTCATATATACGACACATGTAATTGGATAAACACTCATAAATTTACAAAGGTATTATTGTTTAGCTAGGTGTTATGTTTACGTATAACAAATGTTTTAACCTAAATGAATCTATATTTTTCTAATACAGTACAATACAATTGTACAACGCGTTTTTAATTTCATTTATGTTATTCAATATATTTTAATTTTAAGGTATGTTTACAATTTCCTGATGAGTTACTAAGTATAAGTTCATGCATATATGAGGAACTAAAAAAGGAGACAGATTCTGATCTGTATATACTTGGCGACACATCGTATGCAAGGTACAATTAATGTAAAATAAACCTTATCAGTAACCTTTGAAGTCACATGTTGTTTAAGCCTCCATTTAGTTCTTTTTAATAAGTGTTTTTTTTATATATGTACTTTCAGCTGTTGCATAGATGTGGTTGCCTCAATGCATGTTCAAAGTGATGCTATAGTTCACTATGGACACACATGTTTCTCCAAAGTCAATATCCCCGTGTTTTTAGTGTTTAATGAAAAATATTTAAATCTTCAAAATGTTTTTCAACTTCTACAAAACAATAAAACTATAGATAATTTGGATAAATTATGTTTATTCTACAATTGTGAATATGACCATGCTAAAGGTATGTATTTATTAATTAGTTTAAATATTCAACCCACTATTGAGGTCAATAAATTAATAATTTTGCAGAAAACTAACTTGCATAATAATCTGGTATTCTAACTCTAGCTATTCTAGCTGAACATTGGTTCCAGCACTTTCCGAAGAGCTATATGGCATTTATTGACCTTACAAGTTATTCAACAAACAATTTTTTTGGAAGAGTTATAAAAAACAAGGACAATGAAGAATTTTCCAGTGATATTTTGAAAGATTGTGTTTGTATTTTTATTGGAACAAGTGGTCATACTTTCTTTAATTTCACTGTAGCAGTAGCAGGTATTTTAATCCTATAGTTATTCATTCTACCACAGCTATAGTATAACTACTGCTTATATATAAATCATGCTCTGTATTTTTACTATATAACAAAGCAAGTTTTAATAATTTTTGTTTTAGCTAAGAAATGGTACTTATTAGATCCTGAGACTATGCAAATAAATGATATTGAACAAAGTTCATGGTTTAAAAGGAGGCGATTCTTGATAGAAAAGTGTAAAGATGCAAATGTCGTTGGAATTCTTATCTGTAAGATAGCTGGTGATCAAACAAAAGATATTATCAACAGAATGAAACAACTGTGCAAAGCAAATGGTAAAAAGAGCTATATTGTATCAGTTGGAAAACCAAATGTGGCAAAGTTAGCAAATTTTCCAGAGGTAATGTATTTCTAAATCTATTGGCATTTGTTTTTTCTTTTATGTGTAAATTTGTGCTTTCACAAATATTGTTATAGTCATAGTCTTTAAACCAGTAGGAAATAAATCGATTTCAACTAAGAAGTAAAACTGACAACATTTTTGAATATTGTTTATTTTTAATTGTTTTTTAAATATCTTACAATATTGTTGCAGATTGACATTTATGTCATGATAGCCTGTCCAGAAAACAATCTTTATGACAGTAGGGATTTTTACCAACCAATTGTATATCCCTATGAATTAGAAGTTGCTTTTAATAGCAATCAAGAAGATTACTTGACAACACATGTTACCAACTACGATGAATTACTGTCTGGAGGAAAACATAATAAGGACATAGCTGAAGTAACTGAAAGCACAGATGTAAGTTTAGTGACTGGTAAATTGAGAGAGACCAAGATTGTATCTACAAGTGCCTGTACTGATTTGGTGGAAAAACAGAACTGGGAAATAGATAATATAGGATTTAATTTGAAGAGTAAATCTTGGAGGGGATTAGAGCAGAAATTGGGTGAAACTGAAGTAAAACAAGTTGAAAAAGGTAGAGATGGATTACCTTTGCAATATAGTAATGAGCCTGAGTGATAATTTTTTTTATGAAATGTGCAAAAATATATTTTTAAAACTGAATGTTTGTTTTATTATTTTTGTATTACTCAAAAATCCGAAAACAATGGATTTAATTATGTATAAAGTTTGAACAACATTTCTCTTGTTTTTGAAATAAATATTTCCAACTCCTAAACATTGTTTTGGGGATTTTGTGGGGACTTAAGCCATTCCTTCCTTAAAAGTTGTTTCAGTTGTGATAGCCTTAGGGTGGGATTTTCAGATTTTAGTCTAGGCAGGTTGCTTTCTTCAAAGGCTGTATATGCCGCTTTTAACCTTTTCTCTGGATGTTTATCAATATCCCCCTTTTCACTGTAAAGAAATTTTTACAAAACATGAATCTTTATAAAGAATGCGATATGTATGTTAAACTTATTAAAAATGTATTATTTTAACCATGTTTCCCTGTGACCTGGGCTGCTGCAAAAGCATCCAAAGTAGTTAATATAAATTTCAAAACTAATATATATGTATAATATATTGCGTTTATAACCATTAAAGTATTTTATTTAGATAAAAGTCTTAAGTCCAATCTCTGTCGTATTTTTATCTATAAGTAGTTTCATGAAAAAAAATTAAAAGTTTAATTGACAAATTAGATATATGTGATTTTTCAATTAAACTCCTCCTATCATTAATCTAAGGTTGGTTGAAATCTTTTATAAATGGGAATTACATTAATATATTATATATTTATATACCTGAGTATAGATATTGCCTCATCTACACTGCGTGCTGACTCTCCCTCTATTTGTAATCTGTTGAGATTTTCTTGAAGTGGGGGCTCCTCTACAACAACCCTATTTGGCTAAAAAAATATTTTTTATTGATTACCTCAATATCAACAATGTATTTACAGCAAAATTTTAGTAATATTGATTGTTGTAAGCAAATAATAGTCTAATACCACTGGCTTCTCCGATTCAGCTCTAATTGTTTTCTCTTTAATTTGAGATATTTGTGCACGAGTAATTTTTTGAGGTTGTGGTTGTGAAGCTGCCTTCCCCTTTATGGATTCCATCTCTTTCTCTAGCAACACTTTAGCTTCAGCTTTCTTTTGTATCTGCTCTAGCCTCTTCTTTTCTTGTTCCTCCTGTACAATTGAGTAGTCATTATACATATGTAAGCACTATTTTCTACATAATTGTGAAGACAAACCTTTTTCTGCGTTTTCTTCTTAAGCTTATCATCTTTATCTTCCCACTCGGCATCTTCTATAATTTTTTTCAGATTCTGCTCTTTCTCCTGTTTAGCATTCTCTTTGCGTTGCCGAGCCGCAACAGCTTTACTGTTTTCACCCGCAAATTTTTTAGGCATTTTGTACACTTGAATTCACAGATTAACCATAAATATCAATTTACTTAATACGTATTGTACTATACCTAAGTACAAATAAATATCACCATAAACATTTAAATTATTAAAGACATCACTTAGTCTTAATGACAATTAAAGTATTGCAACTTGCAAGAATTATGGGTTGTGTGATATTCGAGTTAAATTTCCCCTACGCAAACCTCACCAAATATTTCATAGGTACCACAGATTATTACACATTACATACCTATATTAGAGCTGTAATTATCTGAAGTCTGAATCTAGTTATTTTTAAAGTCTATACTTTCAAGTACCAGCATGAGGCTTTATCTGTGACATTAAAAATCGTGATAATAAACAAATATTAAATATGGCGTTAGTCGCGTACGAAAATAGTGATTCTAGTGATGATGAGACTGAAACAACAGTTACATTACATCCGAAAATAATTGGTAATAAGTTTTGCAACATACTTTGTCATTTATATCACGATAGCAATGTATTTTTTTCTTATGTATAATCAAATTTTTAGATCCACTTCAAGAGCCTAATCACAAGAATCAAAATAAATGTAACGATGAACAAAATCTGTTCAATCTTCTTCCACTACCTTCCAAACAAAAAATAGTCATAAATGAAGATGACGATGAATTCCTACATAAGAAGGAGAAAATCACAAAAGTTAATGCTGAGATAAAACCTAAGTCGCGGATAACAGTACCTTCACTGGATGATGTATAAACTCTACTCAATCTATCTATAAATTCAATGCATACATATAGTCTTTATGTTCTAACTTTTATTTAAAATTTCAGTTTAAAGATGTAAAAGGTACTTTGACAAATGTTAAATCTAAAGCACCAGCAGAGGTATGTGATACACATTACATTATTTTTAAAATTGGAAAATGTGCAACAAACTAAGGTTCATTTTTTAAATTCACTGCAAATGTTACAGAAAAAATCAGGTCTACTTAGTATACTACCACAACCTAAGCACAATCAAAACAATTCTACAAAAAAGTTGATTCCACAATCTGTCATCAATAAGCCTGCAGCTGCAGTTAAAAAGAAAGACTTGTACTCACCAACAATTAAACAAACTAAAAAAGAAATAAAAAGCTTGATAACTGATTATTCTGATGACAGTGATGATGAGATACAAAACGACTTCTTTTCAATTAATAAACCAATTGAATTACCACCAGATGATACGAATTCAGATATAAATATTACAAACACTGAAATAAGTAAAAAAGAACCAAGAACACTGGAGTCTTACTTCAAAAAGGATGAGCCTGTAGTAATAGAAAAGGATCAAAGTATGGACTTGCAATTTGTTGAGTCAAACACAAATAGCGAAAGGAGCATACAAATTGAAGAAAACATTCTAGATGAAGAAGCTGTAAGTATAAACCATTTATCTGCCAGAGTTTTATAATCATGAAAAAATTATATGATATATTTTATCCAGATCTTAAAATTATGTGGAACTAGAGGAAAACGCAAACGGGAGGAGATTCAAATTGTTGATATTAATCAGCAAGATGTATTAAAAGGTGCAAGAGAAATGCTGCTTAAGGGGCTTATGGACGATACCACTAAGAGACAATCTCATAGCAAGAAGAAAGGCAATGAACCTACTAGCCAACAGAAGCGAAAACATCAAATTACATATTTGGCACATCAAGTAAGTGATGATAATGTTGTGATTTTAGTAGAAGTATAATATACATTTAAAGCCTAATTTGTGGTATATATTTACATTGGAGCAAAACATTTTAAAATTGCACATAAATATTTATTGGATGGATGTATATTCTCTAATCCCAACATTAAACTTTAACAAAGAGCTCTCCGCTTATCTGTTAAATTGATATTGTTAGCCATTTCGCTATGGTGTTAAACTACCTACATATATAGGAGTTTACACATTTTTTAACATGCCATATTACCTAGATATCCCATTTATTATATATTAACATGTATGTTGTTTTTTAGGCTAAGGCTAATGAAGCTGAACTTCAAAATCAGTGGGCCAACAACAGAATGACAAAGCGACAAACACAATCAAAATATGGTTTTTAGTTTAATTTCAATCATATATTTAATGTAAGCTAAAATAAAATTACAGGAAAGGATAAAATGTATTCTTTCTTATGATGTCTTCTACATTTGCTGTACAACATTATCTATAATCTTCGAGCTTTTCTTGGCCGTGGTGGATTCCATGAAACATGAGTACAATCTGTGACTGACACAACTTGTAGACCACCCATTGTTAGTCCTTTAACAGCAGACTAAAAATGATAATAAAGTACATTGTTAAGTATTCATATATTAAATATAACAGTACAACTATTATAGGAGATAACTTTTTTCATATGACAAAATTAAATTTTAATCCCTAAAATTGTGGCAACAGATTGCTGATCACATGAAACATAATTTGATCAATACAATATATATTTCTAAAGAAGGTACTTACTAATCTCCCAGGTCCCAAGCCTCTCACTCGAACTTTTATAGTTCTGAAGCCTTTGTCAATTGCTTTCTAAAACATATTAATTAATGAGACTTAGACTTACAATGAATTATCAACTAATACTCTAGAAGAACTTACAGTTGCAATACTTATTCCTGTAGTTTGGGCAGCAATATTAGTTCCTTTTTTTGTATTTTTAAATCCCTCCATTCCACATGATCGGATCAATTTCACCATACCTTCAGAATCGGTAAGTGTAAAAATAGTATTGTTTTGGGTAACTCTTACATTACAAATTGGCAAATCCTTATACGGCATACCATCATGTAACTCTTTGTCAGATTCCAGGGTAGGAAAGATATTTTTTTTCCTAAAATCAAATAAGTGCATTAAATTGTCAAATTAGACTATTTGTAGTAATCTATTTTTATAATAGGAATTATATTTAAAAGATTAATCTCACTGGTTTAGCACAGCATCGAGATCAATAATCTTTTCTCCTTGAACACCTTCATCATCAGCTGGTATTCTCTTGTGATCAAAACGTTCTGTAGCTACAGAAGTTGTGGTTTGGAATGACCGTACAATTGTTTCGGTGTACAATGTCAAGCTGTTTCGTAATAATCTAAGCATTTTTTAATTATTATAAAATATATATTTTTGTTTTTAATGAAGACTTATCAACACAAAAGAAATAATGGTATTCCGATTAATTCATACTTGTTTTGTGGGAAAATGTAGAGTAATAACACATGTAATCGGGAATAACCAAAATGACAGTTACTGCTATTAGTTACTGACAGTTTACTTCGCTAGTCTAGCAATGTACATAACTATTACATCTGTGGTAAAGAGGATAGGCAACCGCACTTTTCTAGGGATAATAGTCGATAGACTATCATTGAAGTTGAAAAATAGCAAGGAATAGAAAAAATAAAATGGTAGAACAAAAACAATCAAGCGTTTATTGATTATCCTCAAATAGCGGATTAGGTTTCTGTCTCCTCTTTTTAAATAGACTCTGAGTTCTTTGATTTTTCTTCTCATTGACATTCATATCAAACTCTACTTTCTCTGTAATGTCCTTGACAACAATTGTATCCCGTTGGACTATATCTTGATTATTTTTAGAAATTTCCTGAACTGCGTTTGGCTCATGTGGTTTGTTACTTGTACTGTATTCTTCTGTTCTGTTTTTTAAGACAGAAGCAGTTTTTTTAAGAAAAGAAACAGGAAATGCTTCATATATGTCACTTGGTTTTGTAATCCCAATGTTTGCATTATATGGTGATATACTTGGTCCTGAATTTGAATGTTTAAATGTTAATTCTAATGTCTCACATTCGTCCTCATTAAAGAATGAAACCTTTTTCTTTGGCATTGGAATATTTTGTTTTTCAGAATTTTCATCGACATCATCAGAATCTTCATTTAAAATATAATCTAGCCTGAAAAAAGTTTTGATCATTGTTACAATACAAATATTATTTTTGTTTCAATTCTTGCATGAACTATGCATATAACAGTACCCTATTTTTTTTACTTTATTGTGGAATCCTTTACAACTACACCACTCTTATTAATAATGAAACTAAACATCTTACAGTAAATACCTGTCAATTTCATCTTGAATTTCCTCTAATTTTTCAATTTCTTCTAGTTCTGCAAGTAAATTATTTTCTGACTTGCTTTGAACTATGCACTTATTATTTTGTATCTCAGTAAGTTTGCCCTCAAGTTTTTCTTGCATTACTGCTACTTCATGTAATAGTTGTGATTTTGTATTTTCTGCCTTACGGTCAATAGAATCATTGTCAAATTCAGTTTTATTAGTATCCAAATTCTCTTGTAATAAATTAAGAGAATTTGTATGACCACTACTATATAAATACTCTTCTTCTAAATCTTCTTGCAATTCTAACTCCTCTAATCTTGCCCACAGTTCTTCATCTGCAATTTCATTATTGCTAATATCTTTTTTCTTTTCTTCACTTAGATTATACTTTTTTACTCTTTCTTTGTGTTTTAACCTCCATAACTGGTCTTCTTCTTCTGTACATGTTTCAATTAAATCAAACCCAGGATTGAAGTATGTGTCTTTATATAGATGTAATTGATTATTTAAGTAGTCTTGTTCTTTTTCATATAAATCTAATTTGGATTTAGCATCTGCAAAGCAATTTAAACAACTTTTTTATAATAAATCACACAATATTATTAAAGTGAATATAATATTGTATAATATTACTTTACCTTTAACTCTATTCTGTCTTAATATCTCAGCTTGTTTAATGGAACATTTGGCGAAATAATCTGATCCTAGGGATACTATAACTTCATTTGTATGTTTAAGTATACCTTTAAATAATATTTTATTTCCAAGTGGGACTAAGATAGGAACTTTCAGTTTATCATTAAATGATGTAAAATTCAATGTATTCAGCTGATTTAAGTAATCTTGCCAAAAGCTTACATTATGGTTGTTCTGAGCTAAACTCTGAAATAATAATTTTTCATTACAACAAAGTATCCGTGCTATTGTGAAACGGAGTACTTTTTTGTGTTCTTATTTTAACGACATTTATCTTTTGTTTTAACTTATTCTTAACGAAGTTTTTTAAAGATTAAAGCTTAAAAAAAATAATATGTACATACTTGTTGATAAATATTATTAAAGATATTCATCTTCACCAAATTTATTGTCTTTTGGATAAAGTTTAAGAAAGTAGAAGTACAGTAGCATTACAATACTACCAAAATAAAACAAAAATCAAAATAAAGCCATATAGCCTAAAATTTTTTACAACTTACATTAACCCACAGACATACAAGTTACAACTGAACAGATACTGTTAAGGTCGAGCTCGAGGATATGTGTTTTGATTAAAGTTAGATAATATTATCTACAGTAAGTTTGACATTTAAGTACTTTATAATATATCATCTGTGTATATTGTTGTGAAAAATCATATTTTCAAAATCGAAGTACACTTTCATACATTTCAATTATATAGCGAAATTATTTTACTAATAACATATGATGGCTAAGAAGTCGATTTTGCATGAACTTTACGTATTTTCAGAATGGAAACCCGAACCAGAATATATTGTGTGTATTGATTATATTTTAAAAGATTAATTAAAATGTTCAGTATTCATTATTTTAGATTTACGTGGCTTTATGATTAGCAGAAAATTAGCGATTTACTACTAAGTATAGAATAGAACTGATTAATTTTATATTATGGAGTTATACGTATTAATGATTTAAATTGCAGCAAAAACCTGATTATATAGTTCCCGACAATTTAACAGCACTTTGGAGATGGCTTAAATTTTTTGGTCCGAAAAAAAGCTTGATAGACAGTGTTCATGTGTAAGTAATGTATTTTCAAAGTTATGAAAATATTGTCATGTAAAATATTATACAAAAAATACATGTTTATTTAATTTGTCTTACAAAAGGCATACAGAGAAAAAACAGAAGTGGCATATAGCACTTGGAGATGAGGGAAAAGTTGTTGCTGTACTGACTGAAAACATACTTGAGATAAGAACGAAACGGTCTGACTATGCTACAATTGCTGCAAGAACCACAGGTGAACAAAATGTTCTGTCATTGTTATTTATTTATAATGTTAACATTATAAATATAGTTTCCAGAGATCCCTATTCTCAATGGAGGAAGGTGGTATGGAGTCCAGATTGCTCATTTTTAGTGATTGCATATGGAAATGGAATAGTCAGTTTTTTTGACCTCACAGCATCAAATCTTTTTAATATACCTATTGTAAGTACAAGTATTGCCCCTATTCATTTATACAGTGAATGTTTGCCTCTTATGGTTTTTATTGTATGTAGGACTGTTCGAGGCCAGGCGGACTAGAATGTACAGATAACACACATGCTGTCTCTGAAATTATATTTATGCCTCTCCGAGTTAAAGACACAAAATGGTAAAATATATTCAAATGTTTTTATTTGCCCTTAAATGATTTGAAGCAATAACTGGTTCTAACTGATCCTTGAGAATACTTATCATTTTTATTTTTAACTCTTTATTAGCAGTGCTATTGTAGCACTGCTGAGTGAGTTAGCGAGTGTCATACAAAAGCCCTTATTTTATTTTTAATCAAACATGATTTTTCAACATAGCAAACAACAGAATTTCAACGAGCCTAATAAATGTTTTTTTAATAGGAATTGGGAAGTGTTAGTGATCACCTACGATGGCAAACTACGTTGCTTTATTGTCTCGCAAACTGAAGGCTTCAAGCTGCATCATACTTTTCTTTTTCCTGGAGGTGTATCTGCAGCGGCGTATTGTGTACCTCACTCAATTCTCTATATTGCTGGTGTTCCACAGGTTGATTACAAGGTAAAGTAAATTATTATTCCGTTGTCTATAAAAAAATTAGATGGTAAAAGTAATTCTATTAGAGTCGTCGTATTATTTGCGACTGAGGGTCGTGATTACCTTAGGGTTTGCGTCCACTAGTCGCGTCTTCATAAGTGCAAATGTGTATTAATGAATTACGGTAATAAATACCAATTTCTTAGAAGGATGCAAGTTCTCCTTTGAGCTGCGGATTAAGTGCATGGCGTATCCTAAATGACGAACCATATTATAAACTCTCGGTTGTCTCTGACGAGCTCCATGCCAAGGTAGCGAATGAGCGTTACAAACTATATATCCCCTGGGTCTATTCCAAAAATATGGTAAGTTAGAATGCTCATATTTTTTTTACAACAAGCACATTAAATACTGTCTATAGTTAACGCGATTAGTACAAATTTAAATATGCCTGTTTAAATAAAACACTTTAAGGTTTAAAACGCTAATATATTGCGTTAAAACTTATTTGAAAATGATATTTAACTTCGGCCCGACGAAAGCTTTGCATCAGCCGTGGTCACGGGGACACCCGATCGCGTTTTAAACCGTTAGTGTTTTATTTAAACAGGCACATTATTTTTGACGGGCTCGTATATTTAATGGTAGTAATGTATTGCTAATAATTTATGGGTATGAACCACACCGGATTCAGCAACTTGTTGGACTTTGCCTGGAAAATCTAGATATTAAATAGGTAGTCGAAATTTGGAAATTTCAATGTTCACAGATGAAAAAGTTTAGTCGCGTCTCGGATGCAAAATAGATGAAAAGCATGTCAAGATTTATGGTATATGTGCTAATATTTCACCCTTAACTTGATGAAACAAGCTCATGCTTGTCTGTCCATCTCTGACGTAAAAAAAGTTAAGTAGTCGATCGGACTTCCACTGCGTGTCTCACCAAAAGTATTCACTACGTTTATCTGGGGCCCTGATCAGGTGACCTGCCTATCAAGGTGGCTATGAAAATTGGTAATTATGTATGCATGCATTTGACTCTCATGTTCGTCATATGCATTTTACCAAACGTCTACACCATAATCTTAAAATTTTTTTACAGTTAGCTATCTCATTAATCTGAAATACACAAGTGGAACACTTTAACGGTTTAAAACGCGATATATTCGTTAAACTTATTTGAAAAAGCATCCGTAACTTCGGCCCGACGTTTCGGATGCTTTGCAGCAGCCGTGGTCACGGGGAGACTGTGCCTAATATATTTTGAAGTTGAAGTGTTTTATTTAAATGTGTACTACTCTCGTAAACTATAGACAGTATTTAATACACAGGTGGTACTAGTACTACTATCTAGTATAAGTAAATGTATAATAATTATGCTTCCTTAAGTTAAAGGTATTTTGCTTAAATTAAATATCTTAAAATATCTTCAGAATATCGTAGTTCAAATGATGCCATCCCCTGACTCTTCGAAGCTTGTTTGTATTCACTGCAATGGCGATATTTCCATTTGGAAGCTGCCTATATTGAAAAGGGAATATCAGCACAAATTGATAGAACAAAGCGGTTACGCTTTACAAAACCCTTTGCATAAGAACCATGATACGAAAGACCAGATGTTATATTACCCAGCTGATGTTAATTGGTGGAGTAACCAGGTGATTTATACTGATTAAGAATTTATACAAATATCATTTAAATTAAAAATTAAAAAATTCACTCCATCGATCAGTCATATAACGCTTATCTAGCGATAAATACGAGAGGTCTTAGATTCGATTACCCTTAAAACATACTAAAGTATAACATGAATTATAATTTACTAACGAAACAGGTACAGTAACAGTACTTATACTAAATTACTGCATACTAATCGATACCAACTTAATACAGTTCTTTTTCTGTTTCAACAAATGTTTATATATTTTGTAAATCGTTTATTTTCTCTAGGAAGTAATAGTATCGCGATTTAGTGGCGCTGTGTCTGTATGCTCAATAGAAGACATGATGAATATCCTGGGAAAGCAGCCGGAGTTTTTCCAGGGTACTCCACAGGTATGGTTGGAAAAACATTTTTGACTGTGCTTTCGTAATACTTCGCTCTAAGTTTAAAATGAAATCTTTATTCGTTACTGTAAATTTTATATTTTGATTAGGAGACTGTTAGTTCCTTATATTTCAGAGAAATGTATAATCTGTGTAATAAATCTTAGTCATTTGCATAAATAAAGATTATAACTCATTATGGTACACAGTATATATATTTTCTTGTAAAATTAGGTAAGATGTGCTCATGATGGCGCTTTCGTAGCTTTGGAGTGTGAGACAAATGTGCTGCCTCCAAACAAGACTAGTCCCGAAGACTCGGTGAGTTTAAAATAATAGATACGTATAATAATGTTAATTTAAGCAATTGTTCTCAACCTTTCCTCATATCTAAAAGCCAAGATTCCACTATGGCCGAAAACCTTCAGAATCCATATTATCGTTATTGATAAAGCTGATATCAAAATAACAAATTAAACAACACAATGATATTATGAATTTTAGCCCACTAACTCCCATTGAAGCATCGTGGGCCCCAATTTGTAACCTCGTTCCTATAAAAGGTTACCTGTACCCAAAAGGACATTGGTTTGAACGACCCTGAAATACCCCTAAGTGCTGACTTTTTCAAATAAATCAAATGTTAATATAAATATGTTTTTTGATTCTCAATAGATGATGGTAGCAAAAGCGGATGCTGATGAGGAAAATTCTATGTTAGAAGTGACGAAAGAGATAATGAAGTCTGTTCTATATGCAATCACTGACATGGAGGCATTTCAGCCTAAGCCCAAGAAGATTACGATCGTCTCTCGGGTGTATCGTCTTCTGGGGGTCAAGAGTACTACGCCAAACGAACTCTTTTCTAGAAAGGTAATATACATAAAAAAAAAAAAAAAATGGGTTTCTTTATATACATTATTAAATTCTTATATAAAGCAAAACCTTTAGTTCCTTTTTAATGAAAACTAAGTAAGTAAAAACACATTTTAAATGGCGGAATTTATTAGTTAAGTTATTTTTATTTCCGACCCGTTTTGACACAAAAGTAATCCTTACGTAAACTACAGACAAAACTTTTAAATATTACACTTTAACTGTTTAAAATGTTGAGTATACGAATTACACTAATTTTAAAAAATATTTTTGATAAGGTAAAGGGTAAAAACACTGTCTATAGTTTACGCGAGTAGTACACATTAAAATAAAACACTTTAACGATTTAAAACGCGATATATTAGTCATTTAGTTAATATCTCCCCGTGACCACGGCTGCTGTAAAGCATCCGAAACGTCGGGCCGAAGTTAAAAATCATTTTCAAATAAGTTTAACTAATGTATCGTGATTTAAATCGTTAAAGTGTTTTATTTAAAAGGTAAAGGGTTTTATTTAAATTTGTACTACTCGCGTAAACTACAGACAGTATTTACAGACAAAACTAATAATACATTTTTAGATTGAAAGTGGAAAATATACGGAGGCACTTACGCTGGCTGATACCTTTGATCTCGATAGCGACTTAGTCTACCAACAGCAATGGAGAAAAAATCCCGTTTCAACAGATGCTATTCAAAAATTTTTGGTTAGTACATGGAATACCTAATCAGGCTATCATAACAAGGTTTATCATGTAAATGATTTAGTAATTATTAGCGTCAAAAGTGCAACATAGTTCTTCTCAGACGTCCTCTATATATCCTTCTTAGTATTAATACGATTAAACTTCGCCCTTTTTATCTGTGAACGCTGATTAGTTTCTCAGACTTCTGATATTCCTTCCTGCATTTCATCACATTTAGTATCCATATTTTTCAAACGACAACATGTTTCAGAAATTTATAAGTTTATTATGTATGTAACATGTTTCACGTTAGACCCGGTGAGATTACACCAATTAAAAATGACTGATGACTAGCGACACCCTTCTATTGTCACTTGAAAAATAGTAGTAATCTAATAACCTATCCATATTATGTTATATACTTATTTTTACGTTTTTTTTAAATAAACCAAATGTTTATATACCGTTTCATAGAGTAAAATAACAAAGAAGATCTGGGTCGTGCATCAATGTGTTGACCGTCTGCCTGAGAGCCTATCTGCAGCGCGTGACCTCCTCGACTTTGGTCTTAAGCTCACGTGTGCTGAAATTCTGGATGGTGAGTCTTAAAATCTATCTTACCTTTGAACGGTTTAATATGCAAAATATTTTTTTTTATTTATTGTTAACTACGATTCAAATATTGGATAGCTTACTTTTGTTGTGATCACAAAACTTATCTGAAAGTTACGATTGGTAGCACGTAACGCTGTGGAAGCCGGTTCAAAACCCAACCATGCAGTCAAAATTTTCATAATTCATATATGTCTACATTTTTATTTTACGATCTAGAATGACTCGTTTTAAACAGTTAAATGTTTTTTTAATGTTAACCACTCCTACCATATACGATACTTATTAATTAGTAGTTTACACACCGTCAACATTTTTCAACTTATTTTTTTATATATTTTGTATTTAACTTTTTGCTTTTTGAAAGTTCGGAAAATAAGGCTCAGGTTTTAATTTTCCCTGTCGCTCGCTATGTAGATTTTTTTGTTGTATTATGGTATGTACGACTTAAATATTCTTATTGAACTTAACGCCTTAGTTTCATATCTCCATATTAGCATGAATCATGCGGACTGCACTTATTTTTTGTTTTACAAGGCGAAATTAAAAGTTGTTCACTATTTTATTTACTCGTGTGTATTAAATATCACACTTCATTAATTAATTCACAGAAATCAACAAGGACCTCCCGGAAGACGAGTGGAAGTATCCAGACGACATCGATCTAGAAGATCTAAATGGGTATACAAGTGAACTATTGCGCTGTAGACACGTCATGATCTTTTACAAAGAGAGGCTTAATCTGTATGAGGTACGCAAATATAACTATAACCGACGTGACACGTAACTCTTAACAAGTCGCTAAAGAATTATAATATATTTCAAATAACCGATTAAAATTGTATTTCAGGCCATATTAAAATGTGAAAAATCCACGTACATAAAGGACGAATACCATAGACTACGCAGCAATAGCGTAGTTCACAGTGCTATGGAAATCGCCAAAGAAGGTCGCATAGAGGCGCTCACATGCTTATGGCCTTACATTAAGAGCTTAAATATGCAACTCGAAGTCTTAAATAGAATACCGGAGTCAGCGAATCCTATAGAATTCCAACACTTATTACCGACTAAAGAGCCAAGGATTTGGTTTGAAAAGAAATCTCCAATTAAAATCAAACCTTCTGAACATGAGAACGATTGGTGTAAAAGAGAAGTTTTTAGGTAAGAAAATAGAAACATACTACAGAATACATATAGTTGACAGTAGTAACTGTGATTAATGGCCATTCTGGCGACTTTTCCCGCGAAAATAGCGACATAAGTGTCATTGCTTAATATGACATATGAAGCTTAATCTATTAAAACCACAGACAAAAAATAATGGTGGAATATTTTCATTTATATGAATTAAATAAAACTCTTAGCGCATTGTTTATTTACCTATAATAATAAAACAGCTAATTGTATAAAAAATCTATATGTCGTATTATTTTTTTTAATTTATTTTAGATCCATCTGGAGTTCAAACTGGTCAGAAGACACCACTCCCGATACGGAGTCATCTCTATCTGATTCAGACATTTCAAGTTGGTATGAGAGACGTGCGAGGGAGATAGAAAATCGTAGTGGACTGGTCTCTCACGCCCTCATGTTAATATCGATCGCAACTGTGGGAGGGGGTGTGAAAGGATTAGATACGATCCTATTTAATCTTCTCACCTTGGATACATTGTTATATGACTTAAACGTTGAAAATGTAACGCTTGCTGATTTAGAACAAATTGATGTTATTGGCATCTGTAAATTGTTGACTAAGCTGGTAAGTTTAGCATTAAATGTAGATATTCATTTCATTTAATGATAATAAAATTAATCTTGAATTATCGTTGATTTAGTAATATTTATATAACCATCTCTTACAAGTAAGGAACTACCGTCCACTGACGGAGAAGCCAAGAAATCTAAACTCGCGTTTCTGTTTATATCCTATGCTACAATCGCGGCGCTAGTAGGAAATCCATTACTCGAACCAAATTATTTTCACCCTTAAACTTGGACCCCACATAATTTTATATAATAATTAATATAAGAGATAAGTATAATAATTTAATATATATTTGGTTCTAATTATGGTTGTATAATAAAAGGCATCTATTTTTTACGCTTCAGTCCACAACGGAAACATTTGTAGCGGACCTGAGGTCGTATGTGTGTCCGTTTTTGAAACGCCATGAGGTGTTCGTACAACAAGAGGGTCTGGCTGTTACCAATTTGATCACGTTTCTAGAGACTCTTAGCACGGACGACCTTACACTTACGCTGGAGGTAAAGAAAACATAATCTGTAATACTAGGTGTATCTATTTTTAATCGAAGACTTTTTGTTAATTATTTTAATGAAGTTTACTTATTAGCGTGAAAATTGATAGAAAATTTATCTACTAGTATCTCTTGAAAACATTTATATTAAAAACTAAATAAAAATTGACGTCATCTACATTTAAAAGCCCTGTATATCATTTTTAGGTGTTCAAAGCTAAGCGTGAATTCTCGCTAGACATGTTGACAACCGTCGAATTAGCCGAGCGCTGTGTTTTGGCGCATGCGCACACTCATCAACTACACATGGCATGTGATCTGTTACACTGTATGCTTAAAGAAACGTAAGTTTATACTATACATTTACGCCATTATCAAAAATTTATTTTAGTTTATTTATTTCTTTCTTTCATCTGCACGAATGTGTTGTATTAGCTGTGCCCGCGTGGAATAGCTATTTTGGGCTTCAATTATTTATTATTGCAAACAACCTCCGAAGCTTTTAAAATTATATCTGTTTTCCACGACGCTGTCCACGTTGTATCGTTCTATCGCTTCGTATCGATTTTGCGTGTTAATCTTAAAAGATATTTACGGTCGCAGACAATATCTCATCAATAAATAAAGATGAATTTTCGCTGCGCATGCAACGGAAACCCTTAAAGATTAAAAATTCTTCTCGTAATTTTCACATTTCACGCCCTCTGTTGTGAACCAGTAGTTTTTGAGAATAGCGCTTTCAAACAAACTCTTAAGCGTTAAAATATTAATAAAGATTCAAAATGGCGTCACTTTAATTGGCGGCTTTGATGCTTGTCGTATTCTCGTTCCTAATTTATTTAACACGATCTACCATATTAAAAGAGATGAAACGGAAAATATTTAAATAATATTTTAATTATTTAAAGACATTATATGTCTAATCGAAATCGCTTTTAGCGATGGAACAATCTCGAACACATGCTTACTGCGCCGTGTATCGGAACTGGAAAAGATAGTAGCTGGCTGCACGAAATTAACTTGGCGGGGCGTGGCCGTGGCACCGAGGGACTTGCGCGATGTACTCGCACATCAGGATCAATGCGTACGGCTTCTCACACGCCTCGCTAGGTCACACCAAGTTGACCCTCTTACGTGAGTAATTTAACATTTTAATTTTTTTTAGGCTTCATTTATAAACAATATAGTTAAACATAAAGTAATTTACACGAATAGTAAATTATTAAATAAAACACATTTTAAGATTTTATACGCGAAATATATCAGTTAATATATTTTAACTATGCCCGGCGATCCGGTTGTTTTGCAGCTGCCACGAAGGACTTCTGTAAAGCATCTAAGACGTCAGGTTTGTCGTATTGACGTTTGAATTATTTTTACCAAAAACCTACGATGTTTCAGCTACTGGAAAGCATACTTTCGCGTTCCAAACCGTTAAAAGTGTTTTCTTTGTTAAGTATTGTAAATTATCTACTTTACACGTACCACTTATTCTTTTACTACTAGACGCTATCTAGTTACCCTCAGTGGCTAGTAAAGAATAAATATTTTGTTATGTTTAAGGTTTCAACTAAATTGACAAAGTCGGTTAAGCTGTTTAGACATAAAGATAATAAACATATCGCAGAGGTTAAGTAACTGTTCTCTTCCTTGGATAAGCTCTCTTTGGTTGGATCCATGAAGCCTAGGAAATTTATACGAAAAATCTATTTATTTATATTTCTATGAATTTGCAGAACAGAAAAAGCGAAACACCGCGAATGGAATAACATCCTCAAGGATATGTTGGATCTGCAGACTACAATCTTTGGTTGTGTAACGCGTGAAAAGTGCTATGAGGTAATAGTCCAAGAATTCATCTGATATGTTATCTTTCACTAAAACAGGCCACGGCCAAAATACGATTCTTTATATCCTCCACGCACTCCTTTTATATTTTTTTTTACATAATATATTATATTTCAAGTTTAATAAAATGTACTACGCCATCTGTTTCGTCGTAGTTGACCAAAATTTGACTTTGACATTAGGGACACCCTCCTTCTCCGAGGAATCAGAAACGTCGAGCAGTAGTTTTAATAAAATAAACTGTAAATAAGTTAACTAATACATTTCGCGTTACAATTATTTAATTTAATTTGATAAAGTTGCGATTTCCTACTAACAATTTGTTAATAATCAAATTTACCGCCCAAAATATCCTATATTTCCCTGTATGACGATGACTCATAAGTCAGATTTTCGTTACTACCAGTAAAGTTTGCGCTATTTCTAGATCTACGCTTCAGCACTTCTGACATCTGGAGATCCAGATAGTATCCGTTTTTCGGCAGAGGTACTCACTTGTACACCCCTTATGCAATTCGGATCCCATATGATAAACTACGAGCAAACTGTTAAACTCGTTCTCAACGCCGCCAGGGAGTATTTTAATTCAGCCTCTTCTCTCATAGACCCGGAATTGCAATTGGCTACGTAAGTTAATAGTTAATAACATCGAAGTGTTGTCTGTATACGCGAGTAGTACACATTAAAAAAAAAACTATAACGGTTTAAAACGCGACTTATATTAGTTTAACTTGTTGCAACCAATATATTTCGCGTTTTAGTTAAAGGGTTTTATTTAAAAATTGAAGTGATTACTTCTTGTTAGAAGGTAAATCGCTTCGTTACGTAACGCGTTACGGTGCCTCGCTGCTGTCTACCTTGACAACTAATCGATAGTAAATAGTTCAACTAAGATTACTTTATTATTTATTTATTTCCATTAACATACTATGAGGGTACATACAGCCACGTTACTAATGCGTTACAAACCGGTCTGCTTTGTTTTCAATTGTAATTTTAAAAGTAAAAATAAATAGTTTACAGTTCTGTGGAGCGTTCCGAGACGCATCAGTATTTATTTTCTGTTGTCAATTTTTTTTTTTTGTAATATTTTAGATTATGTTTGAAATTAATTGAACGTGGCAACACTGAAGTGGAACAGGAAATTGATTTGATTGAAGCTTTACCTACGCTAAACGCGTTCCGAATCAAGTTGCTTCCTATACAAGGTAAGCATACACATAAATTATTCCAACAATTTTTTCAAAATGATTTAGCTAGAAACATAAGCACACTTTAAAAATATGACACTAACTATATGGCCCCTTAACATCGCGACAAAAAAAGAAATATAAATGCATATATAAGGAATATGAAGATCGAAAAATGCAACACTTTGTGCGAACAAATTTATGTATTCTTATTATCGTTCGATTATTTAAAAAAAATTATATCGACCACACTCAGTTTCACCTTTTAAGTGAACTTCTTGCTTGTTTGTTCTGACGAGGACAGGGCACAAGGGGTTACTCATTTGATAGTAGCTGAATGCTAGGAGAGTAGTTGATGGCTTACCGACCTATATTGGTATTGGTCGTTTATAATAAAATCATTATTGAAGTTCTTCTTGTATTTCCACTAAACCTACGTTTCCAGTGCGCCTTTGCGAGGATCGCATGAAACTAATTGAAGATTGTCTAAGTGCTGAGCCAAGTGCGTTTCTGGCTAGCGAGAAACTCCTCCAGATTGCTCAGATGTTGCGAGTTGCTGGCGATGACGAAGAAGCTCGGTATGTTATCTTTCCGCTATCTTTACGTTAAGACCTTAAAGAATAACTATTATTATCTACATACGTTAACAGCATTAAGTTATGTTACTTTGTATTAACTAGAAACTTACCGTAGAACGAACGAGAAGAACTGGCAAGAAATTTGCCACACTTCTTTTATTGTCAAGTGTTTTTTACAATCCTTACGCACTTAATGTGTACATCTTCTTCTATCTTACAGTGGGTTCCTTAAAACCCCAAGCATTGTTATCATTTAAATATTGATTTGCGTTATAGCATTTTTTCAAGTAGTTTTTGTTTAACATACGTTAAAAAGTCATTTGTTGACAGTGTGTACTTTGCTAGCGATATTGTTAAAATAAATTACCTCAATACCGAACCGTGTATACGAAGTTATTTTTCTCTTTAAGAGAAGGAATGGTCCTGACAAGGATTTGCGAGCACGCAATGCGCGCTGATGCAGCAGGAGGCCAGACAGCGGTGTCGGGTGCGCGACGCCTAGCTGCGTTGCGTTGGGCTGGTGCCGCTCACGTATTGGCGAGTGTAGCCCGAGCTGCGCCGGCGCACACTGCTGCACATCTACGCCGAGATCTATTGGCTGCCGCTCTTACGTTTTGCCCCCCGCAGGATCTGGAACAAGTGCTTTCATCGAGGTAAGGTTTTTCATTGTATTTTAACTCTCATGTGTTTTATAATAAATACGGAAACTGTTGAATGATCTATTGGAACTAGCAAAACTACATTATACATTAAGAATAGATTCATTATTTATAATGTATAATCATGGTTTATACAGTCAGATACGGATTTAATTTTAAGTATGTTAAAGATCATAATATATAGTTATAATTTATTAAGAAACATTTAAACTTTATTTTAATAGTTGTACACCTTTTCAGGTTAAATCTGGAATACGAGAGCCTGAAACCGAAGTCCGTTCAAGTAGAATCCAACTATTACAGCTACCGTTGGCCCTCCACAGATGACGAGTTTTCAGACGCAGTTGGTACGGTATGTGTAAAAAATTGAATGAAAGTTTTATTGTTATATTAGTTTAATACTTAATTTATTTAAAAAAATTATAGCCCGCTTCAGAGAAGAAAGATTTTATGACTCCCGTTCAGGAGAAAAAGCCGTTACTCAACTACCTTGTGGACACCATTCAAAATAAATTTGCTAGCGGGTAAGTTAATAAAAGATATCATTATTGAAAGTGCAATACCAGTCTCACTTATTGTCATTTCGTGTTCTCTCTAGTGATAAATCGTCAGAGATAGAAAGCGAGACGGTTCAACGTAAAGTTCACTGCCAAGAATTCTACTCAACACTTTACTCTAATTTAGAAGTATCCCCGAGTTTTTACCGGTACGACCGGTTCTCGACTGAAACACAACTCGATGCGCACGACTCGCCTCATTCACGTCTAAAGTTCTACTATATACAAAACTGTCTTGGTGATGTAGCCATGCCAATTAGTGATAATGAGGGCGAAGGTAAGCAAAATCTTTTGACAAATATGTATTAAGTGTAAATTCTACATAGAGAAGAATATAGTTCAGATTCAGAAAGTTGTTCAACAACATTTAAGTATCAATCAATAATGCAATACCTTTAGAACGGACAATCCGGCTTGAAGGACCAATAAATGAATAATGGATAATAAATAGTTGGTTACGACTTAGTAATAGGTTAAATGAAATTGTGCCTGAGGCGCACTTGAGTTGATAGTTCTCCCAAGTTATCTGTCTAACGATGATTTCGCAACACTTTTATTGTTTACTTACTCAAAATACCTACTGTACTTACTTTTGTCACAGTTACGATGTTTATTTGTCGGTTGTCCAACCCCTAATAATGAAAACGATGTCTTACAGTTGTTCAAAAATGTGCGGACGACATCTTGTACAAGGACACAGCGCTTAGTGTCGCATGCTTACTGCGGTCGACGCAAGATTACGCCCGATACAAGCAGCACTTACAAACGCTGTACACGGAGTGCGCTGTGAGCGCAGCCCTTTACGTCATCCTCCTTAAATGCAACTCGCCAGACCTACGCGATAACGTATATCTTGCCAGACCGCGAGATGTAAGTGGCTTACTATTTCAAACTTGTATAATAGCGGTAACATCTTGAAAATACAGCGTGGTGGTGGGGGCAAGGTCACGCACGTACACTTTCGGACGAAATATTTATTTAATTTTTGGAGAATTGTTAAAAATTAGGATTGCAACGAATATTCGGCTTCTTTTATTTTATTGTGTCGACTCGATAGTAGATAAAATTAAAAATAAATAGATTACTTAAACATACATTCACCTTTTCAGACCTCTTACAATAATCAACTATAAATAATCATTGGTTACGGTAAAAATAGAAATTTAAATTAAAAATAGATTAAAAATAATTTACGAAACATATCAGCTTTACAAATTGTAGTATTATATAACATTTATTTTATAGTTTATATCAAACCAAAGCTATTAAAAGCTAAGCTGGAATTTGTCATTCATAGTATTTCAGTCACTATTACGACAAAGTTATCATATTTTATATATATTTTTTTATTTATCATTGAAATAGGTTTAACAAAAGTGCACGCTAGTGTATTTGGGAGCAAACGGAACGTAGAGTTTTACCAATACCAGGCAATAATAACATGTATATAATTACATACTTATGTTCTCTTTATATTTGAATACTAATCGTCAGATGTTAATTTATTTAAGATGGCAATAGCAACGCTAAAGGAGAACAACGCGAACGAGGAGCAAATGTCAATAATACGAGAATGTATAAAGAAACTAAGTGCTATGGGAGAAGTTAATCAGCTTCGTGCGTTAGGAGTCAGCGTCAATGCGCTTATGTTCAACGCAGACGAGGACTACCGTCGCGAGGTCATCTATAGGCTTGCCAAGTGGGTGATAACAATTATCAAAAATCACTTTTTTAATGATAGAGGAGGACAGACAGAGAGTGGGTTCATCACTAGTTATCTTTGGTTTAAAATCGGCCATATTTGTTGTGGTCTTTTGCCAAGTTAGAAAAAATATACATGAATAAACTGTAATGTGTAATGGTAGCAATGTGTGTAATGTAGCTCGTTGGTGTAATAGCTATGTTTAGCTGATAATCACCAGGTTGTGGCTTCAATCCCCACCAACATTTTTGTCATCAATTTAAACATCTTCTGAAACATGTTGGACTTCTAGTAATCTGGATATTATATGGGTGGAAGGAATATCGAAACTCTGTCGAGGTCGTAACCCACCGTCTATAGATAAGAAAGCCGTGAAGTTTAATTTAGTTTCGTTTTTAATCTGTGAATTTCCGTATTTCTCCTACCATCAATTGAAACCTTGCTTGTCTGTTCTTCTCTATTATAATAAAAACATAGGCCACGTACAAACACTCGCTGACTACCGTCTTTTAATTTCTTACGTAGGTCCAACTCCGAAGATCATGCGCGCCTCGCGTGTAGTCTGGCTATGAAGTATGGGTTGGATTTGCTAGACGTGTGGCTCCATCACGTAGCTTCGGATTCTACATTGTCCCATATAGCACCTGATGCTATTGAGGATATAGCGCGAAGGCCCAACGCACATTCACGGTAACTATACATCATTTATAGCAGTTTTAGTGTCCTTAACGAAATTGTGCTATTGTTAAAAAAAAATACTTTTTTAAAAGTTGAATACGTTCTGAAGTTGACGCGAGTAGTACACATTTAAATAAAACACAGAATAGATGGCACTAGCGTAGCAGTTTCTTAATTTGACGTTAATGGCGACACATCCATCCATCCAATCCAATCCCATCCATCTTTAGCCTACACGTGACCACGGCTGCTGCAAAACCTCTGAAACCTTGGGCCGCAGTTAAAATATTTGTATGAAATTTAGCGGTTTTTTTGAATTCCCATTTTTTATCAATTTTATTGCAATACATATATTTTATGTTGTTTGAACTATTTTTAGGATCCGCGAAGTCTTATGGCCCGAGATAGACGGGAACAATTATGTAGCATTAATAAACTTCTTTACTTTACTAAAGAGGGTAGACGAAAAGGCAATTGTCTTTGGTCTCACTGCGACGGAGCATATCAAATTGTTGAAAAAGGCAAAAGCTGCCTCGCAAGGTAATATTATGCGTTTATAATAAACTAGAAACAGGAAGAAATTAAACATTGCTTATAATAAGAAGCGAGAGATCCTGGGTTCAAATCCCAGGGGAACAAAAAAAAGTTGTTCCGGGTGGTACAAAAGGCTGATCAACTACTTGCCTGTTAAAAAAAAACCGATCAGTGAAACGGACACAGGAATGTGTTCGCTCCACGCCCCACGAGGGGGAAACGGGATTTCACATATTGAAATAAGAAAAAGAATATAGATTTTGTTTCATATACCTTTTCGGGAATACCAGTAGCCTGTGTTTCTTTGTGTCGTATTTTTTTTATAATCGATTTATATAGTGCCATCACGTGAGAAATATTAAAGTGTTGACATCAGTTAGTTTATTTTACAGATCTCGATTACAAACTGCTCCTACAACAACCATCAGAGGAAGAGTTTACTACTCACATCCTTAGTATAATCAAGCCGGAGAATGTGGGCTTGCTGACTAAGTTTCTTAGGACTCTGCCCCCCACATTTAAGATACCGATTACCGTTAGCGTTTTGTACACGAAATGGCTTACGAAGTATTTCTTTGATGTGAGTTTTTCCACGAGCTTAGATTAGATTAATTAGATTTTTAGTTTTGCGAGCGTCCTGATCATATTTGTAAATTATAGCTGTTATCGACGACGTCTTCCGTGGCCCGTCGTTCTTGCAAATTAATCTTAAAAGATAGACATATATTGTCGCTGACTTTTATTTAGATCATGTTGAAGAGTCATTCTTCTGTCTGACTTCTCAAGATGCTCAATTTTCATACTGTTGCTTTTTAGGTACCCGCTGCCAATGTGACGAACAAAAAGTGGATGCAACAATACCGAGAATGCGTCAGTTATTTCAACAAGCTGTCAAAATACGACATAGTGACATTCATTGAAAACATCTGCTTTTCACGCGATGCTGTACAACGGTAAGTAATACATCTCACGAAGAAAAGCTATGCCTTTTTTATCAAAAAGTACAGACAACATGGAGCCACGTAACGGTATCACATGTGGCCAATCAATTTATAATTTGTCTGAAACATTTTGGACATTAAATCTTGGGTGGTAGAAATATTAAAAATTCCGAACATTATCCACCATCTAGAGATTACAAAATCGGGACGTTTAATACGCCTTTTGGTTGCAGTCTATGGATTTCCGAATATCCAAAGTCAAAATAGGTCAATAACGCTTCTTGTATATATTGCTGGGGTATTTCATCTTCCATATAATCAATCCCATGAGAATGTCATTCGTTAACAATGCGTTGTTGTCCTATTTTATTTGTAATCATTGATAGATAGAAAATGACATCATGCATAACAGATATTTTACAATATCGATTTCAGCCAAAAAGATTGATTAAAGGGCTGCTTTTATTGTTTTAAATCAATGTCAATTTATTTTTAAGTGCATTATTTTTTCCAGAGTACCGGGTGCTACTCGTAGCTTAATGATAATGCAAGCTGTGGACTACTGTCAGCAAGAACATGAGAGCGAAGTAAAGAAAAATAAAACGTACGTAATACATGTTTTGGTACATTTTATTGATTTGTAATTAAGGGGTTGTCCATTAATCACGTGACCTTTTTTTAGAATTTTTAAACCCCCCCCCTCCCCCATTGGTGATACGTAGTGAGGTATGAGACCACCCCCCCCCCCCTCCCCCCTTCTCAACATCACGTGTATTTTTAGTACCTACAAAGAATCTTAAAATTTTCTTTTTAATTAGTTTAATATAAGGCAATTATTGCGAATCTTTTTTAGCTAATCCCAATATCAAAACGTCTTTCATATAAAAACATCTTTCAGGTCCCAGCCGTGGGCTCTAGTGGGCCAAGAGCTGATGCTCTTCGCTCGTTTCCTTGACAATTATCACTCGTCAACGTTGCAGGCTATAAGAGCCAGTAGTGGCATAGCGTCCACAGAAATATGGCCGTAAGATATTTTACTATAGATAGTCAACAGTTTTTAGTAAGCGCTCATCTCAGGCACTTCTGGTTAAAATTGAAATCTTTTTGTATTGGTTGTTGGTTGTTAGAGAGCATTTATTGTGAAAAGCTTTAAGCTATAAAACAATGTGAACAGTGGGAAATATGGACAAAAACAGTGGAAGTTATTCATCTTTGAGGGCTTCCGTTCCGTGTGCGCTGCGAAAATGGTTCGAGATACCCAAAAAATATATCTAATAGGATGATTCCTCTTTAAAAGATCAAGAAAGAAGAAGATTTTGATGCCACAATTTACTACTACTCTGCGTGGACGAAGTCGCGGCCACAGCTCGTCATAAAACAAAATAAACAGCTGATAGTCCTAACTTTATCAATAGAAATTTAACTTCACATCTTGATCTGAAAATGTACATGGAAACTTCTATATATGCAAATTGAGGTCGAGTATCTCGCCTGTTCTTCTTTTTCGTTCTACTTACTTAATTCGAGAGCTAGTAGTAAATTGAGAGTCTTCTTCTTTTAATAAATGTACTTAGGTATTATGAATAAATGATCTTTGATTCCAGCGAACTAGAAATGTCCCACGGTGACGGGGTACTGTCGGTACTGAGCCGCCTGGTTTGCTATTCCTCGCTGAAAGCAAGTTCACTCGATTCTTTGCTACAATGCCTCAACTTGAAGTTAGATGTGCATAAACTATTCAAATATGCCGCTGAGAACTTTATCAATAACTTACAGTGAGTAATTAACCATTTTTTTAATACGCACTATCGGCACTATACGGCAACGGCTACAAGAAAATACTGCTGATTAGAGTAGTTTAACTTTGTCAGTACGACGATCGGTTACTTTATTGTTAACTATTGTCTGTAGCTTACGCGAGTAGTACACCTTTAAATGAAACACTATGACCACGAAAACGTTGTGACTGTGAAAACGTAAACACGGATGCAAAGCAAACGAAGAGTCGAAATATATATACATATATAAGAATATTCAGGTTTTAAACCGTTAAAAGCGTTTTATTTCAACACTTTATTGTTGTCCACGCTATCCAAATGCCGGTGCAAAATTGACTATATGTTTATTTAACTTTTAGCTGCAATTAAATCCATGCCATTCAAACCAAAGTAAACACAAAAATATACGTAATTAAAATTAAAAAAAAAATGCAATTAAAATCAAGATTCAAGAGAATTAATAACAAATAAATGCTTTGGTGACGTCACTTGCCTGTTGCTACAGCACATTTCATTGTTTCTTTCAGAGACACCGAGATACTTGCAACACGAATGACACAGTACTACAAGGAAGGTGTCAAGTTTCCAGAAGATCTACTAGACAATGTTCTGCAGAAGGCTTCCGAGTACGGGCTACCGCCTCATAAGCAACTCGGCCTGCTGTCCCTCAGCCAAAAGTCAAGGTTTCAAGACGCTAGTGACCTTCTTAAAGTGGCCGCATCCACTATTGATTTATTCAGAACTGTTTGGCCTGACAACGAACATACCGAAAGTCTCACAGGTAAGAAAATATCTTTGAAAAAATCGACGAGATCGTTTGTGTAGTAGCAATGTACGGCTCATAACCAACGGCTCGTGGAAACGATCCCCACCGGGTCCTACATTTTTTAATTAATTTATTCTTAACTTCGTCTGGAAACCACGAACCACCGTCCACAGATGAAAAAGCCGTGAAGTCTAATCACGTGACTATTTAAGTCTGTGGAGTTCCGAATATCCAAAGACAAAATAGCTTTACAGGGCATCTTGTTTAGATGTAGGGGTATTTTACCTACCATCCCTTGCTTGTCTGTCCTCTATCATTAAAAAAATAATGGTATTGTTGGGATTCGAACCCATGACCTGAAGAACATCAATTGAGTCTCAATACGAATCACGTTAACTCGTTAGCCCAGTTAGTATAGGAACGGTACAGATATTAAAATCATTCTAAAACACATATACGCTTCATAAAACTATATACATTTGAAAAGATTCATATTTCTCATAAGTTATTGCACATGATGGCACTATATAAATTAAAAATCGATTATTCATTTAGATACATATATTAACTGATAGTTTTTTGTAGAAGATACGGTCCTGACAGCAGAAGGTCGAGAGACAGTTTTTGAAAAGTTTCTACGTGCAAGCGACACATGGCAAAAGAAGAAAGCGCTAGCCGATGTAATCAATTGTTGGCCTGTGACTTATAACGAGTGAGTCATAATATATTGTCTGTAGTTTACGCATGTACATAATTAAATAAAACACTGAACGTATTTGTGAAAGTTATTAACAAATTAATTATTTTAACTACGGTCCGATACTTCCCCCGTGACCATGGCTGCTGCTAAGCGTCCGTAACGTCGGGCCGTAGTTAAAATACTTTGTAAATAATTTCAACTAATACATTTCGCGTTTTAAATAGTTAAAAGTTTTTTTTATTTATAAGAGTGAGTAATGTATTTATTGAGTTAAAAATTATATTCATAATGTGGCTACATGCTTTGTTTTTCGTCTTCGTTTAATGATATATGTCAGTGTAAGAACATTTAAGTCACAGACATAGTTGCGTCGTCTACCTTTATCTAAAAAGTAGAAGATGAAATAAATTTACCTTAAAGTATACATTTTGTCATTAAAATTATAACAATTAGGTAAAATTTAATTATAATTATTATTGCTTGATGCCATAATTACGTATATAAGTATTTTGGGATCTGTTTTTGTTGTGTAATTTATACTTCAAAATCTAGAATAACATGTGCTATTGTAAATAAGTTAAAGCGTTGCTACTAGGACAAAATACATATTGACCTCGCTAGCAATATATTTTATTGTTTATTATAGAGCCGGACGAAGTTTGCACTGCATGTACATACAGACCCTGCTGCAACAAGTGTCCGAGTACAAAGAGAATTTAGTTCTCATCAAATTGTTACTCACACGGCCGATACTCAATGAAATGGTACAGTATATTTTTTATCACAGGGGAACAGACAAGCCGAGGATCACTTGATGGACGGTTGCTTCCTCCAGCCCATATATAACATGTACAAGATACCCTGTCGCCCTTTTTTGGCTTTGGATATTTAGAAATGCGTTTATATTAACATTGAAACTTGGGTCCTGTGCATCTAGTTACAGTTCTTGAGCTCGAGAGATAGATCCACTAATTTATTTATCTATTATTAATATCTTTCACATGTTATTGCACTTTATGGCATACATTAAAAATCAATTTTAAATTATAATATTATAAATTATATTAAGCTGCAAAGCATAAGACATTGAAACTAAATACGCAAGTGTTAAGGTTGAAAATTACATTGCGCCAGAGGTGCATGTATCAATGACGTGTAGGACACGGTAGCTCAATTAGTTAGAGCAACCACACGGAACGCTGTGAATACCGGTTCAAGTCCTGCCCCTGTCGTATTTTTTTATTTATAATTCATTTTTATTTTTATTTTTATATAGTGTCAGTACTTGGCATCCTGTTAACACACATTCAGCCAAGTCAAATGAAGGTCTATTCAACATTTTATTTTATTCGTAGAAGTATTTTAAATTACTCCACTGTATAATAAAAATGCTTGTGAATACGCCTTTTTGTCTACTAAAATTAAACGTATTACAGGAACTGGGTCTAATTATTCAAGATGTAGGTGATAGTTCAGTGACATCAGCTATGTGGGTGTTATTACTTAGCAAGTCTGAAAACTATGTTTCATTGCTATGTGATCTTATCAATAGCCACCAGGTATTCAATTTTTATCATTTGGTTAGTTTTAAAGGCCACCAGACCTGTAAAAAATTCCACTACAATTTTTTGTAGATAGTCATTATTTGAATAGTTATTAACATTTATAAGCACTATATAAGTATGTTCACTATAAAAAAAATGAATTGTATTACTGCAATTTAGTGGCCTTCTTGACATTTTCTATCCTGTATGCTTTTTATTTTAATAAATAATTTAAGACCTGTATGTTTTACCTTTAGGAAGCTCTTATTAATCAAGAGATAGAAGAAGATCTCATCAAGGAAGTATTGGATCACGGACTGTTCGTAACATTGGTTACGACGCCTCTATATACTTCAATGATAATGTTTATACTTAGTGGAGAATCACCTCTTAACGACAACAGTGCCTGCTCGTATACCGTGGAAGGAGCGATTGAGGAACTAGTACAAGCTAATTATATAGCAGAAGCTGGGCACCTTCAGTTAATATCGAAGAGCATTCCGACACCGTTGCGTGGTTTCACTCAGACGGTCATGTTTTGCAAGAATATTTTACAGTAATACTCATTCCTATGTGCTTAAGTACTAGAAGAGTTAATATGTATGGTGTTGCGTAGTCAATGAATATATAATATAGTTTGACGTACACAGATATAGATTTTTATTTTTTTTGACAACCATCTATACTAATATAATACAGCTGAAGAGTTTGTTTGTTTGAACGCACTAATCTCAGAAATTATTAGTTTGAATTGAACAATTATTTTTATGTTAATTTATCAGGTTGCGACGAATAGGAGCGGAGAAACAGAGGGGAATGTGAGAAAACGGTGAAATCTGTAAACGTTAAGGTCTTCCATTGCGTGCGCTACGGTCCAAAAACCAAAAGATATGCATGAAAGGATTCTCCTTAAAAAAATATCCGTGACATAGTTTGTGTATCTTACGAGATTAACTCGCAAGAACGACGTGATGCGGACGACGTCGTGGGTAACAGCCAAAATTTATAAAGCTGAGGTAATTTGTAAAAATAATGAATATGTATAATATTAATTATTTTTACAAATTACCTCCATACTATAACAATAAATGCAGTTTGGTATTATATTATTTTTTAAAGCTTTGATTTTTTTCTGTTGTTCATTCTGTTTGATTAAGTGGTGTTTACACGTAATAAATATTATAGGTATATTAAAAATCTATAGATGCATACTAAATAAATTGTATGTACCTAAAAAAATATCGTAATATTTTTATTTTGAACTACTCTGTCGTACATAATTTATCTGTGGTCTCAATCTCGTGTAAAAAATGTACTATAATGTTGTTCTCATTTGTGCTATTTAATCTGTGGAATAAGGATGGTTATAATATACAATTATAGAATACCAAAGAGCTATCAATAATGCTGTTATCTGTGCTGAATTGTTCAACATTTACCAATTTTTATTTATAGTTATTAGTAAAGTTTAAAATTTAAACAAATTTTTCAAAATAGTTTTGATTTTATTACTTATGAATTAAAATATGTACTTTCTTAGCCAATGTAAAAGAATACAAAAGTAACCTCAAGTACAGTACAAAATTATTTGCAGGTTGTAACATAACATTACCATCTATTATAGAATACTGAGGTTTTTTAGCTTTAAAAAATACGCAAAATGCTAATCCGTAATATTCGGTATGCGTGTCGCAGATATAGTCAAGCTGTAACATTCAGAACCGCAGAAAGTTCCCCAGTAAGTGCGTTTTTAAAATAAATATTTATTATTATTTACCACCAATACAAAAACAAATAAATATCATAAGGGTAATATTTTAATAAACCTACCGTTTTCCCCTAGGCTGAACATAATAGCAACCATGTTGGTTTATTTTATACTATAAACAAAGATTTATGTAAACAATTATATGGACATGGTGGTCTGCCTAAATCGTATATGAAACAATCTAAGACGTTTGCTGAAACGGTGATAATGGTGCGACAACCGGCATTGGACATAATTGCTTGTATGAAAGCCTCTGATCTAGAAAAGCCGGTCACCAAATATGTTTTATGTATCCTTTTTACAAGTAATGTTGCATTATAACCTAATACTTTAGATGCCAGGATTTAAAAAAAAAAGTTTGTAAAATATGAATTCGTCCACAATTAAAAATACATTTCTAAGGGAAGTTCTTTGACTTGTTGCATAGTTAAAGCACAAATAAACACAATATGATATAATGTATACACCGTCTTGGCCTGTTATTTTCTTTAACTTAAAATACAATAGATGGAGAAGAGGGCACAGGCAGGTCAATGACCATTGCTCATCTACTGCATTACGCCTTTGAGGAGGGTTACCTCATCATCCATGTACCTTGGGGTAAGAAATATTTACATTAAATATTATATCATTATTACTTAAACTGAAGCTATATTTGACAGTTCCATTGTACACTCTATATTAAATTATTGTAAAACCATTGATACTATTCCATATTGAACTTATAGAAATTTTTGTCATATTGCAGTATCTGATTGGTTGCGACGAGTACAGCGCCACAAAGAGATGTCCAACTCACTGACCCGTGAAGGTATGGTGGATGTGCCACTGGATGCCGCTGCTTGGTTATTGCACTTTAAGACACAGAACCAACACTTATTAAAATCTCCAGAAGTAAGATATTAGTTATCCTTTCTAGGTCGACTACAATCTTCAATACGTTTTATTATTTGGTAACTTTCAGTTAAAAATATCTAAAGAATATGTATGGAGCAAAAGGGAGAAAACTGAAGCTGGTGCACCACTGTCGGAACTTATTGAACTTGGTATTTCTCGTGTGAAATATGCGTGTGATGTTGTAGATGCAATTGTTCATGAAGTCAAGCACCTGTCAAATACTGGAAAGTAAGAATATTTTATTTTTTAAGCAGTGAAGAGATTAAGATTATCATATTAGAATATATCTATTGTATAGTATTATTCCCCAGCCAAAGGGGTATCAAAAAATAATATTGTTTTTCTGGTCCAGAAAATAATCTAATAATTATGTGTTGGGCAAATCATTAAATTTTTTTATTCCCAATCTTTGTCATAAGGTCATTCATTTATTCTTTGTCCTCTTCAACGGGGGAAAGAGGGGAAGTGCAGACAATGTGAACTGAAGCCGTGTCCTCAATTATATAGTTATTTTTTGTTTGCAGGTTTAAAACATTTGTAGCAGTTGATGGATATAATGGCTTCTTTAATTCATTAACACGGCTGAAAACTCCCACTAAAAAGAAAGTTGCTCCTGAAGAAGTCACTCTTACTACATCTATTTTAGAGCTTACTAAAGGCGACTGGGTTTGTTCCTTTTTTTAAAAAAGCTATATCCTATGACTGTTAGAAAAAGTTTAAACATGAATGACAATTTCTTTACAGAAAAATGGTGTCATAGTGCTGAGTGCAGATATGATAGCAAATCCTGATGAGCAAAACAAACAAATCTTTCCTATGAATTTACTATATAGAAAGGTGTGTATTATTTAAAAAATTACTTTGATTTCCTTCACCTTATGTATTAAATAAAAATCTAAAATATGTTACATAGATACTTGTTGAAACTGAATAATATTTATGACTGTTATAATCAAACAAATATATAAGTAACATTACCTATTTAACTTTTCATTTCATTTCAGGGATTCAACCACCTTGATCCGTTCGTTCCAGTAAAGGTTGATCGATATAGTGAAAGAGAGTTCATCACCTGTGCCAACTATTACAGAGATAGACTGTGGCTAAGAGGTCCACCAGAAATTGAAGCAGAACTCAAATTGACCAGTGCATTTAATCCTTATAAATTTATGGAACAGTGTGCTCCATTATAAAATTGAAATTCTTCAGATAAATGTAGAGTAAATGATATCTAACCAACTTATTTAGTGTCTTTAATATTTTTAAGTAATGGCTACAGAAAGAAATAGTTTTATATTAACTAAAATAGGTAAACAATAGAATTTTTATTGATTAAATTTATTTAACATAATATCTACAGTATGCGCATGAAGAGTAAATTAAACATTGTATCCAACAATATGACGTTTTCCAATACATTCACCAACATAAAACCAGAATAGCACTTCAGCTCCAACTAGGGTGTTGAGTGTTGCTTGCTTAACGGTTTGCTGTTTCCATGCTCCGGTTCTAGCACTGGATAGTAATTTGGCAATACCAGCTTTGATTTGCGAAATTTCACTTGGTTTAGGAGGTGCCAGTTCTACTTTAGCATACTTCAAGAAAATTGCAAACTTGGGTTTGGCATTTGCTATTGCGCCTATAACAAATAAAAACAATCGATTTAAAAAAAACGACACTGAAGAAGTAGTTACCAGCATGACCATGGTTTAAGAAGACAAAATAATATTACATAACCCAGCCTATAAATTTAATAAACACTTATAAAAAGTTATATACTTACTATTTACTAGCGACGGTAATTTAGCAACTGCTCCTGCCATGTTTTAGATATTATAAGTTAATTTAGCCGATCTAAAGCTATAGCAAGTACGTTCACAAAATGTGAACCTTATTCGATTTTGGAAAACTAAGGTACCACAGAATTTAGTTTGGGTCTACAGGCGGTCCAATGACATAGTTGCAATTACAACCGAAAGTTGTTTATCTTCTACTTTATCTGTAGCAAATTATATCTGTGGGCTGTGGTCTACAGTCTATTTCACTAGGTCCAACGCCAACCACTGCCAACGTTTGTTTTTGGTTTGTGGTTTGGAGGAATTTAGAGCCGGCTAGTTTTTAATTTACCTTTTGTGTGTATTTCAAGACAATGAATTATTAAAAATTTCTACAATAAAACAAACTCAAATTGTTGGATACCATACAAAATAGCGTTACTTAACATCTCTTAAGAACATACAAAATGTTCATTAGGGGTCAGTATGATGTTGCGAATAAATGTATATATTCTAATATTACTAATACAAACGTAGTATACTTTATCAATGTAAATAATTAAACTAAATAAAAACTCCCTTAAAATTGTAGTATATTTTCACTTATGATATGAACACTTACATTTTACTGTAAATATTTAGGGACACGTCATGCTAATAGTTTGTCCGGATATTTAAGGTTATTTTGTAGATTAAGAGAAAATTAAGAATGTAATACCTTAAAATAAATTTATTTACAGTTGTATCAGTATTTTTCTGCATGTTAGCAGCATGTAGTGCAATACTTCAAGGAACGATTGATGTAAAGAAGTTGCAAGGAATACTAGATGAAGGCCTTATAAGTAAAGACATAAGTTCCATGTACCATTCTCTGAAGGGACTTAAACAAATTGGGGCTAAGATTCCTGATGTTTGTCAAGTACGTGGTGTGAAATAACGAGCAGCTCATTATATATATTTTTTATCTTAGTGAAATTTGACCAATTTTTTTTTTCAGGATATTAAGTCAGCCAAATGTGATTTAAATAATATAGAGCAAGTGTTTTACCTTACAAATGCAGCAGCACTATCAGGTTGCCAAAACTTCTTAAGTCCTGATGTATTAGGTGCACCCGTAAGAGTACTTGATAAAAAAGATGCTAGTATTAGTGACATATACTATGCTGTGTACTCTCTAAAGGCAATTGGAAAAGGACAAACAATGGAAAAGGAAGAAGCCTTGAAAAATCTTATTCAATTATTGAAGAAGGACGATTCTCCGGCTAAGTAAGTTCTACACAACATCTTATTGATTCATCAGGTTGCTTATTCAGTCTTCTTGTAAAGGGTTTTTAAAGAACCTTTATAGACATACTGTGTCTTAAGGTACAGAAACGAGTTCAAATAAACCACTTATTAATTTAATAAAACTATGTACTTATGTTAAAAAAGTTAAATGAAGTAAATAAAAGAAAAAGTAGCAATAAATCTGGAGATTTAAAAGATCTACAAATAAAAATTTTAGATTGCATATAAATTTTTTTATTATTCTGTACTTTAAGATTTCATGTAATTTATTTATTTATGTAATTAAGTCCTAATAAGTTATTTAGTTTTAGGATACTTATAGTATCATATATATAAACTTTTTAGCTATGGCTTTGTGTTTGCCTTATGTGAGCACATGGGATGTGAAGCATGGACTGCTCAGCATACAGATGGCATTTTGCTCTCAGCTGATGAAAGTGACTCTAAGGCTCTGCATTTTGAAGGTGGCCTGCCTGTTACATCTTTTGTACTTACTACTATCTTACGGTAAGAAAATTTTAAGTAATATAGAAATTTAAATGTGAAATACCATTTTGTTTTATACAAAAATCTTAAAGCAATATTATTTATTCCCACGCATAAGACTTAATTCTTCAATTACTCTTTCACTATTATTGGTAAATGTTAAAATATCTGGAACTCTCTGGTGATATCAGAAAAGTTCAAGAGATCACTCTTTAATGATAATTTACTAATAAGCTAGATCTTAGCTTGTTAATTTTATGGATAATTTCATGTGGTCTTGGTAATTATTAAGGTTTGATGAAAAAACAATTACTACATTGAATTAACCTTTACAGTATGGTATCGATCTCTTTTGGGTTGGGACTAAAGATCGAATCAATTACTTTAACAAATCATTTGTGACAGAGACCATGAATAAGTCTGTTTTGTTCTAGTTTAAAAGTTAATTAATTAATTTTAATAAAAGCTAAAATTATCTTAAACAGATCATTCAAAGTGTTGAAAAAGCCATCACCACTAAGCCCAGAGCAAAGGTACAAATTCGCCACATACCTAGTGTCACGCCGTTCTGTCAATACACCGCGTGGTGCTTCCCTGCTATTGGAGGCTGCATATGCCATTGCTGATGATCAGGTTAGTAATACAACCCCTTACAGTTGTACTTTTTTTACATTCATCAAAATGAGCTTGATATAGAGAAACACAAATTTATATATTTCAAAATAAATAATTATGTCCTTCATTTTTAAAGTATGTATGTGTAAGATGTTTTTTAACGTTACAGCCAACACCGATCTGCATATCATTTAAAGACAGAAAGTATATTACATCAGAAATGGACACGATAGAATTCTCTGTAACAGATTTAATAGGTAGAGCAATACCCAACCTTAAGCCAGAGGAAGTTGTGGCTCAATCGGGCACTAGACTAGCAGATGATGTTGTTGTTCTATCGAAACAGCCTCTGGTGAAGAAACAAAATGAACTGACAACTTTTGTCCTTAATCTTAGCAAAATTAAAACACAATATGGCATGTACAAGATCTCTTTAGCCGCTGGAACAAAGTCTTCCAATTTTAATGTGGCAGTTTTGGGTGAAATACAACTTGGTAACCTGGAAGTTGGTATTGGTGATGTAGATGGTACAACCAGTCCCAAAGTGACTACTCTTACATACCCCAATAAGCTCACTGATGTATTACAAGCAGACCATTTGCAAAAGTAAGTTATTGTTGAGAGAAATTATAATATAATTATCCTGAAATATAGATTTTAAAAATATAATACCTTTAGTCATACAATTTTTTACTTCACTAACTTATTTCTTCAGTAAATTACTTAAGTCTTACAAATAATACTGTGTCAATTCAGGGTTTCACTCAAGTTTAGTGTGAAAGACAAATGGAACAAGCCCGTATCAGTTCAGCAAGCATTTGTGCGCGTCGCTCCTGTTGGTGGAGAAGATGAGGCTATATTTGTGGCCGAGCCTGACAACACTAAAGCTTACAAGGTTGACTTGGTATGTATAAAAATATTATTAAGGACATGCAAGATGTCTTGTGATAGACTTCACGTCTGATTAAGTTATAACGCGGTTTTCACTTCACGGATTTTCTATATGAGTATGGTGGTCTGGAGGGAGTTTTTAAATTTCTACTCCCTCCATTTTATATTTAAAATTAGTGCATCATGTTCAGAAATATATAAAACTAGCTGAGTCAGCGACTTCGTACGCGTTGAATAGTTCTTTTGAGCATCAATTTATACCCACGACGGCGTCCGCGTCCCGTCGTTCTTGCAAGTTAATCTTATAAGATAGACATATAATGTCGCGAACTATTTTTTTAGATCACTTAAAGAGAAATAATTTTACAATACATATTTTTTGGGTATCTTGAACGTTCGCAGCGTACACAATGGAAAACCCACGAGGATGCATAATTTTCCCCATTTTTCGACATTTCCCTCTGTTTCTTCGCTCCTTTTAGTGCAGTGAATAGTATTTTATAGCCTTAATAAATGCCAGTAGTTCCTGAGATTAGCGTGTTCAAACATAGAAACAAACAAACAAACAAACTCTTCATCTTTTTATATTAGTAAATTATAATTATATCATTGTAAAATTGTATCAAAATTTTCAGAACGTAGGTTCTCTCGGAAAGCTTGTACAGCAATTGTCGGGACGTTACACTGTGAGCGTGTATCTTGGAGACAGCGCTGTTTCCAACCCCCTTCTTTGGGATCTGGGCGAGATCTCATTTCAATTTTCCAAGGATTTGTCAGCAATAGGTAATACTTTCTTAAATTTCAAATATTTACTTTACTATTTGCAATTACTCAGCTTGTTACTTTTTCTTTTTGCAGCTTGTATCAAATAAAATTATTAGAAAAATATTTGTTTTTTAGATTCCGCAGGCCGTCGAGCAGGCGCAAGCGCAGTACGAGGTCCTTTGCCAGAAATCGCGCACACTTTCCGTGAACCAGATGCACGTCCTCCTCGCTTCGTTTCGGATGTCTTCGCGGCTGCCTGTGCGGCGCCGCTGCTTCTGCTGTTGCTTTTATGGGCGAAGATCGGCATAAACTTCGGAAACCTGCCACTTACACCCGCCGCGTTGTTATTCCATCTGGCGCTTGGAGGTAGTATAAACAAAATTGCTTGTGATTTTTTTTTGTGAGTAATACTCAGAAAGTAATAAAATATATAAATTATCTCTTGCATAGGTTCTTTGGCGCTGTACGGCTTGTTCTGGCTGCAGTTGTCGATGTTTGTTACGCTGCGCTACCTTACACCACTGGCAGCACTCACATTCCTCTCGGGGCACAGTTTACTGCGTCGTCTCGCGCAAGATAAGAAGCGATAAGCTTTGACTAGTTTAATACCTTTTTAACTAGCTTAAATAAAATATTCCTTATTAATTATTATTTGTGTTTTCTTAGCACGCAATAAAATTTTAAAAATATGTAGCATTTTGTTCCAAGAATAAAACAGCCTCAGTTATTTATTGTATTCGATCAAAGTTATGTGCATAAATATTCAGAAATAAAAAATGATTTGACTATATTTTTTGTTTTGATAAATGTAGTTTATTCAGGAAGGTCCCATCATAAACGCTTTTGGGCATTCTCTTTTTGACTTGGGTCGCTCTACCAACAGTTAAGTATAAAAAACAACAATTAGATGTTCGTTAATAATGTGTTAAGAATTCCAAGTGAGGCCAAGAATCAAAGAGTTCATCTATTTTCTTTTCTATTTGTATAATTTATGTTATCGTTAGATCTATAGGTACATATTATAACAGAAATCTAACCGCTCGACGTCTGTACATGATAGTATACAAAACAATGATTTTTGGACTTGGCATTTAGAAGAACACTAATGACAATCAGTTATGCTAATTGAAAGAATAATGCTGGGTGTTTGTAGGCAGGATATATAAAACTACGCACATGTTCTGGACGCGGACGGCATTAGAATAAATTGAATTTTATTCATTTATATTTACTTAGTAAATATAGAAAATTTGCATTGATATAGATTACGCATTTTATATCTTGGTTTTCTTTTTTTGACTATAGATCTATATGTAGTTTTAAGTTGTTTAGTACTGACGAGATTTGTAAATACAATTAGGTATAGCATAAGTTAAAATTAAAAGTATAGATTAGTTTGGTTGCAAGTTAGACTGACACGTTTATACCTACATATTCCAAAGCAGCATGAGTGACGTCGGTGCTGGGCTGGTTTCATTAATTTGATATTAAATGTATACTGGATAACAGTAATAAGATCTCTGACGTATTATTAAATGATGCATAGGCTCTAATTCACGCGGACGAAGTCGTGGGCATAACTAGTTTATAATTCGATTTATTTAAGTGTTTTCTTGACTGGGGAAAAAAAGGCCTTGTAACCTTATTTCGACGTCCACGCGGTCGGACGCCGCCACTGTAGAGTTCATCGGCACCAGAAATAATGTTTGTTTACGCGTATACATGATAATACTGCGCGAATGACGAGATAAACGGATATTATAATTCTATGGAATCAGGAATCGTATATTGTTTCGGCCTACCAGGGCACAGAAATTTGACCTATTTGTCTGCATATAAAAATATGTTAATGAACTAGATTGGACTTAGATGTCCTTTCTTCAATTAGGGGTAATGGAATTTTAAACACACTAGAATATCATTACACAAAAAATCTATGTAGGTAAAAAAAATTTTATTAACTCTCTTATTGCAATATTATTATCACCGTCATACATTCTTCACATTACGTGACAATCATCCGCACACTGATATCAGAATTACGCCAAGTAGTGAGAATCTAATCCAAATATGTATTATCAATAAATTATATCTAACCCACTTATAAAATATGACACATAATTAACTCCTATTTAGTCAAATACATCTAAACTTAATAATAATTATGCTAAACCAGATCGACTGGCAATTTGGTGCAAAACATCTAGATTTTCAATAATACTGTAATCAGTCTAAAACATATGGGATTATCAAAACTCCGCATCAAGTGTGAACACATTGTCCATTGGGTTTGCCATAACACCCCATTTCTGGTACTCCCCAACTTTCTTTTCAAAGAAATTTGTTTTTCCTTCTAATGAGATAAGGTTCATGAAGTCAAATGGATTCTTTGTGTTGTAGTGCTGGAAAAATAATATACATAGAGTCAATAAGAACTTTGAAAATCTTGTCTAAGAATGCTTTTTAAATAAAATACACACCTTCTCTCCGATAAGTTCTAACAAGAGCCTGTCAGCAACAAACTGAATGTAGTCAGACATGAGTTCACAGTTCATACCAAGTAGGCGGACAGGTAATGCATCTGTTAGGAATTCCTGCTCAATGGTCACCGCGTCACGAATTATCTGCAGCACACGCGCTTTGCTAGGCTTCTGAACTAAGTGCTTGTACATTAAGCATGCAAAGTCTGTGTGGAGGCCCTGTAAAATTTTCACATAATATATTGACACCAGGTCCTTAAAGGTATTTTCCTATACATAAATGTATGAACATGTTTGTTGTAGTAATAATAGTTATTTCAAAGTCATGGTTTTAAATCAATTTTATTTTATGTTAGTCATTGATTTACATTGCTGCAATACCTTAACATAAATTCCTTAGTTACAAACTGCTTTAAATCGTTAAAAGCTAACATAATGAATAAAGCAAAATGAAAACTCACCTCATCCCTTGAAATGAGCTCATTGCTAAATGTGAGTCCAGGCATAAGACCCCTCTTTTTTAGCCAAAAGATGGATGCAAAACTGCCTGAAAAGAATATCCCCTCAACAGCTGCAAAGGCTATTATTCTCTCTCCAAAAGAAGCAGTCTTGCTTCCAATCCACTGCAGAGCCCAGTCAGCCTTCTTTTTGACACATGGAAGTGTCTCCACTGCATTAAATAAGAAATCCCTGCAGAACATTTTACGTTAGTTGTGGAAATTATATTTCATTGTTAAAATTAAACTTGTTAAGGTAAACTACCTCTCTTTTGGGTCTCTTATGTAAGTGTCAATGAGAAGTGAATACATCTCGGAGTGAACATTTTCCATGGCAATCTGAAAGCCATAGAAGCAGCGTGCCTCTGTCACTTGAACCTCTTGTGAAAATCTCTCTACCAGATTTTCATTTACAATACCATCTGATGCAGCAAAAAATGCTAAAACATGCTTTATAAAATGCCTCTCGCAGTCCTTTAAATTCTCCCAGTCAGATAAGTCCTACAAACAAGAACAATAGTAATTACTAATCGTTTTCCTCATTTCCTCATTCAATGTAATGTATGATAAAATTATCAGGACTAGACGTGATTTTATATAAAAATGAATTATTGTGCAATATTTCTTTTGGTTGTTAGAATATTTTGTAATAATACCTTAGATAAGTCAACTTCTTCAGCTGTCCAGAATGAAGCTTCAGCTTTTTTGTACATCTGCCAAATATCAGGATACTGTATGGGAAAAATAACGAAACGCCGAGGGTTTTCTCGCAACAGTGGTTCTAACTGAGGATCAAACTTTACTTCCTCTGCTTTCTCAACCTCCATTTTTTCTACATTTTCATCCTCCATATGCACCGGAACCATATTGTCGTTTCGCGTCGATAACACATTTTTGCCTGGGGACTAATTAATCATAATATAGTAAATACAAGAGGTTCTATGGTATTACTTTCCAAGTGGACATAGATGGGTTAAAGTTACCTTTAAGTGACCGTTCGTTGGATTTTTGGGAAGATTTTCTTTTTGTTGTGTTAAAGACATGATTAAAAATAAAAATTATTGTTTCAAAAACTTAAAACGACTGTAGGAAAAATAAACACTGTAAATTGTGAAGCTGAATTGAGCGAAATAATGCCGACGACCCGTATATATATAACAGTAATGTCAAGACTTTTGGCGGGAAATATTTACTCGTTCTGAAACCATCAGCAACGACTTTGATAATATTTTAAAACAACTTGGCAGCAATTGTTAGCAAAATATTTTTTGTATTGAAAATGAGATAAATGTTTATAAAACGGTAGATTTTGGTGTTATGGGTATAAAAAAACTAAATTTATAATGTCTTATTTTTTAATTATCTATGCTTTTTCCATTACTTTCGAACAATGTCAGAAACACTTCGTGTGCTTGGCGGGAAGGAGTTCTTAGAAAAATATAAAACTTAATGATATTAACATATTCTTGGTAATTTTTCCAACTTACTAAATATACGTTTTAAATTTGCAAAAAATAAAGTCGAACAAATAGGTAAAGTTAAATATAAAATTTAGTGATTCCCGCTTTTAATTTATTTTTTATTGGCTCAACGATGACCACAGACTAAAATTTGTATAATGCCATCGAATGATTTTTTTTCGTTTAAGTCCCTTATTTATATCACCCTTAAAATTAATAAAAATATATGATGTTAACACATTTTACTATTGTTTAATGTTACACGAATAGTTGTAAAAATAATTTTAAAGGTTTGTTTCATAAATTAAAAAAGCTACAGCTCCAGATCATCTAATTACCTTTTAACTTGAAATATAACATACTTTCATTAATTTCGATTTAGATTATAGGTTAATATAAAATATAATAAAGTTAACAGCTTCTACCACATTGCGGTTGTCATTATTACGCTTAAGCTAAACCGTAAAGAGCTTAGTAATTATATTCTGTGGTAAACGGTATTACCTATTCCCGTAATGGTTTCTGTACGTATTACATCTGTGGTGATGTGGTGTGGTTTAAATTTCTAAATTCAACATTTCAAATTTCAATCATTTCCAGCGACACTTAGCTTACTATTGTTGTAAATCTTTAGCTGGCGCCTGAGAAGAAGTCTATTACCGCATTTTTTCTTTACGAATGTCTTTTTGTGACCATCTTTGTAATTGCTAAAAGATTTCTTGTGACATTATATTGATGAAGACTTGAGTATCCCGTATCAATAACAATTTTGGTATCGTCAGTGATCAAGGTAAACAACATTGTCTAAAAATATAAGTATTATGCTATATATGTATCTTACTAAAATTGAATGCTATGTTTCTGTTTAGTTTCTAGATCCTGATATTAGTTAAAAAATACACTGATGAATATGTTATTCTCTAATATTTAGTCAAAACTTGTTCAAATGACACCAATACCTGTAATAAGTGTCTCGGATTAATTGTGCCTTCTAATCACTTTAAAATAAAACTATACATGCATTGTTTTAATAATACAACAGAACTTTTAATTTTTACAGGCCCACAATGAGTGAAACACAAGATAACAATGAACAACCTAAAGATGTAAGTTTGTAAAATAATAAATGCTTGGGTTAATGATTAGCAATAGTTTATTATTTTTATGTTAGCTTATTTGAAGTAATCACATAAGTTTTTTTTTAAATCCATGTACCCTCATTGCAGCCAAAAGAGTTGGAGAAATTGGAAGAAGCCAAACTAAAGGCGAAATTTCCTAATGCAATGCTTGGAAGAGGTACAGGATCACATTCAGCCTTTTTGCAAAAGAGACTTGCTAAGGGGGTATGTAAAACACTTTTGTTAAACAAATTTATTATAAAAACTAAATGTAGCTTTTTAAAATTTGGTGGTATTGTCAAGTTGAGGAAACAGAAGACATGAATTTGCACATTTAATACATTTTCTCATAGAATTGAACAATGCACAATATATTCACATTACTACTATTTAGTTTGCGGGTAGTACCATCTTAGAAATTAATATTTTTTGTTTGTCCACAATGAACCAATCACAAGTGATATAGTGAATTTACACAGATAAGCAGTATTAAATGGAGAATTTAGTCCTTCCAAGCTAGCTATAATGGTTTTTTGATTTTTAAATTTCAAACTCTATTAGGTAGGTAAGTAGGAAGAATTAGGTGTTTTATTTAATACATTGTTTTATTATGTACAGAGAACCAAGAACTTATTAATTATTCATATATTTTCCTTTCACAGCAAAAATTCTTTGATTCTGGTGACTATCAAATGGCTAAACAAAGACCTGGTAACCTAGCTGCACCATTTAAAGCTCCCGCCGCTCCTGCCAAGATTCCAACAGGAGATGCAATACCCACCCCTGAAACTGTACCGCTGCGGAAAACATCCATTATTCAGCCCAAGTTTCAGCCATCAAGCCAAACCTCCTAGCCTTGCCATTAGTCACAACACTTGGCCTCAAAAATGTTTAACTTGCATTCCAAATCAGTTGTGATTCATCCTACACTTTCATTACTACCTACATATTTTATAATTCTCATTAACTAGATGTTGAAAAATAAAATATTTTTTCTAAAGTGGTTTATTATATTGTACAGCTTTTGGTTGCAAATTAATTGATGAGGCCTCTCGATTTAGGGTCTTTCATATGATAGCACATTATTAATATTAGCTGCTATAACGACACACTAGGTTTCTTTTATATTTTGCTATAAGTTTAATGTTGAAAACGAAACAAAATTTTTATAAGAACAACTGTTATATTTATGTACAAACGTTAAAAAGTAAATACATGTGTGAGTGAATGATAAATTGTGCTGTTACATTTTAACTCCTCCATAAACAACAATATTATGGTTGTCGCAATACTGGAAGTAGTTAACAATGACCAAAAATTTGTATTATTTCACTCATAATAATCAAGGCAGTAAAGAAAAAAAATTAAACAGATAACAACAAGATAGTTAATGCATACTTCAGGAGAACTTAATATGACGTACAGTGATCTATTGTAATTAGGACTTGTGAAATATCTAACATCATATTAACATGCTCCTCAAAGCTAAAAGCAATTGATTATAATCAGTAATTAAGATTGTTACTGATTTCAAACCGGTGCTTATATATTAATGAAACCATTATTATATTGAAGCATCGTAGAACATCTAAATTTTACAGTTATCATTGAAATATTTTGCAAAAAACTAAATACTAAATGTCAAAATCAGTGCAAAAATACAACATAGTTAATATGTAAGGAGTGTTGAGAATTAGACTTATACTAATAAATACTTGGAAAGAAAATGGCTTTCATTTTGGGTGTTAACCTAAACATAATTATTGGGTATGGACTCATTGGTTAACTAATTATCATTAAGTAAATTAACACTGTTCATATTTTATCATACACATGATGTTCTATGACATAAAATGACAATATTATTTACATTTAAAAACAAAATCAATTCAAATTGGAGACAAAACAATATGCAATGGCACTTGGACATCATGAGAATACTTCGGTATCAGTCTCTTTTGTTCGGTATCAGCATCTCATCCCTTATATGTGGCTGCTTTCTGTAAAATAGTAGATCAGAGTTATCAATAATTATGGAAGTGTCTGTGATGTTTAAATAGGTTTACAATTTTATATTATTTAAAACATTTATTATATAGCAATTGCTATTACATATTGCGGTTTAATGTGTGTACTGACCCGGATTCCAGTGTACATAGTCAGGCGTGGCAGCAGCTTGATACTCTCGCACCAGATCATCCACGACTGAGCGCGACTCATCGAATTCCTCTAGCGAGTCTTTAAACATAGGCTCTTTTCTGAACACGTCTATGAATGCCTCCCTTTTTCGTAGTTTATCAAACTGTTGCAGGCATCTGTCGAATAACTGAAAAAAAATATACCAATATAACAAATATGGAAAAAGTTTTTAAGTATAAATTATTACTTTAGTATCAATTGAACCAGCAGATTCAGGGCATGAAGAACGGAAATTATGACATACTACACGCTTATATCATAAATACATATTAAGATATATATGTCGAATATCTTACCGACGATATATTCGTGTGATTAGCAAGTAGAAGTCCTGAGACTTTATGCGAAGCTGTTACATAAGGCGATCTGCGGGACAACGCTACTTGGATGGACGCCGGTCCCCATGGAATGAACGAAGCCAACTTGCGTTCACGAATCCGTTGCAGAGACTTGTGGACTTGCGATGGGTCTACTTCACCCTAAATAAAAAAAGAAATAATAGTATACTGGTAATAACTGTAAGTGTATGTCCATTAAGACAAAATTGCCCTATTGAGCTAATAGAATCTATTACAATTTAAATAAAACACTAACGGAGGAGGAGACGTGTCTCCCTGTGACCACGGCTGCTGCAAAGCATCCGAAACGTCGGGCCGAAGTTAAAAATCATTTTCAAATAAGTTTAACTAATATATCGCGTTTTAAACCGTTAAAGTGTTTTATTGAAATGCATACTACTTGCGTAAACTATAGACAGTATCTATTACAATGTTTACTATCATGTAAAATAGAGTGTACAGGAAAACATCACAGCAACACTTTCTTCACAACAACAGAACTGTACAGGAAAACGAAGTTTAAAGATAAGTGTAAATTTTTTCCAAGCAACTTTTTGGTATCTCCTGCAGTCAATCAATCCAAACAAACAGAAACATTTCATACCTGTATTATGTTTAAAATAGATATGTAGCAATGTTGGTTGGCTCTATCAGGACTCAATGACACCATCATGTTCTTTGGTTGAAGCAGTCGTTGCATCACATCAAGCACTGTCGTTTTTCGAATTTTTGGAGCCTGACCGAATTTAAAATGTTTTATGTACAACATTAGATGTATTACTATTGCACTGTATATATTGTTTATCAGTTTAACATTTGTTGTATAAATAACTTTAGGAATTTGATAGCAGGTTGATCAAAATGTTTTAGCACTGTATAGATAAATATTCCATATAATACATACCGTATTAAGTTCATGGTCTGCTGTGAGTGGAGTGTAGCCAGTCATTAGAAAATGTAACCTTGGTGTAGGAATCAGAGGAGCAACTAGGCTTATTAAATCATTGTTCATATATGATGGATACCTGAAATGTTTAAATAAATTAAAACCCCTGTTATAAACAGTTTTGAAATTTTACCTTGATGCGTTGTGGGCATCTTTGGATTGTGACTGTTGTGTGTCGATTGGATAACAATCTAAACTTTGAGAACCATGTGACCACCAACCAAATCAACAGATGGAATTCAAAGTAAATGTGTTTAAAGATAAAACCATCACCTAAGAGTAGCTGTGCTAGCGCTCATAATTGTGGAGACGAGAGTATTTATTTGTGCAAAGGAGGGGTTCTGTATGTGTAACCTGTCACTTGCAATACGGTTTAGAGCTGTGTTGTCCAATACCATAACACAATCTGCACTTTCTGTCAGTCTCTTCAAGGTTAAGAGAGAATTGTATGGTTGAACAACGACATCACTGTAAGAGAATATAAAAATCTGGTTTACATAGGTATTTTAAACTATGTGTACTATACTTATAGATAATTTTTTATTTAAAAAAGTATATGTACAATCTAAGTTTGATTCAATCAAATTTAGATTACAGTTACCCTTTGATTGATTATTGATAGTTTTTTAGGTGCTATTTACCTTATTTCATCCAAATTAGGAAACACACTATATGTTTGCACTAATTTCTTAGGAAACCTGTCTGAGAGGTGTTCCAATATGTATGAACCCATGCCGGACCCTGTACCTCCAGCTATTGAGTGACATAATACAAAACCCTGTAAATAATATTTGTCCGTAAGTAAGAAACTTTATCTTTAGTTTAATTCTTTAAAAGTGTGTTATTTGAATATAGAGTAGCTACTTTGAATTTTTTTTCTTATTAACATGTGTCATACTGAGGAAAGTAAACATACCTCTAAATTATCACTCCCATCTGCCTCTCTATTAATAATATCAAAAACTTCCTCATTCAATTTTTCACCCTGAGCATAACCTGAGGCCCAGTTGTTTCCAGCGCCACCACCATGTTTGGATAAGTAAACATTTTCTGGATTATACAACTGTAAAAATTTATATTTTGTTTTGTTGAAGAAATCAATTTATATATCATTATATAAATTGATTTCTTCTTTCTTCAACTATATCATTATATAAATTGATTATATATCAATAATACATATTATACATTTCAATAAATCACTTTTTCAAATGTATAATATGTATTAATGAGCCCCTAGGTCTTCTCATTTATATTTCTGAAATACATGATTTGGTGAAACAAATAACACATAATTAAGACCATTATTTACGTTTTGTTCTATTTTGAAAGAAAACAGCAATTAATTATAGTGAAATAAAATTAAACATATACTTTAGCATAAGGAGAATTCATGATTGTATGGATAACACGAGGTTCCAAATCTAACAGCACTGCTCTAGGTATGTAGTGGTCATCATCAGCTTGATAAAAAAACACATCTTTCCTATCAGAACCGGCTGATGCAAACTCTTCTAATATTCCTTCTGGAGATATGCCGTGTTCTATACATAACTGCTTCCAAAATTCAAATCCAACTGTAAAAAATATGATAAGTAGAGGACCAGAACTTAGGGACATACATATAAAACATTTAGAATCTTATTTTAAATAAATTTTACTTTGATTTCCGCATTGGCCAAGTTGAAGTGTTATCATTTCACTCGGCATGGTTACGTTTTTCACTGTAACTTCTAAGGAATTGGTAACAAATGAAAAATACACAATTTTTAAAAAAACATTAATCAATTAATATATTCTTAGCTTTTCTTTAAATTGACGGCACCAAGTCCATTTTAACCGTCGTTTACGATGGTTGACCTTGACAATTGACACAGACTCAATAGTTACACAGATTACCTATTAGTAAAATTGGATAACATATAATATATATGTATATATACAGTTATACAACAATACATGTTACGTTCCTATATATCTCGTTGTATCTGTGGTTAAAAATAACTCCTAATATGTATTTCGTTTATTTTGTGATATTTTAGAACTTAAAAACCAATAAATACAATTACTATGCTAAGGTATACTTTTACACAGAAATATGAAGTAATTTTTTTTAGTGAGTGATATTTATTACATATAACAAGGATTCCAAAATTTCCATTCATCTATTTCCCACTATTTAGCCTTCACGAACATTTCATAATTCCACCTACAAGTTGAATGTACTAATTAGAATTTTGTCATCGTACACACATTCTATGATAATTACGTAGTGAATAAAGAAACTGTCTTTGTGATAGTGGAAAATATACAATATGTAATACTTCTATTGCTAGTAATCCAATTTCAGTATTCCTACCAGTAACAACCACAAAGTTAACAATATATTATTTCATCACTACTATTCAAAATCATATGTTAGTAAAATGCCACGAAAATTACTAAAATTCTTAATTGTATTTGATAATACATCATTACTTTACTTTCCTGGCCAATTTTTGTCTGGAAAGGTGTTAATGGAATTACAAGATGACACGCCTGTATTAGGTAAGTAAATATGTTTAATTTTATGTTCTCAAAAGTCTGTTATAAAGGACAAGTGTGTGAAACTTTTTTTGTATAACTTCTTCATGAAGGAATGTGTATAACATAGTTTAAAATTCTAACAATATTAATGAAGTAATATGTGGGTAGATGAAGGTGAACTTGTTGTCTAATAGGTAAATAATTGTAGAGATTTTAACAATAGATGTGTATATTTTCCTTTTCTCCAGTGAAACATTAGGCAAACACATATGTGTGTCTATTTCTCTGATCAATTTTATTTACAGTTTAGTTGATCACTACAATTTATTTCCCTGTTGTTTGCCAAGACATCTTGTGTATAATGCAATTTATATACATATTACTCTAATAATATATAGTATAATATAGAATAACTTAATTGAAAATGTAATGAACACAGAGAAAATATTATAAATTATGCTTTTTTAAGGTTTACATTTCCATGTAATTGGCGAAGGAGTTGTCAGAGTTGGAAATGGGCGCCATGAGAGACTTTTTGACAAAGAAAACTACATTGACTTTAGGATGAGACTATTAGGAGAACCAGGTACAGTAAATTATTTAACAATCATAATTTAACTGAACTAATCAGGAAACTAATTTTTTTATTATGCCCTTTATCTGTGGCTTTTATATAATAATAAAAATAATTTATTTTCTAACAAAATATAACAAACTTTAAACAGTAAACAGATAATTCATTGATTTAGCACATTATTATTTATTTTTTTCTATTGGTTTACATTAGAAGGCTGGGAGATCTGTCAACATTATCTGCAATTTCACCCATTTCCTCTGCGGAGGACTTTGGATTAAAATGGAGTTTGGGTTTTGGTTATTTAGCACATAGTAATACGTACTTTTATTCTTTTTAATAGAAGTTAACATCTAAAAGTTTTGATGTTGGTGAAAAAGACCTATTTATTATTTACTTATACTAATTTAAACATCCTCACTGAAGGCCAAGGCCAACAACACCACTATAATACGTAGTTTGATGAGGAAATATTATATAAGAGTTATAATTGTTAATTACTAAATAACTAAATATTATGATTTCAGGGCACAGTGCGTCTATATTGTCTCCTGGAATCCATAGCTTCCCATTTAAACTGGGTCTACCAATGGGCTTGCCCTCTACATTTCTTGGCACCCATGGTTGGGTTCAATATTACTGTAAAGCAGCATTACGAGAGCCAAATGGGCTAACCCACAAAAATCAACAAGTATTTATTGTAATGAATCCGATAGATTTAAATTTGGAGCCTCCAGTATTGTCTGTAAGTTATTTTTAGAGTAAATAATAATTTGCTTTAGCAATCAAGCATTGTAATATTTAATCTACCAAAACCAATGTTTGTTCAGGTTGATTAAATAGAATGCCTTTAGTTAAAAATAGCATTTTCTTGTAATTTTATAATTAACATTTGTTTTTACTTTTAGCAAGAATTTGAATTAAATGTAGAGCATAAATTGGGTGTAGGCTGTGTTGGAGGTGGAACAGTGAGCTGCCGTGTGTCTCTAGATCGTGGGGCATATGTACCAGGTCAGAGTGTCGCACTTTCTGCACAAATAGTGAACAACTCACGGATTGCTCTGAAGTGTACAAGAGCGGCGCTTACTGAGGTATGAAATAAGCCTAAACAATTGCTTGAATCTGATCTCATCTCAAATTAAATGTTATTTGTTTGATTTTGTTTCCAAATGGTTTTTTTATTATTTGTGATTATAAGATAAATTATATATCTGTTAATATATAAGAATTATTTTTGTCAATTTACACACCAACCAAGAATTTATTTATGTATGTGTAACTTCTTTAGCTTAGAGGGCTTTTATATTTTTATAGAAAATATTATGCGCCTTACCAACTTGCCTAAAATTTTAAAATTACATCACACAGACTATACAGTACATAGCACACGGGAAAGTAGCTGCGCGCGAAGTACGAGAATTATCCCGCCTCGCACATGGCAAGACTCGTTCGGGGGAAACCGATGTGTGGCGTGGCGAACTCTTGTACGTTCCACCCTTGCCACCTACCAACTTGCGTGGCTGTCATCTTATATCAGTGCAATACGATGTGTTTGTAAGTACTTACAATATTGTAATCTTCCCTTAATAAGCCTACTCTAAGCAAACAAATACTGATTCCAATGTACAAGGTACTGGTGTAAGTTGATGATTACATAGGAGAAATATACCTGAAGTTTCTTATCTAACTATGTGCTGTGTAATTTATTGACACCTTGTTGATTTTTTCAGTTTGTGATAGAACCAAAAAGCCTAGAAAAAGAAATAAAGCTTCAACTGCCTATACTCCTGGGTACTTATCCGTTTCGTGATGTAGATGAGGAAGCCCATCCACCCACTCACTACCCGAGTACATTGCCAATTTTTAGACCCTGGCTGCATGAAAAACAATAACTTTAATGCAGGGCAAGGCTCTCAGAGTTATCCTTTGACATGTTTAAATCTGTATTTTTGTTACTATATTATTAATATTGTATCCACTCAGTCTGTTTGAATGTAGACATACATTTAGATCTGCAAGATCTGTGCCATTCAAATGTAACCACTCTAAAAAATATTTTTTATTTTTTTGCCCTAAACTCGTACTTATAAGTTTAATCTTAACGACATTTATAATTAACCTGTGATATAAAATTGCGTCCATTTTATTTTAGGTTCTAAGTATACATTATTCCAGTATATTTTTGTATAGAACTTTTAAATGTATTGTAAAAGTGAATTTATGAAAATATATTAGTTAGTAATTTATATATCTGAATTATTAGTCTTACAAATTTATACAAACTGATGTTTATTCTAATATACTTCTGTTTATTAACTTTTACACTTAACTACTATATGTAAAAGCTTTTATTAATAAATACATATGAAATATTACTTGTTTACATTTTCAAATTAACATTTGAATTACTTTCATTGTAGTAAAGGAAATTAGCGTATTTTATTGTTTTGTAAGTCTATATTTTTTAAAGACATAATAAACAAAAGAAAAGTGGTAAATATTACACTATTTTTGAAGTTGCTGATAGTGTTGCAACCATTTAATATAATTTTTATTCCTTTGAGCTCATATGAACGACAAATCTAAGAAACTAAACCCCCAGGCAGTTAAAATTTTAATTATGAAGTATTAAAACAAAAACAAGATTTTACCGCTTCAGTGCAACAGATTTACTCATAGATATTTAATTTTATTAGATTTTTTTTAGATCTGACAACTTTGCATAACTTTATAATCACATTGTTCTTAGTCATTTCTGGTAATAATGATAGAACAGAAGTTAACATTGTAACAAATTAGTGTTGTTACCCAATTTCATCAAACAATAATGGTTTTGTTAAACTTGACCATTTGTTAATTGATATTTTGTAGTGATTACTAAATAAGACAATGTTCTTGACTAATCAGTAGTCTACCTTAAAAAAGCCTTTTCATACAAAAACTTAGACTAAGTAACGCAGCAGATATAATATGTAAGACAATTACTACAGTCAGGCCAATTTGTTGGCCAGCGCAAGATGTAATCCAGCAAGCTGCGTGGTCCATTTATCAAGTGCTGAATATCGTGTTGCACCTCTCGCACTACTTGCCAACTCTAATACTGAGTTTACCTGGTCAATTCTACCGCTTATAGTACTGAAAAATAAATAAATTAAATAAGAAAATATTTAAAAACCTCTAACATAACATACATTGTAAAAACGGACACATACTTATCGAGGATACAAGTAACAAGTAAGTTTTCAACTTCTTTTTCATCTATATTCAGTTCCTTGGATATAAATGGTATGTGAATTCTAGTGTATGGGCCAATAAGTTTTATTAGAACTTGGGTACGGATGTTTCTCAGGAGATCTTCTATATGCTCCCGAATAAATGGGTCATCCATTATATTGTTTCTATTATGTTTAAGTATGGATTCAAATTCATTGATATCATTGTTTTGATATGCCATTACTAAATTAGTCATTGCCAGAATCTCTGGATCATTCTTATAAGGTTTTGCTTCTTGAGAATCAAATGGATTTATACCAGATTTCATTAACCTGTAACACAAAGATTTATTTATGTAAATTTTTAACTTGAACCTTTTAACTTCAATATTGCAATTCCTTAATGAAGATTAATATAAATCCAAAAAGTTGTTGTGAGTGGTGTTGAAAAATAGGAATACTAAAAACATTTCTTAAAATTACATATATACTCACATGTTTGCTAACACAAGATACTTTAGGCAGGTTGTTCGACGTGGACTACCAGACTCGTCATAATTCTTAAAAGCTTCAAAGAAATCAGTGTGAGCTTTTTCAAATTCACCCTCACGCAGGTGCATTTTGCCACCACATTCTGTGAAAAATATAATAGTATTAAACAGTGAATTTGGTGTTAATTATTTGTAACAGAGTTTATGCCTTTCTTTTGCTTTTGTTAAGCAGTAAAAGACGGGACCCACATTTTTCAAAATGTTTCTCACGCCTATTGTATTACATATAATACAGTTTTCTGAAGCACAATATTTATTAAGGTTATTATACCAATTAGAATATGTAAATAAATAATTACCTCTTATAACACCCATGATAAGTGGGTGTGGTATAGCAGACTTAATATGCAATGATTGTTCATATAAAGCCTTAAGTTTCTTATTATTCTTTTGCGCTGTGTACATTTGAATTTCTAAAGCGTAGATTTCCAATAATTGAGTACCTTTCTTGAGGTCATCTTCACCGTCATCTGTCTAAAATATATAGAAATTATTTCTCTGTTTAGTGACAAAGTTTTGCGTAACAGAACACATTACATCAAGATGTTTCATCATTAGTATATGAAAATACATAAATGGCAGTACCTGACAACTCTGATGTAGCTGTTTGAGTATCTTAGCTAATTTATTAAAATCACCACGGTCATAGTATAACTTGCCTAACTTAGTATTAGTTTTAAACCAAAGCCTATCATTTTTAGCATCTTTTAAAGCTTCTAGAGTTGTCTCATAAAAGTCTTGAAGAAGTTCCATCTAGAAAAAAAAAGAAAATAAAACACAATAATCAATCAATATTAATATACAAGTCATATATAAGTCAATATTAATATACTTACATTTCTAGAGGTTGAGATATAGTCTAAGATTGAGTTAATAGACTTTTCTGAATGATTCCTCGTGACAGCACTTTTTATATAAGTTAGAAGCTGCTTATACCTTGTCATCATTTCTGCAAAGTTACTCTAAACAACCACAATATTGTTATTGTACCAAATTAATTAATAATAGGTTTAATTAAAATATACACAATATAATTTACACATCTTCTGTCACAAAAATTGATTTTGGCTCAGTTTGTGCACTTACCAATTTGAAATTTATTTTAATCATCTGTTTGAGCGCCTTGAAACCCCATTCTCCTTTATCCCCACCTTCAAGCTCAAGAACTTTTTGAAAGCTAAGTAACGCAGCATTAGGCTCATCCTCCTTCAAAGCTTTACTATTGTAGTACTGATTCTCAAGATCTACATCTGGCTCAGAATTGCTGTCCTCAGAGTACTCCTTATAAAACAAAAAGTTTACACTAGATAATAAAATGTACCAAAATTTCAAGCAACACACACTCCGAAGGAATATGTAATAACAATATTTTCATTAAAAGCCGAAATGTAACCTTTCGATTAGTTGTTGAACTTCCCTATTAGAGAAATTGGTCCAGTTGGTTATCAAATGAATGGACCGTATCGAACTACATTCAGTGTTGATTTAGTTAAAAGAGTCTTAAAAAACGAGTACTGAATAACGTATTTACCAGACCATAATCCTCCTCTTCTTCGCACATATAATCGTCATCGTTATCAGACATTGTAAAGGCCAAGGCGCCTTTTTGTAATAAACTTGTACTCGATAACTGTTTATAAAAATCTTCAAATAAGTTAATAAAACAAGAATTTACTCATGGACTATCCCATAAATATTAAATTAAGATGTTTCTACAAAACAGTATTGCTAAAATAAATTAAATGTAGTCTTCAAATTTGAAGCTGTCACAGGAAGCTGTGATTCCAAGCTTTTTAATTTTTTGTTTATCATGTCGTCTAAAGTCTTAACCACAGACCTAGAGAACTAAATAAAATTACGATATATTTTTACATATCTGTGGATATTTGGGGATGTCACAGTGACAGTCTGACAGTAACTTTCTTATGCGCTATTTCAAATATAGATGAATCTTTGAAAAGGTTGAAACTTGAAATATTTCCCCCGCTTATCAAGTGTTAGTAAATAATAAGTTTGTTATGATATGGAGTCTGATACTGAAGATGGCGAGCAGGAAGTCGATGGATGTATTTATAGTATTCACGTTCGCAATTTTTTCTGTCACGAGAATTTAGAGATTAAATTCAATCGAAATACGAATTTTATAGTTGGGCGCAATGGAAGTGGTAAAAGTGCTCTTTTAACAGCTTTAGTGGTCGGTTTGGGAGCTAGAGCTTCAGCTACCGACCGAGGAAGCAATCTTAATTGTAAGTAAAAAGTTTATGATACATGATGATTATTAAAAAACAAAACACCAAGATCAAGTTAAAACATCTTAAGTTAAATCAATTTTCATTATTTTATATCTCAAATAATACTTACAGCTTTTATTAAAAAGGGCACCAACTCTGCTACTGTTGAAATAAAACTATGGAACAGCAGCCCCAGGGCTTATAAGCATGACATTTATGGTAATTTTATAACCATAGTGCGAACCCTAAATGCTTCTGGTGGATCTAGTTATAAAATAAAATCAGCTTCAGGTAAATTTTTTTTGGTATAGGTTTTTTGGTTAGTAACAGGCATTAAAAATTCCAGAATTTTTTTGCATTCAGGCTAGCACATAACAATTATTTATATTTTTTCTTGTCACAGCAGGCTTCTGCTGACAAAAAATAAAGACTTAAGCTTATAAATTCACTATTAAAAATAATAAATAAAAATATATCAAAGACATTCCTATTACTTTATTAAAAGTTATTTAGTTTAATTAAAGATTTTATATGCTATTGCAGGAGAAGTAATATCTACTAAATATGAAGAAGTAAAAGCAATTATTTTAGCTCTTGATATACAAGTTGACAACCCTATTTCTGTGTTAAATCAAGATACTGCTAGAACATTTCACACATGTGATGCCAAGAAAAAATTTGAGTTATTTAGACAAGCAACCAATATAGACCAAACAGAGAAAAATTATAAAGATGCTATTGAAAATTGTAACAAAGCTTTGGCTACTTGGAACAGGAAGAATGAGGTAAGTAAAAATTATTTTATAGAACATTACTTACAATTTTATTTATTACTGATTTTTTTAGGTAAAAGTTAAAAGTACTGTAAAAGTAAGCGAGGAAATTGTTATTTTCCTTAATTACTCCACTGTGTTCCAATAATATATATGGTAAATCTAATACAATTTTTCAGGCCTGTTTAGAGCTTGAAAAAGAATATATGAAATTGAAAAACCAGTATGAACAAATGCAATCTTCTGAGGAAGTTAATGCTAAGAAGATGGCTTTACAGAATGAATACTACTGGAGCGAGATAGCAGAGTTTGAAAATGAAATTAAAGTTATTGATACCCAGTTGGAAAAACATAGAGTAAAGGTCCAGCGTCTCACAGATAGGTTAAAAAACATGGAGCAGAATTATGGCACCAATTCAACTGCAATTGAGTATGTTTAAAAAACTTTTTTTGTAATAGTTTGAACGGGTCATAATTTTTTAAATATATAATTTTCGACAGTTCCTTAAAACAAACTTTACAAGAGAGCAACCATAAAAATACCGTTTTGGAGCAAGAACTACAGGAAATAGAAAATAGTTTGCGTTCAGCCCAGACCTCACACCGTAACTCTCAGAGAACAAATTACAAGCTCTCTGAGCTACTAAGCCGAGAGAATAGAAAGGTTATGGATCTTGAGCAAGAGATACACAACATAGAGTAAGTATTTGAGTATATTTACGACTATTTATTTATTTGGTTTCCATATAACATACATGCCCTTTATATACTTACTAGCGGCTCTGTCCCGGCTTCGCACGGGTAGACATAAATAAGTACAGATATTAAAGTTATAAGCATGCTAATTAAAACGACCATGAATCACTAAATTAGAAAATAAAATGTATTTCGCTTCCTAGCTGTTAATGACCCTTGTCTGTCACGCTGTGTCAGGAGCCGCTGCGAGCGTTCAGTGTTAGAGTCCCGTGCACGCGTTCGTGAATTCCTAGCTCTGTTTCCTTCAAGTCGCTTTGAACAAAATAGGCAAGATTGCATTTTGTGTCTGCAAAACGAACCTGATCATTCGACGATAGATTTTTAACTTCAGCCCGACGTTTCTGATGCTTTGTAGCAGCCATGGTCGCGGGGAGACTGACGTGGAGACGGTTTAACGTCGGGCCGAACTAAAAGTCTAATTAATATATCGCGTTTTAAACCGTTAAAGTGTTTTATTTAAATGTGTACTACTCGCGTAAACTATAGACAGTATTTAAATCTTTGTAATTTTATGAAGCCATAGCTCAAATTTACTATGTCACTATTTTTTATTTAAGAATAGACGAAGATACTGCTATAACAGGCATTACTGACCCTTAGATCGGGTAGCTGTGCATCACAGCGTACGGAGCTAGAAGCGCGGGCTGCTAGCGCTCAAGAGGCGGAAAACGCTGCTCGAGCGCGTTACGAGACCCAACAAAACGATACAGCGCAGGCGCGAAGTAATGCTGCGCATGCGCAACCGCTCGCCGACCGCGCAGATCACAGGGTGCAACAGCAACGAGGCAGACTTGGTTCGAATATGCTATACTAGCTGTGTCAGCAACTTAGTCCGCGTAGAATAGTTATTTTGGCTATTCACATTTCTTTTTATAAACCATCTTCATCTTTATAAATTCAACCTGTTACTCAAGACGCCGGTCTCGTCCCGTTGAGTTCATCTTAAGAGATAGATATATACTATCTCGGACCTTTTTTTTGATCATCTAAAGGGAAATCATCATACATACTTTTTGTGTCTTGTTTGTGCTTAGTCACAGCGCAATGGTTTGGCCCATAGCCTTCCTTGATAAATGCTCTAATCAACATAAAACTACTTTTTAAATTCGAACCAGTATTTCCTGAGGTTAGAGTGTACAAACATACAAACAAAACTCTTCAGCTTTATATATTAGTATTGATTTTAATGGCTTGGAAACTTATAAATTTGGTAATAGTGTGTTAATTAAAAATGCAATTATTATACAGCAATTCATTAACAATTTAATTTAATGTTTTTTTTCTTACCAGCACAATTAAAGCAACAGCTTCGCGAGCTTGAATCCCGTGGCAACGACTCCGTGGCCGTTTATGGCAGATGCATGGTGGAATTCTGTGAGCGAGTTAAGGCGGCTGTCGCTCGTGGGGAGTTTAGCGCACCGCCACGAGGTCCCGTTGGTAAGTTATTTATTACATAAAATCTTTATATATAAATCTGTCTCGATGTTTGTCCGCTATGGACTCCTAAACTACTGAACCGGTTTTAAATTAAATTGGCACACCGTGAGCAGTCCGGTCCTACTTGAGACATAGGATAGTTTAGATCTTTAATTATAGTCGCAATTTTATTTTATTGCAAATTATTTGTCTTTAAATAATTGACAGTTACAATGGATTGAGTAAACCGACAAACGTGTCATATAAGCTACAATTCAATAGATGGCACTGCTATCCATCTATGTAAAAAGCATGATGGTCCCTCTGACTGATGTTCTCCTACGGTTCCTCTTAAAGTTAGACAATAACTTCAGCCACAGCAACGCGTGGCCGGGTCTGCTAGTATACTATATATCATTCCAGTCCATATCAGTCCAGCTCTCTAAGCTCCCACTAACACGGAGTCTAAGTCATATCTAAAGCTTATTAACGTCACACTAGTTAAAAACTATATACCAAAGTCACGTTTATTAACATTACTTAAATCTAGGGATTATAAGACCTGACACCAAGTTACGTATTTTTTATCACCAAGTTACATATTTTTTAACTTTTTTTTGTTAGTGCGGTTTCCCCAAAACCTCAAGCATTTTTATCATTGAAATATTGATTTACGCTATAAAATCTCTGACCAAGCAGCTTTTACGATACGATTTATGGACAGTACTCGCACTTGGGTTTAAGAACTTTAAAAAGGAGATCTTAAGGGAAATCTTTTGGAGATGATATAGTTTTACTGAAAACGAAATTTAATAAATTATTCTTGAGATATACTTTCGCTACTAGGTAACTACTTAAAAGTGAAGGATAAGAAATGGGGAGGCGCATTAGAGCATATTATCGGCGGATCGCTGCGAACATTCTGCGTTAACACGCCGGAGGACTCGAGGAAACTCTTTGAGATTATGAGCAAGGTATTTTGAAATTGTTATCGCACGATCATATGAAAGGGATAACAGACTACTAGATATCTAGAGTTTTTGCCTTACTGTTGCACTTCACGGACTCACTAAATAATACCAAATATGTGTGTAGATATATATATATATTCTGTTTACCTTTTTATTCATACTACTTGCGTACCATTGTCTTATTGAAAATCAATTTTAGATTGAAAGAATTTAACGACACGGGCAGGACCTGAACCGACATCCGCAGCTTTCTGTGCTGTTGCTTTAGCACATTGAGCTACGGTGTAGCATAGTAATTGTCAAAATTGTGATTTATTCAGCTTCACAAAATCTTTTTCATTATATCTAGACATTAACACTCACGGCATGGCTTCGTTTTAGTATATGCCACGTTCTAAGTACAATATATTTCTTTATAGATCCGTTATGGGACAGAACCAAAACCAGGAGTGACGTGCAGCAAATTCTTAAATAAAATTCACGATGTGCGTAGACACACAGTGAGCGTCAACGGGTATATGTCCGCACTGGACGCTTTGGACGTAGCCGATCCGGTTGTGGCCAACTTCCTCATAGACAACATTAGGATGGAGAAGATCCTCCTCGTCACCGAGCATGGTTAGTATGATTTTTGGACTAGAACAGACAAGCATGGCGTTCATGGTGGTGGAAAGTCAAAGCAAAACGTAGATTTATATTTTACGGCTTCATCTAAGATGTGACACGTGCAGAATTTTAATTATCCTCCATTTTGTATTTAAACCATCCAAGGTCCAAATTTTTCAGAGTCAAACATTCAAAAAGGATAAAGATGACATACAACCATGTGAGAATGGAACGAATGACTACTTTATACCATTTACGATGTAAAGGAAGAATAATTAATAATTTTGTTAGAAAAAGAATTTTCAATGTTACATTTAAATTACTGAATCCAGTTGAAATGACCTTATCTAGACAAATGTTCCAATTATTTCTTTGTGCAGAGGATGCGATGCATCTGTCAGACGAGCAAGAGAACGTCCCCAATAACTGCGCCAAGATAGTGACCTTAGATAGCACGGAGTACCACCCAGCGCCCAATTATCGCTGTTACGGAGGTGACTCCCGCGCTCCCACTTATCTGCAAACCAGTACGGAACAGAGGAAGATGTAAGATGTATTAATGTTTTCCATATTTCTAGCAGTTAGGTTAGCATTAGGTAGAAAATATTTCAATAACTTCTAGCTTAGTTTTACGTCAGTTATTCTATCCAACGTTACAAAATTCTCCTATCTATTCTAATAAATAAAACTGAAGACGTCGTTTGTTTGAATGCGCTAATCTCAGGAACTACTGGTTCGATCTAAAAATTATTTCAATGATATAAAAAAATGTCCACGATACTATATGTCTATCGTTTAAGATTAACTTGCATGAACGACGGCACGAGACTTCTTAATTTAAATAAGACACTTTTTACGTTACGGATACTTCGCCGCAGCCGTGGTCACGGGGGGTGTTTCGTCTAAACGTCAGATCGTTGAATAAAACAAAATGTACGTTTAACCAATACTTTTCGAGTTTTAAACAGATAAAAGTGTTTTAATTCATTGAGATTACTCGCGTTACCAAGACCGACGAAGTCGTTTTTAGTTATTTTGGCCATCCAAGTTATTTTTTTAAGATTATTTGAAGAGGAATTATTCCTCTATACATATTTTTGGGTGTCTTGAATCGTTTTCGAAGCGTACGCATCGGAAACCCACAGAGATGAAAAATTTCCCCCATTTGTTCACATTTCCCGCTGTATCTTCGCTTTTATTAGTCACAGGACTATGTTTTCCTACCTCGATAAATACTAAAACCAACACAAAATAATTGCTCAATTCGAACCTGTAGTTAATGAGATAATCGCGTTCAAACAAACATAAAAAGCAACTCTTCAGCTTTATACATTAGTATATAGAAATAGATTCTCTAGATCTATTCACGACGAAGAAATGCAACATGTCAAGAAGAAAAAAGTTTTGTCTGTGAAAGTGTGGGAAGTATGTGAAGAATCTATTAAATTTCTATTGAACTCGATAATTTATTCTTATTTCTTTATTGATACAGGCAGTTGCAATTAGAAATTAAGGAAGCCGAGAATATGTTGCGAACATATGAAGTGGAGGCGAAAACTTTAAACCAAGAGGCGGCGCGGGCGCGCGATAATGAGCGTACGGCGGCCAAAGCGCTGCAGGCGCTCCTCGTCGACTTGCGAAGGAAAGAGGAGATTGCTAAGGAAGCGGTCGCTGCTCTAGACCAGCAGCAAGCGCCGCAGCATGCAGTTCTGGTAATTCTTTCTTCATATTCCAAATATATATTGTTAAAGCTGATACTAAATAAAGGATAACCAGCTCATATTCGTGTAAGACAAATACCTCGTTATACAAACTTCGACCATACTAACTACCTTCTTACCCCAGCAAGACTTCGGGCTGTAGTTCAAAATAAGCAAAAACTATACATATAAATTATACTTATGAAATACCTCGCATTTTAAGCCGTTCAATGTGTTTTATTATACAAGACCCGTAGATAAGTAATTGGAAAGGTACTCGTATCTAATTACTTAATCATGTATATTGTATTTTTATGTGGAATAAAAAAATATGTTACTAAAATATGTCTACAGACACACATATTTTTATAACCGTTAATTTATTATCAATAGTTTCAGTACTCTGTCCGATTGAAAGTTCTCATTGTTATTTCCTGAGGTTCAAACCTAGAATCTCTCAGAAAAAAAATCCAAAATGTTGTTTTCAGTTTTTACTTTCACTCATTTCAATCAATCACTTAAAGTAAATAAAAAAAAGTAATTAATACAATGAAATTCTAGGTGGACGAACTCAACATAACCAAAGAAAAAGTTCGTTCGCTGAGCGAACAAGTGCAGAGGGAGAGCGCCGAAGAACGTAAATTAAAACAGTGCGTAGATGAAATCGAAGAAAAATATCGAAAAGTACAAAAACATCGAGACAAAATCAGTGCTACTTGCAGAAGTTTGAAGGTATTTTAAAGATGATGTTTGTTTCATATTATAATTGTGTCTCAAATTATAAGCTTGGAAAAAACTTGTCTTCCAAGAAGCCCTAGCTTTTTTTTAAATTTCTATACTCCAGTAATATACTTAACCACCACAATCAAATCTTCTTTATCTAAAAAGTTTAATGTTTTACACATGATAGCACTATGTAAATTTAAAATCGATTATAAATTGAAAAAAAAAAATATGACACGGGCAGGACTTAAACCCCACGGTAGCACGTTAGCTGGGAGTAACAACACGGAACGCTGTGGATGCCGGTTCCGGATCTTAAAACTTATTAATAATTATTATTTATGACATTATAATCTTTTTTATTATTTATCTTCTTGTCGTGTTGTGAATTTATGTATAGTGTAATCCCGTTTTCCCTCGTGGGGCATAATTCGTAGATCAGACTTCTGTGCCCTGGCCGACCAAAAAAAAATTAATGTTTCCCCGGGATTCGAATCCAGGACCTCTCGCGCTCAACGCAATGCTAGTCAACGCGTTTAACCATTGTTTTGTGTGTTTATTATACAAACAAGTAAAAGTGGAGAATTTAGATCGATCCGTATTTTTGACGTAAGAGAGACTTTGTAAACTTTATTCTTATGAAAATGAATTGCGTAGGAAGAAATCGAGCAAGAGCAAATGAAGATGGAGCAGGGTGGAGCGGAACATCAAACATGTCAGCAGCGGCTTTCGGAGGACAAAAACAAGTTGGAACGAGTGGAAAAGATACTGGAGGAGAAGCAGTCGGTATTGGAAGAAAAGGTGCAGCAGGCTCTCAAGCTCTGCCCTCGTGTGGAAAGCCCAAGGTGAGTCAAATAGCGTCCATGTTCACCTGGCAATAGCAGTAAGAATTGACAGAAGGGTTCTAAAGATTTGGTGTGAGTATCCAAGATACATCTTTTTACTAATTTATGTATGACTACTACATCTTACTAAATTTATAAGTTTCATAATTCTTAATAACATAAGAAGCATTTAAATAAAATCTTGTATTTTGAAGATACCTATTTTGTATTTAGTATTTTAGCATTTTGTATCCGGTATCTGAAATACTTAAGCTGGAAGTATAATGCCTCTTGTACTCCAGATACTTTGTACATCTCTGTAGGTAACGCTAGTAGTACACATGGGGTTTGAAGGGCCGTAGTTAATTTAAAAATAAGTTAAGTAATGTATTCCGCGTTTTAAACCGTTAAATGGCAGCTGTAGCTAAAATGGGGCTGTCCATCCATTAGCTTTGAATCAGAATGCCTGCTACGTTGTTACAAAATTTATTGAAGTCGATAAAGCTGTTTCACTGAAGGATATAATTATTAAACAACATATCAATTTATGTTTAAACGCTGTTCAATGTACTCAAAATTGAGACATACGTATTTGGGAAGCGACAATATAAGCGATGTGTTCAAGGCAATAAAGATGGATAGGATAATAAGATATGTATTGCAAAGAAACTAGAAGGTCTGAAGGGGATACAGTGAGAGTTGGATAACCCGAAATCCTTCGCTAAGGCGTTAAGGGGAAATGGCTGGAATGGTCATCAAATGATGTTGACCGATCACCCGACCTTCTATTGGTGTCCCCGTAAGGAAAAAAAAATATGTTTCAAGGCGTCATTTTACTTCAGGGACAAAACCATAGTGATAAGCGAGTTGAAGAAGACACAAATCAAGTTAAGCTCGCTTTCGCAATCCGGGCTCAACCGTGTGGAATTTGCCCAAAAGCTGTGTCAGGTGGAGGAGAGTTATCGGCGGGCGCAGCACTCGCTGAGTCTTCTTAGCTCTCTCATCGCTGAAGTAAGTTTTTAATGCTACACCATATGCGACGGGCTCGTTGGTTTAATGGTGGCAATGTACAAGCTAATAATCAACGGGTCGTGGGTTGGATCCCCACCGGGTCCAACATTTTTCTAAACCTTTTATAATTCTTCTAAATTATGTTGGACTTCCCCTGGAAATCTGGATATTAATTAGGTGGTGGGACTATCGAAATTCCGCCTGGGTCACGAACTACCGTCCACAAATGACAAAGCCTTGAAGTCTAATCACATTTCGGTTTTAGTCTGTGGATTTACGAATATCCAAAGCTTAAACAGGGAGACAGCGCATTTTGTTTAAATGTTATAGTCTGAGCTATTTTACCGTCAAATGGTCCCATGCTTGTCTGTTCTTCTCTATTATTGAAAAATAACCCTTGACTGCGTACAAGGCTCAGCGAGCTAGCTACCAACTTTTTGGAGTACTTGTGACCTTTTAATTATATTTTGCTCACTTCCTAATATAAAACAGTTATAAAACGACTCTACTATCAACATACGAAAATATACGTAGTGTGGACCAAAAAAATGAGTTTTTCTCGTGAGGCATGGGGCAATCGTAGGTCTGTGATCGTTTCACTAATCGGGTTTATTTACAGGCAAGAAGATGATCAGACTTCTGTGCCCTGCTCTAGTGAAACAATCTATTGTTTCCCTGGGATTCGAACACAGGATCTCTCGCGCTTAACGCTAGGTTCAACCATTTAGCTAAAAAGGCGTTCCCTCGCGGGTGTATGTAGTATGTGCGTAGCTTAGATTTTATTTAAAAACTCTTTTGTTGCACAGATCAAAACCACCGCCGATAATCACCTGAAGTTTTGCCACATACTGCAGAAGTATATCGCGCGACGAGTACAATACCGCTTTCAAATTATACTCTCCTTACGAAACTATACAGTAAGTAAACTTATGATTTACTATTATTATAATATTTAAAATAGTGAAGTTAGTCAAGTTAGTCGTTAGTTAAATTAGTAACAGAGTTATGTTTCTTCCGCATCTTTTTTCAAGGTGTCATATAACTTGGGTATTCCTTGCTTTATTTCCATCAAGCGAACCCCATCTATTGGTTATCTAATTCTAAACTTTACTAATATCCTATATTGTGCTTTTTTTTTAATTAATCTCAGGAACTGTTCGAATTGATATTTGGTTAGAGTATTTATCGAGGAAGGTTATAGGCCAAAACAACGCGCTGTGACTTATAGGAACGAAGAAACAGCGGGAAATGTGGTGAAAAGGGGAATATTATTTATCTTTGTAGCTTTCCGATGCGTACGCTGCGAAAACGATTCAAGTTACGCAAAAATATATATATGAAATAATGTTTTATCTTTAAATAATGTAAAACAATGTCCGCGACACTGTATGTATATCTCTTAAAAATACTTGCGAGAACGACAGAGCGCGACCGACGATGTGGGTGGGTTAAATTTACAAGGGTAAAGAGGAGGTTTGCAAAAACAAATATGATGCCCAAAATACTATTTTACACGGACGAAGTCGCCGACACAGCTAGTTTTAATATGTTTCGTCGCTTGTTGTCCAAAAATGGGCGTTTACGCTTCGTGTAACATGTACTATGCACTATTAGGTGAGGTAATTGATTTCTAATCGAATATTTTAGGGTAAAATGAATATAGATATGGGCAACGGAAAACTCGACATGGAATGCAAGCGTGTCGAGCGCAGCGACATACAACAGGCAACGTCCACCGCTTCATTGTCGGGCGGGGAGAGGTCCTACGCCACTGTCGCGTTTATGTTGGCGCTGTGGGACTGTGTGGAGCTACCCTTTTACTTTATGGACGAGTTCGACGTTTTTATGGTGAGTTCCAAGTGACAAGAGAAGTTTAACGGCCTCCATGGTGTCGGTACATTTGGGTCCTTTTGTGATTCCCAAAAAAAAAGCCCAGCCAGGCGACTGTTAGTTGGTTATTTGAAACTTAGTACAGGTAAACCTGATTAAATGAGAAACCTTTATTGTTGAGAAGTTGCTGTGAGGTCCCGGTTCTCTTTCATTAAATTACTATCTCTGTTATCTATTAATATAACTTTTTTAAAGCTGGTTAAATGAGATTTCGATTTCAAGACCTTTTCAACGTTTTTGGTCTATAATTGAGACTCTGTAGCACAACTACCTGTGTAAGTGAGACAAATTGATTAGGTATTACCACGTTATGACAATTAAATAAAACACTTAAAAACGCGATATATAATATATCGCGTTTAAGCGTTAAAGTGTTTTATTTAAATATTTATTACTCGCGTAAACTAAGACAGTATTTAACGCGATATAATTAGTGAAGCTTATGTGAAAAATATTTTAACTACGGCCCACATCGCGTTTTAAACCGTTAGTGTTTTTTTTTAAACGTGTAACTACTCGCGTAATATAGTACAGACATTATGGCATGTTTGTTCACAAACAAACGCGACGGCTTCTGTAAACGAGACAATTATAATTTTAAATCCTTATCAATTGGAGAACAGGATTATTGGAAACTCTCAATAATTGGTACATATGCCTCGGTCTCTTGAGATCCTAATTAACCAGGTTTTACTGTACCAGCACAGTTTGCAATACCTACTTTCAAGTATAGTCTAAGTGAGTTTTATATTTCTTAAATTAACTATCACCTCCAATTTAGCATTATATATCTGTGTTATAACTTGTTTCTACAGGATAATATAAATCGCAAAACAACAATCGAGTTGCTGATGGATCATGCGCGGATGAACAAACACCGTCAGTTCGTGTTTCTGACGCCCCAAGACGCGTCTTCGGTCACGGCTGGACCGAACGTTACTATTCACGTGTAAGTATTTTTATAGTACAAACAAAACAATTCGTAACGCCTACAAGTAGATAAGTGGAATCAAACTGACTGACAATTTTTAAGTAATCAAAGTCAAATTCATATTTTTTTAAGCTTTTATTTAATTTAGTTCTAGCTGCCCATAACCTCGTTTAAATATTTGGTTTAGCGGTTTTCAGTTCCTCCATTAAATTATTATTTTTGACGCTTGTGTAATTTAACTGATTTTGTGTTATTAGCCTTTAAAGAATTTTTTTTTTGTAATCGGGGAAAAAATGCGTATTGGCCCAGATGTTTCGAACGTATAAGAGATCATACAAGTTCTTTAACTTTATCATATTGGTATTGGATAGAAACGATATTTGAATTATAATTTCACAAATTCATGTTTTTTCAAGATTACGTATAAAAATATTGGCTTTTACAGAATGGCGAATCCACGGGATTGAAATTCAAACGGAAGAATTACGGTAGAAGGAGATACCTAAGATTGACATATACCTCAAATTGATTTTTTATACAATATAAAACCAGGTAAAAGGAAACAATGTCGTTTTATTGAAAAATCATCAACACCATTTATTTAATACTAGGTATTTGCCGAATACACCTTTACATCAGTATTTGTGGAACCATAGTATTGCACAAATATAACAGTATGGTGTCCACTTTGAGATCACGCACGCAAGCGCCTCATACGAGTGATTACTATATATATAGTAACTATAAAATATAAGACGCCTAAGATCCAACTCCAAGAAAAAAAATGACATTGAAGAGGAAAGTTACTGTCAAATTCTAAGGTCAACTTTAATCAATGTAATTATTTTTCGGTGAAATTGAACCTAAGTGACCGAACCAGTCCACATTTAATATAAATTACAATGGTAGTAATATAACTTAGACTATAAGTATGGTTACTTTTATATATTATCAATCTTAAGTCTTATTTATAAGGCGAGATTGCCTTGTGTGATAAGCGTAATCGTTGAACTTATTTCTATTGATTTACTAACTAAGTTATATGAAAATATTAATTAATCAAGCCTAGAATGACAAGTCTAAGAGTCTCTCGATATGGGTCGTCGACCACAGCCACAAGAAGCACCACTGGCATACAGTTTCCATGCATTTGGCAAACTATGTAACAGCAATGCAACAAGAGGTTAGTTTTACTTTTGAGGCTAGGGTCTGGTGGCCCATTTGCAATACGAGTTTTATTTACATGTTTGCTACGAAATTAAGTGCTACAATTGTGTCATATTACATACGCGATCTATACAAAAATCCCCAGCTTGAACTACACCCGCAAAAACAATAATCATAAACAGTTTGGAATTACAAATGTCTACGACACTTAATATTATCCGATTATCAGATAACTAATATTATAATAAAGAATTTAATTGTGTTTATCTAGAAATTATATTTTGATTACTCACTGTTCACTGTTACAGTATTTTTTTTTATTATTTTCAATTTACTACACGACCACTTAAGTTATTTAAACAATATTATCTAAAATTAGCTTTAAACAAACAATAAAAATGATAAGTTCTTCGTTTGTAAATAATTGAAATTTAATCACAATCGTGAATTAATTGTTATTCTAATAGAATACTCGCTAAATAAGCCTGACTCAGTCCAAAAAATTTAAGAGATACAACTCTCATTAGTTATAAAAAGTTCACATTGTCTTTTTTCTTTAAATTCTAAAGACGTTCTTACAATGTTTAACAAGCGACAAGTTGTTTGTAAATGTAGCACTTTTTGTCCTTATCTATAAACTCGTGATTCAATATACATTAAATTGAACATTTAATTAAAAAATCTCAAATGTTACACAGTGGAATGTACACATATATATTGTGTGCCTTGAGTTATCTAAAATAATTCATATAAATCTTTCAGAGTAAGAAAAAACTATATATGACAATCAATGGAAAATTTTAGGTTCTATAAATTTTTAAATTGATTTATTATTTTCACATAAATCAGTTAGTTTACGCGTAGTAACAATTACCTATATGTACAAATATATTAAAGATTATGCTTGAAGCTATCTACAAAGCTTAACTTACTGATCCCTCAGTACTCTTTTACAGAAGTATTTGTTGGCTAGTTAGAGAAAATTATTGTAGTCATAAATTGTTTTACAAAGTCTTTTTGGTCTAAAAACTTACTGGTTTAGTTCATTATCATCATGAAATAATCCATGTGCATAACTATACTGTTCTAATAAATAGATTTGTAATTTTTTACTAATCTTTGAGTCACTTTGGAATAACTAAGTAAACAGTTTAATAACAGAAGTTGAAGCTTAGTTCTTGATAGATGTGGTGACACTGTTAATTCAACCAGGCTGAACCTGAAGTTGTTACACTTCAGGTTATCATAAGAAAAAATATATAGGCATGCCTAGCCTAAATAAAATTAAAGAAATCATTAACTTTGAAGATGCACTACTTATAATAGATCCAAGTGTGTATTCATCTACAAAATCTGGGTATGGTTGATGACCGGTATGTTATTTTCTGGAGTTAGTAGAGTTATAGTAAACATCATCTATTAGCGGACTTAACGCCAAAATGTTATTAAGCAATTCATATACTTATTTCTTTTTATGTACTAAAAATAAATCTAAATCTATAATTTACAAAATGGAGGATGTAAAAATTACTAAACATTTTGTTTACTACCAAACTCATACTGGGCATTGTTTTAGGTGTTACAAAAACTATCATCGTTGCTGGTTTCATTGAAAAATGACTTGTATCATGACATAGGAACTTAAAATCCCCTGACTTTTTTTGGCCTATAGGAACTGTTTTTGATTGAGAATTTTTAGTCCAACATACCTTTTGTTTTTACACTCACATATTTACAACTATGTCACAGTTTTTGAGTCTTAATCACACTTCACTGAGATTTATCTCTGGAATAGGGGATATATGCCTTGTGGATGGGGTATTAGAAGCCGGAGTACTGGGACTCTTTTGGTCTGACTGTGGGGGTGTCGGGGGATACATGTGATCTTGTGTAGATGGTGCTGTACCTTGCGTGGAAGCTTGTTCTTCAAGGAGTTGATACACTTTGTCCTGAAAAAAAAAAAAAAAAAAAAAAAAGGGGGGTGGGGAGAACCGCCACCGAAATAAGGTTCAATTCAAAACAAAGAAAAGGAAACACTGGAAAAAAAAAAAATTTTTCACATGTTATTGCACATGAAGGCACTATATAAATCATAAAAAAAAAAAAATTTTTTCAATTTATTTCATAAATCCTTCATTAAAACTTAAAAATAAGTTTTCAACTAACTATGTAATTTCATCTTCAAGGTTTTTAAGTGGAAAGCATAAGCATTGAGCCGTAATACGCAAGTGTTAAGGTAGAAATTACATTGCGCAGAGGTGCATGTATTAAATTCAAATGTAAAGGACTCGGTAGCTCAATTGGAAGCAACACCACGAGCTGAGCTAAAGCCTGCCCGAGTCGAAAATTTTTCACTTTATTTTCGATTTTTAAAATTAAAGGAAACACCATAAGCTAAACAAACACTCCTTAGAACCAAAACCCTATAACATGCATTCGCTAAGCTTATGCCTATGTGGCGGACCCAGGTCCCAGCTGTGGGTCAAAGAGATGATACAGTGGATACTCACAAACATGTCCAGAGTAATATCGTGTGATTGTATACGATGACTCTCGTCTATGTTTAGGTCTGGACATATAAGTGTGAGTTCAGCAGCGCGCTGCACATGTTCCCCGTCCCCGCCCCGCACTACGCACGTCTCGCCCATACTCCGGACTACATCCGCGAATGGTGACAACCACCGGTAGCATCGCTCCAGCATCTCCCAACTGTAACCTAGATGCAACAAAACTCTATCACTAATCATAATTACGTCTTCCTCGAGTATAACTTCTAGTGTAGTTCCTTATCATACTTTTCAATAAAACACGAAATGTGTTAGATGAACTTATTTGCAATTTATCTTAACTACGGCCTGACGTTTCGGATGCTTTGCAGCAGCTGTGGTCACGGGGATACGTCGACCCGTAGTTAAAATAAATGGTATATAAGTTTACGAATATATTTCGCGTTTTAAACCGTTTCTTTGAGAATTTTATTTTAAATGTACCTGGTAAACAATACTTAACATATCTACTCAGTTTATCAAAGTTAATAATTTAATTAAGGAAATTTTAAAATTAGTATTTGTTGTGAGCACGCAACGTAATCGTAAAGAATGTATAATCTAAAATACTAAACCAATTTTACTTCTAATTAGTACAATTATATAATTAAAACTTCAGCAACAGCACAGAACCCTGTGGATACCGATTCAAGTCTTGCCCAGTCACAATTTTTAAATTTTAATTTACATAGTGCAAAAAAAATAAAGTATTCAAATGTATAAGACATCTTATTCGTATGGATTATTTTTTTGTATGCTTCTTACCGGAAACCCTCAAAGCGAGGTCCTTGTTGAAGGAGTGAGCAATAGCTGCAGCAGCGACTTCGCTATACGCAAATCGGTTCACGTCCACGTGTAACATCGCGAGGTCCACTAATTGTCCACAGATAACAAATTCGAGGGACGAGTATTGAGGAAACACAAAAGTGTAGCTTCTCAATGCGTTTATACCTGCGTCGCGTTCGCCTGCAAATAATTCGCTATTAAACATAGAGGAGAGAGTTGAAAATAAGACTGGCTCGTTGGTCCGCCCGGGTCACGAACCACCGCCCACATTAAAAAAAACCGGGGGGGGGGGGGGGTTTTTTTTTTTTTTGGGGGGGTTCCCCCAAAAAAAAAAAAAACCCAAAAAAAAAAAAGCCGCCCAAAAATTCCCGGGGGGTTCCCCCTCCCATCAAAATCAATACAAATAATGCGGTGGAATCATTACAATGTTTTATGAAACCAAGCTTTAAAGCTATTAAAATTTTACTTCAGATTCACAAATTTTATGACACGGGTTTGAAGGAACAACTATCTTCTTTGGAACAGCACGGAACGCTGTGGTTTGTAGTTCGATTCCTGAACGTGTCCTGAACTTCTTAAATGTAAAATAAATCATATATGGTTATATATTATCGTATTGTAAAGCTACTTTAAACCAGTTGTAACGCGATTTAAATTACGATAACATCAATGTTAATAATTTTCTTGAAATCTTTCCTTTACCTAATATCCTTTTCTTTGCACTGCGCCCTTCGCTAGCAAGCTGCATGTAAATATTGAGCCAACTGTTAATGGTGATAGGCGTCAAGGTCCAAGATAGAACTTTAAGGATGAGCTGTTCTTCCAGCAGGATTTCGTCCGTTGTACACGCACCGTCAGTAACGTATGCGAACTCGCCAATCTTTGGTGGGTAAACTTCTTCTATCTTCGCCGCTATAAATAAAGAAGTGATACCTGGAAATAAAACACTTTCGGTGAGCAATGTTTGGTTAAAAGCTTTAACGGTTTAAAACATTCGTTCTTCATTTGTTGACTAGGGTGTTTTTCGGGTTTTAAACCGTTAAGTGTGAGTGCGTGAAATCTACAGACAATATTTAAGATTGTGGGCTTGTGCATTTTATGCTTTAAACATTGATAGCTTTTATAGCAAAAAATAATAATTACGTGTAGGACACGGTGGCGCAATTGGTTATAGTACGGAATGGTGTGGATTCCGGTACAAGTCCCGATCGTATCGTAATTTTATTTATAGATTAACTATGTACCTCAGAATTATCAAAAGCTGTCAAGCCGTTGTCAGTAAAAGAGAAACATACAGCCTTGCATACTTCTGCATTAATAGTATTTTTAAATATGATGAAGTGGGATGATTATCACAATTTACTAAACATTATATATTCTTTTCCAAAATAAAGAAAAAAGTTTAATAGTAATAGTAAAAGTTTTAATAGTTGTACTGTTAAACCATACAATGTTCTGAACTATATAGATTTTCTCAGACACGGTTAAAGTACGCCTAAGTCCTCATCAAACTTGGCAGTTTCCTGGGGATCGCATCGCAGAGACACAAAATAATTTTGGTCGAGCACAATAGTACTGTCTATAGTTTACGCGAGTAGTACACATTCAAATAAATCACATCAACGGTTTAAACCGCGATATATTAGTTAAACTTATTTCAAAATGATGTTTACTTCGGCCCGACGTTTCGGATGCTTTGCAGCAGCCGTGGTCACGGGGAGACCAAATAAGTTTAACTAATATATCGCGTTTTAAACCGTTAAAGTGTTTTATTTAAACGAGCACAATAGTCTTATCAACTACTTGCCTGTAAAGAAAATCAGTAAACAGACATACATATGTCTCCTGGCCCCACATAAGGGAAAAGAAATTTCGGGTCTTACAATATCGTACCTATTAATTGTAAACATCCTTTTTGTATGTCGCTAGTGTTTGAAAGATACCGATCCACGTAATCAACGGTCAAGTGAAAAGTCTGTCTATGTAGCTTGTATACCGCGCATACCTGCAAGAGAAAAAAAAGAAATTATGGTTTTTGAGCTACCGAGTTCAATTTATAATCGATTTTAAAATTTATATAGTGCCATCATGTGCAATATGTTAAGACGTATACAGCAATATGTAGTTGTAGTTACTAATGATAATAAAAAAGTATTTCAACGTCATTACAAGTTTTATTTCTATACGAATAATTACATTTTGGCATTCAATAGCGAAAACCACATAACGTCCGCTCACAAGCTTTAATTATCTTTGTTAGTCAAAGTGCCCGTTTACGATTGGCTATCAGGCCAAAAACGGATATAAAGACATTGTTACCTATGTATCAGGATAACGTGAATTTTTAGTTTACCTACATTTCTAATCTATACTAATATATAAAATTAAAGAGTTTATTTGTTTGAACGCGCTAACCTCAGGAACTACTGGTTTAATTTGAAACATATTTTTTGTGTTGGTGGCATTCATCGAGGATGGGAAATTTATTCATCTTCGTGGGTTTTTGATGTGTTACGCTGCGATAACGGTTTAAGATACTAAAAACATATTGTAGAAAGAATGATTTCTCTTTAAATGACGTAAAAAAAATATCCGCGTATATGTCTATCTTTTAAGGTTTGCAAAAATCAATTTGAATGCCCAAAATAACTATTCTTCGCGGACAAAATCGAAGACACATCTAGTGTATTAATACATCAACTATATTCAGGTACTTTGCATATGCTATACGTACAAAAACGGCAAGAAAAATGCTTGAAGATTCAACTTGATGACGAGCTTACAACTTAATGTCGACGACGAGCTATACTTTTAAGAAACGCTTAATTATTATTATTGTAGGTCGTACTATAACAAGAAAATGTGTTAAACGTTTTTTTGAGATAGTAAAAAAGGGAAAATATTTTTGTAATCATTACAGAAGAGATGACTTTGTTATCATTATTTTTATTTCCATCTAAATATTACGTAGCCTAGGTCGCCACTGCGATTTTGAATTTCTTAGCATGAATTTGGACTGTTTATTTAAACATCGGCCTGAGCCTCACTGTCTGGAATTATAAATATTTCATAAGAACATAACATCAATCCTTTGCCGAAATATAGAGATAACTGTCCTTGTCTTTCGCGAACGTGAAGTAAAATTAAAAAACTTAGGACTTTTTTTATACCAATAAACAATGAATAAGTGAAAAGCATTAATCTTTCGTATTATTATATAATAACGACTCGATAGGACCTACTGTTTTAGATATACTAGATGGACAAACATATATTTACTGAGATGTGACATGTTTGTTGTTATCGTAAAAAAAACGTAGTTTATTATGTACTCGTAGATTTTATGGGGTAAAGTTTAGTTACAGATTTTAAGATAAGTAGCGCTCCCTTACTTTGGCGTTGTACCCCCAAAATTTTAACGTAACGAAAGACGCGGCTCCAGGCTAAGTGGAATCGTCTTAGAAAAATAATGGTGCGTATCTAACGCAGCTACAATATTCTTAATAAGTATGATATAAAAACAAGCACATTGACGTTACAAAATTACATTCTAAGTAAATCTCAAATGAGGTTTATCTGCGTAAGCAAAAATGGGGTCAACCATAGTGTATGTTTAATCGCTTTAAGAAATAACAATATTCGAATGCATACTAAGAAAAAATAAGTAGAACATGAAGTGTGACACGAGTACTGCACAATAATAAAAACCACTGTAAACTTCTCTTTATATCTTCACTCTAAATTTCTCGCCTTTTAAATCGTTTAATGTGGGTTTTATTATATTATTTAAAAAAAGTACTAATCAACTTGTTAAATTTAAATTGCGCTGGCGGATAATATTATGTATTAAATCACAGTGGAAGAGCATAACTTCAAATATTTGGAGCCCTAAATTATTTCTTACTTAACTTACCCTCTCTTATCTGTGTAAGGCAGCATGAAACAATTTAATAAGATATTGTTATTAATTAAAGATAACCACTACAAAACTTCCGAATTTGAAGCGCAAAAGTGACATCACTCGCATTTCCAAAATGTTTGTTATGCACAATTGCTATGCGTAACTCACAGTACATTTATGTTTCTCTAAAATATTTCCTCAAGTAAAACAAATAAAAAAATTATGTCACCGATGTGTGATTATTGTTAATATCGTTATTTTTATCTCGTGCTTCGAAGAGATAAAGTTGTTAAATAATAATTTGGTACCAACTTTGTACATTATTATAAGTGCATTTTATGCCATCTATCTGTATAATTTAAAGAACATATGGGTCATGGAAAAAAAGGATAAGATTTTTTCTGTTAGTAAATTATAATACATATATTTACTGCTTCTCTTAAAATAAGGCTGTATGAAATGTGACCAAGAACAGGGCAGATGTCAAGATGGATGGCCCCAAAATTTTACCAATATAATAATTATAAATTTTTACCTCATTTAACCAATCTAGCAAAATTGCTCTCATTCTCAGTTTTAAGCTAGGGTGGTTGTCAAACATATTAGGGTTTCTCTTCATGGCAGACCGTGCATCAGATTCACACATTGTCTTCCAAAGGTCAGAAGGATCAGCCCAAGATAGGCCTGACAATGGGCACCTGCGTTTTAGGGGTATGGGGCATTGGGCTTTACTAGTGCTGAAACATCAGTTACATTAATGGAAGAATAAGTTATTGATAACTTATTGTTAAGGTTTATATTTGGAAAAGTGTTATGTTGAGCTAAAGGGAGAACACGATGTAGAAAATGCTGTTAAAGCTTTAAATGATTAAGCATATGGAACAACAAATAGTTACACAGTTAGAATAACATATAAAGTTTTAACTATTGTTGAAATACATAACTATCTCACAATTTGAGGAAACATACATTTGCATAACATAAGTTTAAGAATATTGCAAATTTAAGTTTAATAATGTATATGCCAGCATTCTTACCTAGCTCTCTTATTGGAGTGTGGAGTTGAGTCTCCTCTAGCTACATTATCTAAGGGACTAAGAACGCAGTTTGTAAGTTCTGGTATACTCGGTGGGCTCAAAAAACTATCTGCACTGTAATCTATGTCTGTATATACACTCCTTGGCTGTTCTGTGTTCCCATCATCACTTGAGCATGATGTTTCAACTACCACATTTTCAGCTATGTGAGTGTTGTCACTTGGTTCTTCTCTTGTAGATAATATTTTAACCGGTGGAGTATTCTCAACCTAAAATGCAGTGATAGTATCAATTTCAGTAGTACTTTTATAATGGCAAATGTAAGTATTTCCAACGTGTACCTCATTGTCTGTAGAATTTCTTTTTCTTTTTAAGTTCAACCTCTTAGCCTCAGCTTCACAGGAGGTTCTGTAAGCATATTAAGTAAGTAAATTATGAGCACTAAGGTCAAAAAGTTCATTAGTGTAAGCAGATGTACATACCCTGCTTGAGCCATAGTGGGTGTCATTTAGACGCTGAGGTGTGTTCTACAAAATAAAGACTTAATATTATTGAAGTATAATATAGTTCGAAGCCGTATTTTTTAATATAATTCAAAAGTAGTAGGTCAAAATGTACCGCATGTTAAATGATCTTACTTGAAAATAGGGTTATGTCAATTGACAAACACGGCCAAATTACGGATATATTATGATCAAAAATTTCACGCTTGTATTATGCATGTATTAGGGAATACTGATTTACCTAATTTAATTAAGATATCTCGGCTGAAATTGGGACTTAGAGCACTTGTTTCGGCAGCGTGCCCCCTGGAGGTTGGCGGGACAACAATTTTCGAGACTCATTTTTATGCACAATTACAGCTTGGATTTTAAAAATTTTGTGTACTACGATCGCTACAATACTTTATTAAACTTCAACGTTCACAATAATGTAAAAAGTAATGAATCAGCTGGCGTAAAAAATGCCACGAATCCGTCACAATAGCGCGCGAAATTCTCCCGTCAGCGCCATTAGACACGTCGCTAGCTTGGGTTTCTGTGCCAATCCACTTTAGGAAATTGATAAAAATAGAACGTACCAGGCGTTATCTGATCATCAATAGACCCATTGGTAACTATTTCATATGAGAATTTGAGGAATCACATCGAGAAATGAGTAATCATCACGGACACAATTAGCTAAGCTATCGGCCATCAAAGGTTTCTAACCTTCATATTAAACAACAGCGAGAAAATTGGCTAATTTAACTTTTAAAAAAGATAAATGTAATCATAATAAATAAAATAAAGTTGTATAAACATACCTATTCATTCACAAATTGGGTGTAAATCCTTAAACTAAAACTTTCTCATAAGCTGCACATCAAACTTCACCTTTTAGCATAAAATGATTGCTTTAACGTATATTTTCAAACACAAATCGCCTTCAAGAAAGAGTACTTGTGAACATTAAGCACAAAATAAAATTCCTAGCAATTAAATACTGTTTTTTTCATGTTTCCACGGATCAATAACGCCCGGCTTTCCGCGCGAAAATGTCGCGGTAAAACTTAGGCCTTTTGGTAACTTGCTAACGGCTAACTTCATGTTTGTTTCTTTTCATTGTCAAAATGGTTTCGTTTCATTTTACGAAATTCATTATAAAAATGATTTTATTAAACATTTTTAAAGTGATAATTAATAAAATTTTAGTTACTTAGGGAAATTAAAATGGATAGAATAAAAGAAAAATTTAGTAATGTAAAGAAAACGTTGATTATTTTAATATAAAAAGAAAGAATATTTGAAAAAAAGTTTTATTTGCTACGAGAAACTAACTTTTAATGTGTCATTAAAAAAAGCTTCACTGAATGAACTACTAATATTTAAAATAATATTGTTTTATATTTTTGTTTCTATCTGTTACGTAAAATGTCACAGTATCATATTAATTTCTATTGGTTCAACTGTTTCCACTCGCTGGCTTTTTATGTTGGTACTTCGTAGCATTATTTCATCTAACTTCGCTTCTGTGCTCAGCTGTTAACCAGCTGTTAGAATATTGACCTGATATCTTCTACCGATGCAGTTATTATCATTACTTAATCGATATCCAAATTAATTTAGCTACTACTAATTGCAGCTAATTACATTCGTTAATTATATACCTGTTTAATTATTCCAGTATTAGGCGGCAGCTTAATAACATGTCCGCTCAAAATTTAGCTGTGAAACTATGCGGCATTTTACAGCAACAGAACAACGAAGGTATGGCTTTTCTTTAATTGCGTGGTGTTGCGTCGTATTTAAAACTCTTGTCTTTATTTTCTAGAAGTCACTGCGCGCGAGTGGCGCCTAGTTGGGCAAGAACAGGATGGCTCACAAATTTTGACATGGATTTCTACTCTACAAAATAACGATGTCCTAAATATAGGCGTGTACATAAATAGGAGTAAGACATTGAAAACCCTATACACATTTGTTGAAAAAGTAAATGTGATTCAGGCTTCTGTGAATTCATCTCACAGTTTAGTGGCCTATGTGGCGAAAACTAATCCCAATGATTCTGAAACTGAAGCTCTTTATCGGCCCTATTTAGTAGGAATTTTGCCTGATAAAGTAACCGGGCCTGAGGAGATTGAGGAATGGTCCAACAAACAGGTTATGGTTCAATATGTATATGGAAAGAGCAATAAGTATAGCCCTGGCATAAGAAATGACAGATTTATACTATTTAGGCATCTTGAATGTAAGTTACTAGTATTGTTAACCTTATAATTTTAATAATTAATAAAGATATCTTTTTTAATATCACTTTAATATAACTGAGATGTAATCCTATAGCTAAAAATCAAAATTTTCGTATAGGAAAGAAGTATATCAAATCTGACAATGTCTAGATATATATATTTGACGAGTGCCAACATAGAGAGATTACTAATGTGACATTTTCTTGTTCCAGGCATTAAGATATACAGAACACCAATGTTTTTGAATGAATGTGATGATGGTTCAGAGAAATGGGGTTTCGATGGCATCTATCCTGAACCAGAAACCATTGTAAATGTGTTTTCTTGGGCTCAATGGGACTGTGCTAATCAAGTAAGTTTTTTATAATTTCTTAGAGCAAATTCAGATTTCAGAACAATTTTCAAAAATAATATATAATCTTTAGGGACCTCTGTTGTGTCAGTACAACAGACTACAAACAATCTTTCCTTATATTCTGTAAATTGATATTTTATATTGTTATGGATAAAATCGTTGCTTTGGCATTCCTGAATAATTATTAAAATATTTTTTGTATGTTATACAAAATATGTATAAGAACACCACAGAGCATCATTGTTATTGTTCAATGGTTATTGATTTTTTTACATTCAAAATTTATTCATTAAAATTACAATGTCATGACAGGTGGGAGCCCAATTCAACTTAAAAACTAACACAGAAATATAAAATACCATTATACTTATAACTAACTATTAACTAATATTAAATATCATTAGTTCACCATTAGTAATTATCAGCTTATTATTTTATAATCCATATGAAATCACAAACTGTAAACATTTCACGAGCTCACTCCATGCATTACAGAAAATGTCTTTTTGTCTATGAAGTAAGTTTACTACCTCCATTGCTCTGGTCCAAGACGCTTTTCCTAACAAATTCGTTTTAGCAAAGGGTACTTTTATAAAACTTGGGCGATGCCTTTTATGTATGTACTGATCAGGTACTAAGAAACTAATTCTTTCCAGCATTAGCATATTGGTTTCTGTTCCCCGCATTACCCTTATAACATACGCTACAAGAGACAAACTCCCTTCTCACTCATAGCTCCGAATAACCCACTATACCCAGTTCGTGGATAATACGGATAAACACCGTAGGTTTTCATGTAAAGAAAACTTGTTAACTTATTTTGTACCCTTGCCAACATTAACCGGTACTTGTCCTCGTGATGAGACCAAACCGTCGCGTTGTATTCTAAATGGCTTCTCACTGAGGTGTCGCATAAAATTCGAACAGTAGAAAGGCTAGTGAAGTCGCTGCTTTGCCGTAAAACGAATCATAAACACCTAAAAGCTGTTTTGCAAACTTTGATGACCTGGTCCCGAAGATGTAAGTCTGATGTGAATAACACTCTCAGGTCCGTGATTCGATTCATACGTTTCGGGGGTCCCGGCCTAATTCATAGTTGAATGCCTTAGGTGCCGTTGATCTAGTAAAGCGCTTTATCGAGCATTTTTCCACATTGAAGGACAATGTATTATTAAAGTGAATGTCTTAGACCGGAGCTAAGACATTCACTAAATCATTCTGCAAGCGTTCACAATCAGCCATCTCCTTGCACTTCAAAAAAATCTTGAGGTCATCACCAAACATTGGGCATTGACTGGACCGGATGACCTTCGGTAAATCGTTTAATTCGGTAAAACTTTTTAATCCAAAATAATATAAAATATCACAACACTTATTGAAGGATTGTTGTACTCGATTGCACTTTGTTCCGCTGACACGACCTCGACGTTCATAAAAAGCTCGTTTGAGGGTTCTTAAAGATGCCATGTTGTGTGATCTATAAGAAAACATTTTTTGTACAGGTGTTATTTTACATCCATTATCGAGTTTCAACTCAGAGCTTTGCGGAAGACGAAGAAGCTAAGTCGCCTACCGAACCTATACCAACATTATCAGCACTGCAGTTTCATGCAGACTTGCCCTACGAAACTGTGGTATGTTGCTTTTTGATCATTCAGAAAAAGAGTTTCATATAAGTTAGTACTGTGTGGGCTTTGTATATTAGCGAATCTAGAAATAAATCAGAATTTCAGGTCTAGTAGTATTTATGAAAAAGTAATATTGTTTATAAAAAGTAGGGTACCTTGCTTAAAAACGTGGTTCTAAGTTTCTAGAGAATAAAAACACATATATACAGTGACACTGTAATGAAAAACAACAATAACCGAATGCTAAAAATGTGTAATGATAAAATGCATTTTGTTTTGTTTTGTGTATTGTGTGGAAAGGGGGTTTAAAATTATATAACTACTCAGATCTACAACCGCAGTGGTCGGTTTTGAATTGTGTTTATCCTTAACGTCTTTTTTTATTGAATATATGTATTGTAACTTCTATAAAGCTATCATGTGCGAAAGTAATATTATTTCTAGCGTTTCAAGATGATTTCAAAGTCTATGATATCATTTCTATTCATATATTACGGTCGCTTCAATAAATTTCAATGGTTTACAATATTCAGTATGCCTAGACGACGTCTGCCGCTAGAACTTGATAAATTAGTTTTGGTAAAAAAACATAGATATCTTTCAAGATTTACGCACTGTATTTAAATTTTGTACCGTTGGTAAAACAGTAGGAGGAATGAGAACCACAAATATTTATCTGCTAAAATTTACACTATACAAGTAGATACTAACTATACAAGATTTTAATAAAAGGTATTATGTTTTAAAATGGTGACAGTTACGAAAAAAATAGTACAATTTATTTAAATTTTATAAAAATATTTCTTGAAGCATTTGGTTTCTATAATATATTTGTATATAAAAATCTAATAGTAGCATTTATCATATGTAACATCACTATATATCTGGTTAAGATGAAAAATTCAAATTGGTAAAAGCAATTTGTCTCCAGTTTTTGCATTTTAAAAATTTACAAGATTATGCGATTTTGATGAGTTCACCTGCGGAATTCGCGACTCCCGTTGACCTCGCCCTAATATTTTATTCAGTAGGTACAGCCGCCAAGATTATGGGATGGTAAAGAGGTTCCTCGAGGGAGCTGTCTAAAATTATCCACTAGATTTGAAAGTGCCATCGATTTGTTGTGACTATTAACAATGAACAGCAATTTAATTTAGCGTGTTTTCTTAATAAAACCCCCTATAAATTTAAAAAGTATTATAAGTCTCCGTGACCACGGCTGCTGCAAATCATCCGTAACGTCGGGTCGTAGTTAACCTAATTTTCAAATTAAATTAACAAATATATACGTTCTAAACCGTTAAAGTGTTTATTTAAATGTGTACTCGCTTAAACTACAGACAGTATTTATTTTAAACTCGTAAAACTTTCGGATTTGTAAAATCCGATCCAGTTAATTAATGTTCGTATATAAAAAAGGTACATCTTATGTTATAATTTTCCAGTTAAATATTCCTCTAAGTCTTCCGCATATGCCGGGATCCCACGGCGCAGCGGCAGCGTGCGGTTCCTATGAAGACGATCCGGTGCCCCTGAGAGTTCACGATTGTAGTCTTGATCTTTACATTATATGCGACCAGCGAGGACTTTTGTGCGTCTGCCATCACTATTTGTATAAGGTAAGATTTATCTATCGATTAGTCAATATTTTATCATTTTGTCGCAATAAAAAAGCGGTAAATGAAATAATTATTATTAAAAAAATATTAATACACTCGGTTTATAATAAAGAAACATCAAAGTTTAAAATATTATTAATAGCCTAGTCAACATTCTTTTCGTCGTATTTTAAATGATTTCTTTTTTATGTTAGAGAAAGACAGACAAAATAGCCCAGCCGTGTAACATCTAAACACGATGGGCTGTCGACGTATAAGTAAATCTGCAAAATAAATTTCTCTAACTTTTAAAGATGTACAAATGTGCATTTGTACATACATAAAACGGCAAAAGATGGCGTTGTTGATACTGTGTGTTTTAGTGATACACTATTATTCAAACTCACTTCTTTCTCCTATCCTATTAAGATCCTTCATTCGGTTGAGTATCTGTCACCCACATTGCGGTGGTCCAAGCCGAGGCCGATGCCCCCTTCGGGACCCCCTTAGTCTAGCCACAAACAAGCGAATTAGGAAAACAATTGAATTAATAAGAAGTATATGTTGGCATCGTTTTACCTGAATAAATGATAATGAGGCATGAAGTAAGATTATTGTAATACAAATTTGACATTGTAATCTTCACAAAGCTAATAATAATTGCAGCCACTAGATGACTCTACAAGTTCTCTAGTTCTAGACGATGTGGATTTGAAGGATTCTGGCGTTAACTTCGCGTATTCGGTGACACTCCTCCACCACGGTTGTGTGGTTCACAACGTAGTGCCCGATTTGCCATGGTCTCTCGCTAAATCCCTTCGCCCATCTTATACCCTCTACGCAGGTAAGGACATAGAAGTTTGATATTATTCAGTTTAAGCAGCAAAGTCAGCGAGCAAGACATTCAGCTCCAGTTCTCTATGCAAGCTCTTTTCAATGTCAAAATATGTACAGTTCTATATAGATCTCATTATATAAGTTTCTTTTTATGCTAAATTCTTCTTCTTCTTAGATACTGTCTGTAGTTTACGCAAGTAATACATATTTATATAAAAACTGTAACAGTTTAAAACGCAAAATATTTTAGGTTTAATTACGGCCCGATAAAAGCGTTTTATTTAAATATGTACTACTTGCGTAAACTACAATCTGTACCTATTCTCCTTTCTAAGGTCTTATATTATAACAAAGCACCCAGTTATATAGTGGTGTATTAAGATACCCCATAGTTACCCCATATATTATTTTATATCTCGTCGTCTTACTAACCTGGCCTTTATATAATTTATTCTGGTATTTTTTGCAGATAACCATCTCCTCGTTCATATACCGATGCTCTTTACCCACTTCATAGATATAAGCCCACACCACGAGCCATGTTGCCATATCGTTATGCCTATAGAGAGTTCTGAGAGTGGTCCAAGCCTCGCTCCGCTGTTGGGCTGGGGGAACCACACCATGGTGGATCTTAATACACTAGACGTAGTCACCATGGCCATAGCAGAAAAAGACCTAGTAGCAACATACAAAGGTGATACAGTGCTCGAGAATAGATTGGGCGTTCTGCATTACTTGATTCAGCATGAAGGAAATATGGATTTGGCGGAAGACGTAAGTATTTTGACTTCTTTAGACATTACTTAGATGTCATGGAATATTATGTTGTCTATATATTTGTGTATATTAAATTAAATACTGTCTGTAGTACACGCGAGTGGTACACATTTAAATAAAACACTTTAACGGTTTAAAACACGATATATATTAGTTTAAATTATTTGAAAATTACTTTAACTACGGCCCGACATACTTTGACCTTAGAGACACCCTCCATCTTTAGTCTTCCAGTGACCACAGCTGCTGCAAAGCATCCGACACGTCGGACCGTTGTTAAAATTATTTTCAATTAAGTAAATATATCGCGTTTTAATTCGTAAAGGTGTTTTTTTAAGTGTATATATTTGTCAAGTAAATAATAAAAGTAAAGCAAGCTTTAAATAATTTCTATTGCAATCAAAGACAATAAGTAAAAAAAATAAAATACAAGTAAACGATTTCAGGGGTTATAATACTTGAATTAAACTTTATTATACATAAGACTTATTAGTTTTACTTCCAGCTTTTATCTTGGTTTCAAAGGCATGTAGAGAAACAATCCTAATACAAGATGTCAAGACTTAGTTCTTACTTAGATTTAACTTTCTTTAGAGAGCGATGGATAATTATGCATAGGTAAGGCAGATGCCTTATCAGAGTTCTAATTCCAGCTTATATCTTGGTCGTGCCTCAATCAACACGATGGCTTGGGCGGCTTACAAAAGCTAATGCAGGAATATCTGATCAGCGTCACCTATGCTGTGACGCGACGTTCGTTACCCGCATCAGCCATTAGCCTCATGAATTGGTTGCCTTTTACGATGCACTTGAAATTCACGGATGTTAAGGTATATTTATTTCCATAATGTCATAAAAATTAATAAGTTTGACAGTTTACGTCAATGGAGTACTAAATGAATATGATAAAGTGTACTTTAAAAATTACCATACGTTGTTGATACACGACCTTTATGGATCTGTAGCTAAGTGGTTAAACGTATTGCCTTGCAGTGCGTTTAACTTGAGAAGTCAAAGGTTCGAATTCTGAGGAAACAGTAGATTGTTTCAGTCGGGCAGGGCACAGAAGTGAGCTCAACTACTTGCCTATAAACTAACCCGAGTGAAACGGTCACAAAAATGTTTTTGTCCCAACATGTCAAGTTGTGCCAGCGATTTTATCTTTCAAGTTAATCTTTAAAGATAGACAAATACAGTCACGCACATTTTTTTTACATAAGTTAAAGAGGAATCATTTTTTCATAAATATTTTTCTATTATGGCTATTAAAACCCTCACAAATAACTGTTTTTCCCCGTTTTTTCCACATTTCTCTCTGTTTTTTGGTTCCAATTGGTCGAAACGTGCCGTTTTATAGCCTAAAGCCTTCCTTGATAAATGTTCTAACTTACACAAAAATCTTTATATTTTTAACATATATGCTTTTGACAGTCCAATGTACTCTTTTGTTTATTTCCCACAGGCTGGTGCAATTTCTGTGTCAGTCAGCAAGGCAGCGTTGTGGCGAAGCGCCGTGGCCGCTGTAGTACTCTCCCCTCGCCAACGCGTAAGTCAGTTTGCAGAAGACGCGTGGACCCGCCTTTGGGCTGCTCTTTGCGCTCTCGCCACCCCGAAAGAGAGATTGCAACCAGCTCTCGTGTTGGAGAGACTGCGCGTGAGCTTGCATTGCTATCAGGTAAAAATAAAATATTCCTTGTAGTTAAAACAAAATTTATTTTTTTTACAACTATAATGTTTATAAGTAAATTGCGATATTATTTTAACATACTATATTTTACATGGGTGATATAATAAATACATTTTATAGGAGACCTACCTCAACGCAAAAAAAAAACAAAACTGATTTTTGAATTTCTGTTATTTGTCTGTGCGTTTGTGCACGCTAATCTGAGAAACAGCTCATCTGATCTAGGTGTGGTTAGTAACATGTTGTGGACTGTGGTAACCTCTACTTAACATTTAGTATTTGGTTATATGTTACATAAAGTATGTATACTCAGCTAGTGTTATAATAATCTTCACGATCTGCGTTTATGTTTATGTAGTGACGAATTATAGTTCAATAAAAAAAAAATCGCATCATTTTCGCATTAGCCGGAAGCATTGTCCCGGTGCAGCACACCAATGTCGCCGACATCAGGACCGCTACCAACTCGAAGACCTTCTCTCGTCGCTCAGGATGCCTTCCCCTTCATCGAACTTGACGTTTGTACTGCCAGCAAGCAAGAACATATTATAGCTGCGGTATGTCATTTTTTAAAACAATTTCTTACTGCGTTTCATTAAAATGGTTATAGAGAGGGGACGTGTAATTTATGAACATAATTTAACTATCTATGTAGATAATGTAAAACTTGTTTCACAGTAGGCTGACGTGACGTAGCGTGATGTTCCAGAATATTAGTCCAATACATTTAGTATGGAAGATTTCATATTTGCCTTGCGTGTCTATTTTATTAACTTCTGTCGCTAGAGCTAAGGGTTTGTAATGAAGCTATAACACGTCAGGTGAAACTTAACGCTCTATGCTCGTGATGTGACGCGTCAGAGTGATGATTTTGTTGAAATTATACAATCGAAGTACTATATTATTGTATGTATATTATTCGTTATTGCACCTTATCTACAGGCTGTAAACATTAAAAATGTCGCCCTAAAGCGTCATAGTTCGACACGTCATATCACGTCAGCTAATTATTAATCCGATGCAGAACCTTCGAGCTGTTAGCGTGCACTTAATGCGCGAAAGCAGCGCCGGCGGAGGCGCAGCGCTCGAGAGCGGCGTGCACGCATTAGCTACGCGATGGGCAGCCGCGCAATTGGACGCATCGCGCGCTCTCTGTCGCGCCACAGTCAAAGCGGGTGCCGCTGTCCCTCTTCCGCATCAACCGCGCGGTTTCGCATACGTGTATGATTTTGAAAAGTTTAATGTTTGATTTTCAATTCGAAATTTAAACCATTCACATTGTTTTACTTCTTTGTTTCCCTTTTTGGTTGGTTGGTGCTAAAGATAAGCAAACTTTTGTTTTGTTTCGTTTTTTATTGTTTGTTTTTGTGTTTCGTTGTGGTCACTCACCTTTGTTTTTTTCGCTTGTTCGTGCTGTTACTGTAAGTACGGGTTGTTGTGTTTTTTTTTGGGGTATTCATTCACCGTTTTTCATTATATTGGTTGGATTGAGTTTTTTTTTTCAGTTAGAATATTTAGATAAGTAAAACATATACTATTTTAAAAAATTTCGACTCGGGCAGGACTTGAACCGGCATCGTCAGCGTTCCGTGCTGTTGCTCTTCGACTTCAATTTATTTTCCATTTTTAAATTATATAGTGCCTTCATGTGCAATAACATGTAAAAGTTATAAGTTTTTCAGTGCCGTTTACGTAAATAATTACATAAAACACATTAACATATCTTACGGTACCTCTAGGCTGTTTAAATCCTTAAAAGTGTTTTATTTAATTTGTACCTCGCGCGTGAACTACAGTTAATGCCTAATTGTGATAATTACATTGAATAATTTTTAAATACATTATTTAATTTACCTTGTGTTATAGAGATGAACTCGACCCGACACACGCGCTCATCCTATTCAAACTACTGGAGCAGTACTACGTATCGGCAGACTCCATCGCATTTCCATTGCCGCAAGGGTTCAGCTCCTTCTTTACTTACCTCGGCTATCGGACGCTGCCTTTCTACGCATTCGTACAGTACGTGCATAGGAACGTACTTGAGTTGCAGATTGATGTTCTCAAAGCAATCATTGCGGTAGGTTTTCCCCCTTAAAAAAAGTTCTCGTTGTAGAGATTATAACAATATTAGCCTGACAGTGGAGTTAGTAAGTATCCTCCTTATTAATAAGTTCTCGTTGTAAAGATTAAAACAATAGTGAAGAAAAAAAAAAACCCAAAAAAAAATAAAAAAAAAAAAAACAAGCGGGGATTTTTTTCCCAACCCAGGGGGGGGGAATTTAATCCCTTTACGAATATATGTTATAATTTGTTACTGAACCTTGCTATTTAATTGAAATAAAGAGGTAGCTTCATTTTCTTGTGTATACACTCATTCTTCAGGTAAAGACGACGATAGTAAACGTACAGTGAACAACAAGCTGCGTTTAATTCAACTAGTGGGCGAAGGCCGAGGACGTCGGGCGCTGGCGTCCTGGCCCAATAAGGCTGCCCTGGTGCTCCGAGCCCGAGACCATGCTGCGGCACTTCTAAGCGGTGTTACTCAGCCATCGAGAGATCAATATCCACATCGACCTATCAAGGATACTGGTAATTTGATAGAAATGGCATAATTAAAAATTTATTTAAATTGAAAAAAAAGTAGGACACGTTGGGGCCTTGAATCGGCATTCACAAAATACACAGAAATGAGATATCCGAAGTATTTAGTCTAGTGTTCTTTTTTATTGCGCTTAAATACTATAATTATTATTTTCTATTAGTCACACCTATAGAAGGCCGGCTGGTCTAAAAAAAAATCTATTTTATATTCAGACCAGTTTTGTAATATGTATTATGCGTTATGAATGATTAAAAATAATAATTCAAAACGCATATAACTTCATTTTGCATTTTATAATATATTTCATAAAAAACTAGTTGAAAATATCAAAGTAAATTTAACATTGAAAGTAACTGCTCAAACACTTAAATTTTACGAACCCTTTTATTGACGTCATTGTCAGTTTGTTCAGTTACCAATTGCTACACGTTTGTGAAGAAATTAAAAATAAGTATTACAATCTAACTCTTGTGTTCTTTCACCTTTTAAAGCTGTTATTATAATAAACAAAAACATTTTCTAAATACTTAATCTACTAATATACTATTTCAGGAATTGCAGCACTTCCATCGGGTGAGCGCCTATCCCCACTCGATACATTCTTGGATCTGCTGACTGCTAAAGCTAGCCTCAACGAACTGGACTTCAATCTCATAATCGAAGCGACTCTGGCTTCAGTTCAACAAGATATTGCTGCTTAGAAATAGTTTATACTTAATCTTTTATACACATTTGCTACTAGGGCAAAGTGAATGCAACATTAGGTTCAAAATAAAACTAGTCACTCCAGTTCCGCACAGATGTTATTGTGTTGTTTTTTTTATATTAACGTAAGATTAACATAACGTTTTCTTAAAGATTTAATGTAGGTTATCCTTAGAGCTACATAGCATGTGGGTTATACCATACCGAATATATAGTATGTTTTTTATGTACAATTCTAATTGCATATTTTATTAATTTCGCTAAATATGGGTTTTACTATGTCAATGGATCTAGTTTATACTTCACTGTTAAAATAGTGTTGAAATTAAATTAATTTATTATAATTGTTAAGTCTAGAATTTATTTTATGATCTCTTAATTACATTCGCATTTATAAGTAGCATTATATTCTATTTTATATGAGTAGAAACTAAGCTGCCTTTTCTAGCTCTTTAATAGCACAAATTGTTTCTCTTATTTATATAAGGTACTTAACAGTTTAAATTATAGTAATAAAATTCAAGCTGATTTTATGACTTTTAATTTTATTAGCATTGCATTCCTTATATTAAAACTATATAGACTTAATTATAAAATGGGTTATATGTAACCCAATGAGCCCTCTTCTGTTCCTCCTCACTTTTATGTGAGGTAAATAACGATTTGTATACTTCACTCGACTGTGGATCATTAGCAATACTGTACTCTTTCTTTGTTTTCTTATATGATGGGTCCTGTTGGAGACCATTTGAATAAGCTCGTTTATAAGATCCAAAGTGACCTCTTGCCTGTTTGTTTGGGTTGAACTTTGGCAAAGAAAGTGGAATTGTATCTGGTGTTTCTTTTTTTACTTGAATCTTATCATCATGTTTACTACTGCAGGGTTGTGGTTCTTGGGAAGTTGACACTTCTGGCTCTGTCTTGATTGCAACCTTTTCTCCTTTCACCTTTTTAGTTTTTCTACTGGTAACTCTTACTGTCATTTTTTCTTTAAGATTTTCAATGTCTTCATCTGTTCCATTTAAAACCACAACATCATTGTCTGTAAATGGTTGTTGACACTGCAAGAAAAATTGTCTTATATAATTAATAATATAATCACAATTACAAAAGCAAAAATGAGTGGCCCACAGAAACTAAGTCAAATAATTGTAGGTGGAATATAATGTAAGGATGACAAACACTTACCATATGGCAAAGATTTTGTTTCACTTCTTTTAAAGCTCTCTCAGCAAGGACACACCCGCAGCTCCATAGAAATATAAAACGAAATTTACCAGTCATCTCCAACCCACTGATAGGGCAAATATAAGGAGCACTTCCTTCACCAACCGCACCATCGGTATGCTCAGTATGTTTATATGCTGGATTTTTAATTAGTGACAGGTCTTTTATATCCTGTAAATTAATATGCATTATCAAAATTATAGAAATGCCATCAAAAGACACACCTTACCAAATTAAATTATTTACCATATAATACATTTATTATGAGTTTTACATAACAATCTTGCAATTAGTTAGTATACCTTTAAATTCTTAATGTGACTAATAGAATCTGGCTTGGTTTCTTTATCCAATAATGCTTCAAGAACTGAACTTTTGCTGTATAGTCTTCCAAGACCACATGCTACTACTGGCTCCTGTAGGGGTTGCTGAGATAATGCACAATTACGCCATTTGAATGACCGTTCAGCATCTTTATCTTTCTGTAAGCACAATTCTAATTATAATATCATGATCATTGATTCAGTAAAAAGATTCTAATCTAAGTCAATTCTTTATAAGTTTCTGCTTCTTACCTGTTCAGGCTTCTTCTTTAATCTTACAAGTTCATCACGGCGAGGAATAGTTCCGCCATCGCAACCCATTATTTACTACGACACAGTATACTACTCAAACTGGAAAATAAATATTGAAAAAGGGTTGTAAATTAGCTTCTATGTTCAACTAAGTATTTAACGCAATCTTTTTTAGTTCTAACATTTGTGAATAAAAACCATTGGTTTTATATACGTAAACATATAAGTAGGTAATTTGACAAGTTCGCAAACAATATAATTTGTGACGTGAGACGTCATTTGTTTCAATGAGCCCACAGATGTGCTATTATTATAGCTTATTTTCTGTGTATTATGTAGCGTCTATGCTGCGAGCATCGTCAGAGACGGATGACAATATTTTATGGGCAACTGTCACCCGCAGCGTTCTACAGCGTACTTATTACAATTTACATTTTACAATCGGGTAGTGTATATAAATTATGTTAATCTTTACCATGTTTACCCGTGGCCGTGGGCTCATACTTTAATTGTAATTCAATGATAATAGTTTACTCCAAGCGTCTAAGTTAAGCGTTAGTTAAATTATAATTGGTATTAAGTCATCTACATACAGCAAATATGCAAAGAGTACCTGTAAATGGTTGCGAGTTAGAGAACAGTATGGACACTGTTTCTGACACAGGCAAAGGAATAAAGAAAAGGAAAAGGGGAATCATTTACTTATCTACAATTCCTCCTTACATGAATGTTGCAAAAATTAGGGAAATTTTCAGTCAGTTTGGTGAAATAGGCAGGATTTACTTACAATCAAGCGCAAGTAAGTATTTTAAGGTTATATTATTTGCTATGGTTACAAAGATGAAATATTTTTTTTTAGAAATTAATACCATATAATCAATTTATTATATCAATTTCAGAGCCTGGTGAAAAACGAAAACGAGTCCCTAATCAATTTACTGAAGGTTGGGTAGAGTTTAAGAAGAAAAAAGTTGCAAAAACTGTTGCGGCCAATTTGAATAACACACAAATAGGGACAAGAAAGAAATCCAGATACTATGACATGATTTGGAATATAAAATACATTCCTAGGTTCAAATGGGTACACTTAAGTGAAAGACTATCATATGAGAAAGCTGCCTTGAAGCAAAGATTACGAGCGGAAATATCCCAGGCGAAGAGAGAGGCTCAATATCTACAAAGCAATGTGGAAAAAAGCAAGAGAATCAAAAAGAGAAAAGCTATTGACACCGGAGAGGAATAAATTTTACACCTTTTTTTGTTATATAAAAAAAATAAATATGAAATTTGAAAACAATGTTCATACAAACTTATACACCCAAGATAAACTTATTAAACTCAAAAATTAAATATGAACATACAAATTTAAGTTTTCTACACTAAAAAAAAATATGACATTCACACTCAAGTATCAAACCTAGGTAATTGTTAATAACATAGCTATTAAATTCAAAGTCACTTAACATATTTAAGTTATAATTAAAATGTTATAAACAGAGTTATTGAATAGCTACAAATAAGCCATCTTTTTTAATTTTGTTCTGATAACATTTATTATTATGAGAACAAAATGAAGTTACAAGTGTGAACGATTTGCACAAGAAAATGTGCCTTTTCAAAACTTAATACTTTAATCTTTTTTTTAACTTTTACAAATCTTAACGAGAGTGGCAAAATTTGAATTTTGTTCAAATTATATTTTCCTTATAAAATGTGTGCTATGGAGTTAAACGGAGAGAAGCATAAATTATTTTTTACTATAATTAACTCTTCCACTTATAATTTCTTCAATGCGCATTCTTTGTTTCAAATTCAAAGGGTCCGGTGATAACTTCTGTATATATCGGCGCGGGGGTATCTTATGCGACAGTATTCCCTGTGAAAATTCTCGATGTACCCTCACACCGCCTAGGGCATTTAACTGAAGTTTTTCAAAACTATGTAGTTCACTCATGAATTGTTTCCTTTGTGCAACTTTAGCCCAATGGTATCGATGACGACATATAACTCGACTAAAAGAACATAGTAATGTTATATACTGTGCATAAATTATATTCGTATTTAAGTAACAAAGGATAGGAAAAAGGCTTTGCTTGTATGACTAAGGGGTAGATCCTTAGTTGCAATTTAATTAAATGTATATCATTAAACTAAAGATAAAACTTTAAGTTTAAAACTAATAAACAATTATTTATATACTTTACTATTTTAATAAAACAGACGGTGATCACACGGATGCTGCAAAGCATCCGAAACGTGGGGCCGAAGTTAAAAATCATTCACAAATAAGTTTAACTAATATATCGCGTTTTTAACCGTTAAAGTGTTTTATTTAAATGTGTACTACTCGCGTAAACTATAGACAGTATTTACTTTACTATGGCATTATAACTTACTAGGCCACACCCAATTTAGAGTAACTTGGGTAAATACTGACATCTGACCGAGCTAATTCTGGAAAGCCTGGATACAAAGGAACTTTTCTTTTCTTTTCATCTGATTGCTTTTCCTCTCCTTTCGACGCCATTATTATATTAGTAATGTTATGTATAAATTTATGAAAATGAATATGTAGTAGATAAAAACAGCTAATATTGGATGTTAATTGATAACTTAGATATTACCATAGCAACTTAGTATTGCAATGCATAAAATATTAGTAAAGAGTCATTTTATATTTCTATGTAAGGTGTATTTTTAAAGATTTTGAATTTGCTATGAAAACAAAAAATATGTATAAGTTAAATATGAGTTTTAAACAATGCAATAAAATAACAGAAGTAAATCAATAGTTTAATAATATATTATCTACATTTTCTGTTGTCTGAACATTACAGCACTGTTTTTTTTAAATGTATTATGGAGTTACAGGCTCTAAATTGTTACATTAGAGTTCAAGAACTAGCTGTAACCGCTGCAATCCGGCTCTTGCAAACACAGTCATTAAATTCACTCACTAGCACTGAACACAAAAGAGATTTGTTGGGGTTTTCGCTGTAACATTCAAGTACCTGTAAAAATATTATTTACTGATGTAAAAATTCGAAAGCAAGGATTATAATATATTGGGACAGCTATAGCATAGAACTAGCAAAAAAAACATAATAACATTTTAAGACAGTACAACTTACTGGTATTCTTAACCTAATTTTCAGATAGTTGAAGTATTTATTATTATTATTATCGTGTCCTCGATAGAAAATAATATTAAATAATTCACATTAATTTCATTACAAATATCTCTTTTACCAGACGCTATTTCTCCTGCATTGCTGTGACACAAATCCTAAATGATATTTGAGTTATAAGTTTTGTATCTTGTTTAACCAATTTGCCGTAGTATTGTACTAAGAATAAGATCTTAAGATTGGATCCTGAAGATACATTTTTTTTGTGATGGGACACAAATATAGGTTTTTTTATGTCCCATATGGAGAAATGTCATAATAATATACCTTAGCCTTCTCTTGTTGACATGGTGGCAGTTTATTTACAACTTTGTCAGCTTTTACCATTTCAAACAGTTCATTGGCTTCTTTCAGTGTCTTTTCATACTCCACTACCATTCCTGAATTGATCTTTTCATGAGCCCGTTTTAAATTTTCAATTCTTCTTGCCCAGTATGCTTCTTCAGCAGCTGACTCTTGTCGTTTTTGAGGATCATATGTGGGGGGAGGAGGTGCATACTGAGGTTGGGGTTGAGGAGCTTGCTCAGCTTGCTACAAACATTAGAAATTTATTTGCTATATATAATCATAAAATTAAAGTAAGTATTACATATTAAAGTTTTTTTTAAAAACTTTAATATTTAAGATTCTCTCTGATAAATTATATTGCTTAGCACTATGATAAAAAATATGTCTTTTTAAAATAAAACGCTTTAACGGTTTAAAACGCGATATAATTTATTTTTAGTTATCCGTATAGCCGTGACTGCTGCAAAGCATCCGAAACATCGGCCCGAAGTTAAAAATCATTTTTCAAATAAGTTTAACTAATATTATACCGCGTTTTAAACCGTTAAAGTGTTTTATTTAAATGTGTACTACTCGCGTAAACACAGTATAGACCGAGTATTTAATAGGACTTTTTGACAAATTTTAAGACAGCCAATATTAGTTACTCATTTTGTTGCAAAAACCAGATCTCTATGAAGGTTAGTCTAATTTCTGCAGCAAGTGTAATTATGAAGTCATTATTTAAGTGATAACATAACCTTAACATCTTGATCACGATTTTTCTCACTGATACTGTACTAAATGAGTACCTAAGAATTAGTTAATTTTCAACTAGGATAATTTCTTAATTCAGAATTACAAAATATTATTGTTTAATCCATTGACATTGATTAAATTATGTAATGCAGTATAATTATTTACTTTTGCAGACAGCTGTGCTTGTATTCGGTCTAATGCTTCCTGAGAAACTTGAATTGCATTCTCATTGTCCACACTAAGTTTTCGGGTACTTTGTGAACCTCCCATATTTATAAAAAGGAAAATATTCGGAAAAACGTATCGGCAAATCACGTCAAAAAAGACATTTTGATTTTGACTGCTTCGACATGAAATTGTAAAACATCAAATGGGGGGCGAATTTATATTATTGCCATTTGAGTAAATCAAAATTAGCCTAAATCTTTGCAGGAATTCTACCAAAAGCGGTTAAAGAATAGAATTGTTAAAACTTAAAGAAAAACGTGCAAATATTTAAAATTATGCATAGCTTGAAATGATCCCACAATTGGAAGTTCCCGTCCAATAGAATAGTGTGAAATGTTTTCATAAAAATAAAAATGTTTTTCTTTATTCGTTCATATTATTTGTTCAGATCATTCAAATAAAAAATCCAACACGATTTTCGGGCCAAATGGCGAGCCAAAGATTAACCGCGCGCCTCTGGCGGCAAAATTGAAAAGATGTCTAAGAACGACACGACAGTCTGTTCCCAAGGGCCAAGACACTCCTTTAGATTTACCTATGGCGAAGTTTTAAGTTTTATAAGTAAATATGGATTTTATTATGGATCATGATTATATAAAAAGACCTGCAAAAAAATCCAGAAACACAAAATATTGTTGCGTTCCTCAATGTGGTACTTACGGAGCTTTAGGAATAAGTTTTCATTTGTTTCCAAAGGACAAAATTTTAGCAAACAAATGGAAGGTCGCTTTAAGGATAGGCAAGCCCATTTCATCAGGAATGAGAGTTTGTTCTCGGCATTTTAAAGCTTCAAATTATTTTCCAAACAGTAAGTATCGTAACATTCAAAATATTTGATTGTAGTTATATAGAGAAATTTACAAGTAATTCATTTAATTTAGTTCAGTATCTTATCAGATAAAAATAGTGTTAATCGTTCCAGATTCCAAAAGACAAAAATTGTTTCCTAATGTCGTACCGTCTCAGAATATTCCCAAGAGAATTTTTAATAAGAAAGGACCAGTAGTTCGAAAAATAAAATCAATTGCTCAAGGCACACAGTCCTTGTCTGTTACCAAACAAGGGAATATAGTTACATCAAACAGAAAGGTTAAGAAAGTTATGGATGGATTATCCTGTGATGATATAACTGATACCAACAGTCATCACGATCTAAAGACTTCATCTACACAAGTGAATTTAGTGGATTACAGACATTATCGTCCTCAGGCAGATTGGAGTATGGCTGACCTCCTTTGTGAAAGAGTACCTTTGGAAAAGTGTACTCAAATAAATTTTCTTCCTCTATGGAAAGAGGAAATTGCAGCGCCAACACAATTAACCTTCTCAGATTTACTAAATAGTGTTAAGGATTTATTTTATCTTACCGATATTCATTCAATTGAACTTTTAGAAGCATTGGTGAATTATGTTAGGGAATCGGCTGTAAATACTTCAACTGACGAGAAATTTTTATCTTTGAGAGAGACACTAATTGTGACGATGAATAAATTAAAACAAAATATCTCTATATAGAGCCATTGCTGTTTTGTTTAGTATTACAAGGCAAAACAAGTTCTGTTTGAATAATATGTGCACTATGCTAAGTGATATAAACAATACACAAGAACTTAACTCAATTGTTCCAAATTATATAAAAACCACAATTATATTGGACTGTGCTGAAAGTGATTGTTTAAAATTTAGAATATTGATGTTAGCTCAATGTTAAAAATAATACAGTTTAATTTAATATTGTTAATTGTGTAATTTTATATTAAAGTTTAATATTGGCATAATTTCTTCTGGTCCAGTAGCTGAAATAAATGCATTATATGGAGCCCGACCTCCAAGTCCTCCATTAGACAAACATATTGTAAAATGAAGTAGACAATCTTGGTAGGCAGGTATCTTAAGTAAATACGCGCGCAATGATGGTATGATGGTGGGTAAAGATACAGGAGTGAATCCTAACAAAGAGAGAAAACAAAGACTGATTTTTGATTGCAAAGGCATTTTTCGCAATTAATATATAATTTAGTAGATACCAACTGTATGTACTAAAACATATACTTATATCTATACTTATATTATAAAGAGGAAATATTTCTATATCGGTCTATATCTAGACCGATTTTAATAATTCTTTTTTCATTAGAAAGCTACATTATCACTGAGTAACATATAGGCTATATTTACTACTCGATTATTAAAGACATCCATAGAAATTATTTCAGATTTTTTCAGTGAAAGTTATCTAAACCTAAACTAAAAATAATTAATATAATGTTTTATTATTATAATCAATTATTCCCTATTTCAGCAGAAACTAAATAATCACATTCTGTAATACCTGACAGTAACATTCCTAACTTCATTTAAGTATAATGTCCAGTGTTTAAGAATAGGCATTGCATTCGTTTCTAAGTTCATCTGCACCATTTAAAGTCTAAATTTCAATATTCTTAAAAAATCCTTAGACACTGAGTTAATTAAACCAGCTAGTTATTAAAAATAAATAGGTTTTTCAGGAAATTTTCTTTTGTCTAAAACATCTTAAGTTCTTAATAACGCGCTAGTTTTTAATTTAATTAACTTAATTTTTTTCTCATCAAAGGACAGAAGTAAAAATTTTAAAACTTTGAATTTGATAAAAGCGCCATCTACGACTGACAATTAGAACTCTGTTTTCTAACGATCAGTAAATGTTAACTGTTTCAAAAAAACAACAATAGATGGCAACTAAAAAATTGTCTAAGAGTCTTATTAAAAATATATCGAACTAGCTGTGCTCGCGACTCCGTCCGCGTAGAGTTTTTTTTGGAATCTTATTACCTATTTAGTTTTGCGAGAATCTTTATAAAGTGTCCAGTCGCTTCGATCTAGCGAGTTAATCTTAAAATGTTAACCTAAAAACATTTCTCTAGATTATTTAAAGAATATATTATTAGAAGATACATTATTTAATACATCGTTTCTTGGTTTCGATTAATACTGTACTTAATAGTAACGAATAATTTTCGCAGCGTTTTATTATATACTTACAAACGCTATTAGTTATAACAGATAACCATGTCAAATCAATTTACTAATTAAGAAGAGACAAATACGTAACGTAAAACTAATATAACACAAACAAAGTTTCAAGAAAATCAATTTAACCAGGTATGTCATAGTTGCATTGTGATCGTGTAATAATTGAAATTAAGTAAATAATTAAAACGATTCCTATAAAATACAGCACGATTTCCTGTGCCAAAATTGCTAGGATTATTTTAGCGGCGTCTAGCGAGGAGTTGGCCAATGGGAAGTGAAGTGGTGCGAGAGGGGGTGTTGGTATAAAAACTGACCACAATGGGGTATAGCGTAACCGGTCGGACAGCCTCCCGTGGCCCGCCACGAGCTATCATCTCGCCAGACATACTTTCTTCCGTCTGATTGGTGTACGATCCGGCTCGGCCACTACCTGAGTTTTTTAGCTTTCACCACAAACTGGATATTTTTAAATGAATGTACATTTATCAAATGAAAGCCTTTCATATTATGGTAAAACACCATACAATAATATTTATTATAGTACTTAACATTTAATACGAATCTTAGTAAAAACTAAGTAAATTTGTGGGAACTTGAAATTTCTATATAATTAGGTTACAATAAGAATATGAAAAAAGGTTGTGAATTGAAGTTCTGTACTATATTCTACACATAAGATAAACGTATTAATACATCTGATGATACATTAATATTCTCTTTTAGCCAGAATCTGGAGCGGTACGTTTTGATTTTTAAATGGAATCTAAATTATTTAACTCGGCAACGGGTACAAAACGTAATATATATGTATAAATATATAGTTGTACTAATTGAGTTATGTGTGGTGTGAAATATGGCTTTTTAAATGCGAAAGTCTCAATTACTACAATAAGCAAGAAAAAAAAGCATGTGTGAATTTATATAATTATATTCAACCGCGAGCTGGATCGCGTCGAAGTACTCGGAGCTTAAGCAGCCAGCAAGCAGACTCGATACTGTCAATTGTAGACCTCTTATATCTGGTTCAAACAACACTTTATTTAATATCTAGAATATAAGGTCCAATTTTCTTAAGCACTACTTCTAAAAACTACTACATCCTTAACGAAAAATTAACCTATTCATTTCATTAATGTAACCAATACAGTTACGTATTAAGAAATTCTAGTATTTTTATTTACTTCAAGAATCTGCACAAACTTTCCATTTTTTATATGTTATTTTTTAATTACACTGTGGCCAAGCGGTAGCGGCGTATAATTTTTGGTCAGTCTATAAGGAAAATATTTCCTTATATAATGTTAAAACTAAATAACATAGCATTTTTAAATAAAACACTTTTGCGATTTAAAACGCGATATATTAGTTAAAGTGTTTTATTTAAATGTGTACTACTCGCGTAAACTATAGACAGTATTTAACATAGCATTGTTAACAAGCTTTAAATATTTTTAAAAAGTAGGTGTACAGTTCGCGTATTCCACGACTTACGTTTATTATCCGAATTCTGTTATATATCCACTGTAATAACCATTCTTACGACGAAACAAAGATTCTTTGCAACTTTATAAAATACAAACTAAACTGATCTAGTTGTAATGTACTCTCTGATACGTTTTAGAAAGTAACTTGAAACATTGAGTATAACTTTATTATCAAAATGAACCCTATATAATATTTATACAACAATAGATTAATTATATAAAGACACATTACATATTTCACGTTAATAACCTAATAAAGTTAATTTCATGTTGTATGGGCGTGTCTCTCAGCTAATTGCAATTTACGCGCAAGTTGAGTGGATTTTAGTTTAATTTCAGTAATTTTATTCTAATGACATCCCGGTATATGCATTAGCCATAGCATGCATGGCATGGATCGATAAACGTAATTTATTTATATATTTTATTTACAAATTACATGTTTGCATATAACAATCTCCTAAATCATATCCATACTAAGGAACTGTGTAAATTAAAATAAAAAATGACTTTTATACTGTTTGTTACTACCACTTTAAACAAGTTGAAACGTGAAATATATTTGCGGTTTCGTGACCATGACTGCCAAAAGCACCTAAACCATAGGGTCGTAGGTTTTTTTAATTTATAATATCAACAAAACGATTACATTTATTAACACACTGATAGCAATAACAAACCACTAAAGTTTAAACTGATGCTATCGTTAATTTATTACGCTAACTAAGTGAATATGATTTCTTAATTTATTTCTTTTCACTACTTCTATTTCTACCCATCGTTCACTAACGCTGAAAATATATACTTATGTTGAGAAAACATAACCTTAATATCTGTCAAATGTATTTTCATATAATTACACAAGATTTCTCTCGGTTCGCTCTTATTGTGGACAAAATTTTAAAAGGTTCACAAAGAACTACGAAACATAAATAGAGAAGCGTGATAAATTTATGGGCATATCAGCGCCATTTATTACGCGATAAAAGCGTCTCCTCCAGTTTAACTTTATTCCTTCAATCTGTGAGAATTTTAAATTATTATTATACGACGACGGAATACGACCGAGTTTCTACCTGCTTGCTTTTGGCTTGTCAGTAAACTCATCTTCTCACCCTCCGTCTAAAAAGAAGACATTATAAAAACACTACAAGGTTCATACCAGCTCCATTACGACAAATTATAAATAAGACTTTACGATTTGGAAATAAAGTGTATATTTGTACGTGTTTTAGAGATTTATTTGTCTAAAAACTAACCAGTCATCGAAATCATCTCGGATCCATTTTGGGCACAGGTGCTTGTTCAATAAAAAGAGAGAAAAAAATATTTGATCGCATCAATAAATGTACCATAGCGTAAAATCGGACTGAGTACAATTTAAGAATGTTAAAATGTATACGTTATTTAACGTTAGGTTATGCTGGTTTATATTGATATTAGAATTATATGCAATAAGTAATATGTATGAAGAAGAAAAAAGTGCTAAACTCGATGTCACATAGTATGTGGTTTACGAGTAATATCTTTACATAATCACATTTATAAACTGTTACTGAACATGAATTTAGGTTCCTGAGTACACAATAATTGTAAATTTTTAATTTTAAATAGAAATGTAAATTTAGACAGGTAGGTCTAAAAGTTTTGCGATGCCAACTGGCAAACTAGACATACTTGGTCCTTCGAGTTGAGAAACACAAAACAATAGCTCGTTGAATTCTTTTGTATGAAGGAATATGTGCGCCTGCGCCATTAATCGCGACAGGCTTATTTTAATATGTAACTATTTATGTAACGATGACACTTGCTAACATTTTTTTATTTCCTTTTTTACTAACATTCAAATGTAATATTATTGAACCTAATGACGAGACAATGCGGTGAAATTTGTAATGAATAAAAAATTAAAACACTGCACATATTATACGGGAAATTTTCTCATCTTATGCATACATATCGTTAAATGACGTTGATAATAACGACATGTTTTAATGCAAATATTAGGGATATTTA